GTCGCCTTTCCCTTTCAAGTTGCTCAACAAGGATGTCCTCACTAAAGACAAGGCCAAATACATCGCCATGGGTCAGAATCCAAATCGTACCCCCAGAGAACATCCCAATCCCCACTAAATAAAAAACAAAACAAAAAAAACAAAAACAAATGGGGGGTGAATTCACCTACCAACCAAAGTGGTATCATTGGTTTTGACCCACGGCCAGACCACTAAAGCTTCGGCCGCACGCCGTCTCGGGCCTCACAATCGTGCGGCTCAGCTTGGGGCTGCGTGCGTGCTTCCCGATGGTGGTGTACAGCTTTGGTCGCCACACTTCCTGGCGCCAAAAAACCGAGGACAAACGGGCAAAACAAAACCAAACCAAACAAAACAATCAAACAATCGAACAAGAAACAAACTAAAGAAAGAAAGCAAGAAAGAAAGCAAATAAGAAGGAAAGAATGAAGGAAAGAAGGAGAAACAAAAAGAAGGAAGGAGGGAGGGAGGGAGGGAGGGAGGGAGGGAAGGAAGGAAGGAAGGAAGGAAGGAAGGAAGGAAGGAAGAAAGAAACCAAAACACAAACAAACTAAGGCAAGGAAAACAAAGCAAAGCAAAGCAAGGCAAGGCAAAACAAACACACACAAACAAACAGATAAAACTACAAGCGCTCAAAGCCATCAACACGTCCGCAATCCCGTCAGCCTTCTTCTGCCACCACCAGCGGCCGTGCTTCTCGTCATACTCCTGGGAGTTGTGGGCGCCGTAGGGCGGTCGCTCCTCGGGCCAAACATGTGCTTCCACATGCAACATGTTGAAACATGTTGAAACACTCGCGGATTCCTCGGGTGATCTCCTTTCTTTTGTGGGTCTCAAGGTGGCGGCGCACGTTCCTTGCTTACGTTCACACCTCCTGTTCCCCGGTTTGGGGCGCACCAGGCTCTGTCAGTCTCAACCACCGAGCCCGCTCCTTGGGCGGGTCTCCGCGAGTATCAAATTGATGCCACCTCGGTAGCTCCGGGGCGTCGATTTCATGGCCGGACCCTTTGGTGGACATCGTGAGAGTGGAAGCCATCCAGTTACAAGGGCTTGCAACTGTGACATTTTTGGGGTTCCCTAAATGTACAATGTACATTTTAGGGGACACCCAAAATGAGAGTTTCTTGGGGATGCATGTCTGGGGTTCCCTACGAAGTATAGCCAGATGAAGGCATGGCGATTGCAGGGTGAAAGCATATGGCACAGTTGCCCCTTCGTCCACAAATATCCAAGTGCTTCATGCACATTTCCGAGCTCACGGGAAAGGCTATGTGCGCACTGTAGGTGCTACAAATCACCGCCCCGAGAATGGGAGGCCGGGAGTACCCCGCAAATCAGCATAAACATGCGAATACCATATGGCCATGGGTGAAAATCCAAATCGTACCCCGAGTGAACATCCCAATCCCCACCAAAGTAGACTAAAACGGGCGGTGCACCTACCCCTAAAATGGTACCATTGGTTTTGACCCACAGCCATATGGAAACATGTGCGCGCACACACCAGCTCAAAAGCAAAGCCTGGAACAGGGAAGACTCAAACAAACCAAATCGCGACGCTGTGCTTCGGGGTCGGGCTCGGAGTCCCTTGAAGCGGCTGGGTGTTCAAAACATGGAACCCAAAACAGGGGGTCCCCCAGAAGGAGATTCCTCTGCAAACAGTATATATAATATCCAGAAACAAACATTGCCCCACGTGGAAATTCAATCATTGACGCATTAGGTAACGTTTGAACCAGGCGACAAGGTGAAATACCACCATCCCTCCATGGGACAGTGCTACAAAGAAAATTGAAAGCAAACCTGCCTTTTGGGGGAAACATCCAAATCTGTTGTGTGGCTTTGGCCTTGCGAAAGTGTCTATAGGAAACAAACACAAATGTCTTGAAAAGTGCACACCGCACACATCAAGCTTCTTGTGAGGGTCGTAATCAACCCTGGTATCGATGTCATGCACCAATCAATCAAAAGGAATGTCATTCGAGCAGCTGACTCTACCGTGGCTGGGAATGATCCCCTGCTAGCCTCCAAGTACCCAGGTGGATTCCTGTTCTACATTGGCAGACCCTCCGGATGGAAACTGTTCACTTTTGCTTTCCCCTCAACGCATCCAAACTGATAACCAGCTAAAAGTTGAGCTTTGATTGGGTCAAATGGAAACCGCCACTAAGCTCAACCAAAAACAAAAAACCTCCTGGGACGGCTGGGAACCGCCAAGAAAAGACGCCTCTTCCAGTCTTTGCCAACCGCCCTTTTAACGAGGCGAGGCACTTGCTGCGGCCAGCGGTGGGATCAGGACTGGCTGGATCGCTGTACCTTACGCGCTGTCTGCTTGCCCTGAGAGCTGATCTGATGATCTGGGGATGGCAAAGTGACCTGCTGAAGCATCTACCTTGTCTTCCATTTGTTCAAGTCCACTAGAAAAACAACAAATATGAAAGGAACATTACAAACATTCCTAAGCACATGGAAGTGGTCAATTTGTTGCTGGTGCGGAAGAATCCTGTTCGAAACACTTTACAGAATGGGTCTGTCAAACCAAGTCTACATACCTGAACAGGGCACATGAACCAGGTCATTCAAAGGAGGGCATTTGCTTTGCGTCCGTCACCTTGCTTCCTTCAAATCCATTTGGGTGTGTCATCCCTTGCAGGTACCCTGTTTTTGAATTGATTTCAGCGACCATAGGGAAACAGCCCATCTGAACAGCCCCTCGAAATCCATTGACAGTGTCTGCCAATATGTTTGCAATGTATTCAAACCAAAGATGGAAGGAGAAAGAGAGAGAGAGAGAGAGAAAAAAAAAAAGATGACATGTCTTTCCTCATTCTTGGTTCACGTCTTTGTCTCTCACAGGCCATTACTTTGATTTGGAGAAAACATGAGATTCATGATGATCGAGTTATTTGCAGCCGCTGGAAAGAACCTGCCAGAGGGCGGCATCTCGTGACCATTCTCTTGTCTCCGACTCTTTCCCTGCACTTGCCAACGGGAGAAGCCCAGGAAGAGATAGATGGAAATAATAATAATAATAATAATACTAGAGGTACTAGAGGTAACTTAATAAGCAGAAAAGCAATGAGACAAATACATGAATTCTCCTAAGGTCTACTTTCTTGTCTCTGTTGTACTGGTATATGGGTTTTCTTCCTGGCATTAATATAGCTCCCATGAAAATTCGGCAGTTGACCCGCTTCCAGTTTGGTCAACAAGGGCTTTGGGCAAGGCGCATGCCCGGCGAGCCCCAGCCAGAAGCAGCTCGACACCTCGCGCCGATTGAGTCCGGGGAGGGAGGTGCAACGGAAAAAAGAGGCAAATCAACCAACCAAACATGGGCACAGAACTTGGTTTTTCAGCAGATTTCCTTTGAATCTCAAATAGCAATAAAAAGAAAAAAGCCGTGGGGGGGGGGGGTTGTAATGGAAACTCAAAGATAAATCACCAGGTTATCTCCCATCTTAAGACAATCGAGTCGACTCTGCCAACCCGACCAAGACAAGGAGCATGCATGGCATGCTCGAACCCGATATAGAAGTATATCGCCAACTGTACAAAAGGAACCATGGCTGAACACACACACACACACCATTCATCCCTGAATGTTAACCAGTTGCAATGTCAGCGTTTCATAACGTCCTGAAAGCCTCTCGTTGGTGAACAAGGGTCCCATCTCAAAGTGGCTCACTGGGAGCCCAAAGGAAGCTACCTCCCCATAAGCCTCTCTCCTTTCAGGAAGCCTTTCAGCTCACTGAGTAAATAGCAATGTGAGCCAAGGGGATCTGACGATATGGATCTACGGTTTTTGGGTGGTGTCCTTTTTGGGGGTTTAAAGGAAAGCCAAAAGGGCCCGAATGACCACTAGTCACCATCAGGCTGCTCTCTGAATCTCTATGTGATCGAATCACGCGGTGGTTTTTTGGTTTGATCGATCGGGCTGGTCGTCGAGTCGTCGCTCCTACGCAAACACGGTTTTGAATAGTTCACACGGATGTCACGTTTCCTCGTGGTTTCCCTCTAAAAGCTTCAAAAAGGGCGGGTGCCCCCTAAAAATGCCGAGCCACCAAACAGGGAAACAAGGGAAAAATTGGATGGACTTACCAAGGGAAATCAAAATGAGAAACACCATGGGTATAAAGAGCAATGCAGTGGATGATTCTCATATCAGGCACTAACATTGTAAACAATGTCAATTTGAATTTGGGGCTCGGCAAATAAGGCCTCTCATGGCAACCCCCCCGCCAAGGTGGAAGATGCCACACCAATTACTGTCGTAGCAGGAGCCTTGCCCCCATGGAACGCTGCACATCAACAGCCCCGGAAGTCACCTCAGCTTTTTTGGCCACTGTGACGTCGCGATATGTGTCACAAACTTTATTAGCAAATGATGTTTTAGTCACCTCAAAACGCGCGCTGCCTATGCGATTGTGAATCAACGAAGCACTTCGTCGCAAATGTTTGCGCGGGCGTTCAACACAAAATCCCAATGGAACGCGCATGGTCGCATGGCGATCTTCTGAAACCTGAACTTGCGATTGCGAGACACAGCTTGCGCCCACTTCTCTGTGCCAGCCCACAACGAGATCCACACGAGACCTGGACGAGATCTAGACGAGATCACTTGGCTCTGCAAAATGCCCATCCTCGCGGAACCCAGCTCGGAGTTGCCCTGTGCATCCACGCAACCCTCGCGGAACCCTCGCGGAACCCTTGCACAACCCTGCAGCTTGCATGAAAGCCACCCCGAGCCACCCCCCGGAGCCTTATCTGGTGCTGAGACCCATCGCTTTCATCTGTCTTGTGAAACACACTGCAGGGGAATTGGAAGTCTTGCGTGACACTAACGGCTACATGACAAGCAAAGGTCGGAAGCCCGGAAGCTCGAGCGAGCACCCTCCTCCATTGGCACGACACTTCTCTTCTTCCATAAGCCTTTCGGGCAAACACAAATTGCCAACAAAGTGTCCGCATTCGGCACGCAGAAGTAGCTCCCCACCCATGAAAAACCTGAGTTTTCATCACACATGAACTGCTTCCCCACGTTCAACGCAAGTTGATGCGAGTTACCCCGACACCTTCCCCCACTGGCACGCTGATGACCGCAAGCAATTGATGCGACTTCCCGGGCTGACGGTATGAGCCCGCCTTTGGGTTGATCGATCCCCAAACGACCAAACGCAAAGGGGCTGGTGGGGGGTTGTTGTGATTTGCTTTGCCCAGGCTCTCTGCGAACCAGGATTCAGCCTCAGGGCTAACAAGAAAACAAATATGCTTCCCCCCAAGCAAAACTCGCAAATATATCTCAAGTAGTAAGCTATATGCAAAACTTGTGTGAGTATACACCACCCAGCCATGGCAACAAGGGACTGTCCTTCCCACATACAAAAGGAACGCCTTTACAATGCTGCAACTGCACAGCTGGGCGGATTATAACCATGCCCTTCTGGCTTCGCTAAGGGAAAATCAACACCTATGTGCAATTTAGCACCCAGTACTCCCACTCACCTTGCTAAACATTCAACTCTTGACCTAGAATTTACATAGTTTCCTTGATCATCATCTTAGTCAACGGACAAGATGTCAGATCTGAGTGTTTCTCAAAACTACACCCCCCCAAAAAACAACTGTGGTTGTCCTTTAGGTGTCCTTTTATATACCAACCAGCCGGGCAGCAACCACTTTGAGCAACTATCACCAAATATTGTTCCAGTCACAACCTTAGCTCTGGCCATTTTTGACTTTCCAAGCGGTGGCAAGTACCACGAACCAGCCTCTGCAGTGCCATGCCTGGCAAAAACCGCCATCCACGAGGAAAAAAACAAAAAGTGGAAGGACACCCGATGGTGGCGGTCTCGGTTTGAAGGGAACCCATCTGAGCCACGGTCAAACCTTGTCCTTTCCCATGATCATGGTTCCCTGAACAGGAATCATTATATCCGAGCGGTCTTGCGAGTCAGAGCACGTTCACAGGCCAATTCGCCGCTGTAGGACGGAAATCTGGAGCAAACAATTTACAAGATAGGAATCTATGGCTGTCATCGCCAACTCGGGCGAAGCCACAACCGGGCATGCAGCCTTTCCAACTTCAACAAAAAGGGATTTCCATTTGACACGGAAACCACACAATCAGCACTCCGGCTCTTGGGAACCCCAAACCGTTAAACCGGGTCGAAACCGTGGAATTTGGAAAGCGCAGTGGCCTTCCTTTTTTCCCAACCTATTTTAAAAGCATCACGACGTAAGGGCATGTTTAATTTCATGGTGGGGTTGTTGCCCAGCACAGTTCTGAGTGCGGAGGCGTCCCAATGGAGGGCCTCAATCAAGTAAATGCGCATCAGTTCCTTTGCAGTGTAAAGCTGCAGTTTATAAGACGACGCGTCGCACGCACCCAGCACCGCGGCAGGTCATCCCGCACAGAACCAGAGGGGACGATGGGACCAGCGATTCCCGATGTATCCATTCCAAGATATCGCTCACTTCGGAGATCTGAACAGAACACTTGGTCGCCAATCTACAAAAGTCTAAGCCCATTTTCGCGTCAAGAAGGTGTCCCGCATGTACCTCTCACAATTCACAAGGAGTTGCAACATGCATTCGGTTGGGAGAGGTTTCGCGAACATCCTCAAGACGTTGCTGGAATGGTCCAGTAGCGTGGGTTTCACCCTTTGGAAGTTTGGAGGGTGTTCCCATGAACCAACCCCAAAACGCTTGTTGCACTTGAATTGCTTTGTTGTTTTGAGATGTGCCATGGTCAACCCCTTCAACTTGGATGGTCATCTGCCAGGTAGTGAGGATCCTAAATAACCATTATAGTGATTCCTGTTACAGCATGAGGCCGTCAACCTTATTCTTCAGAAGAAGCCGCAACATGCAATGTCAAATATCCCAAAGCGAGCACGAAGAGGACCAGAACATTCCGCAAACCGAAGGAAGCATCTAGCAGATCGGCTTTGAACACAGCTCTACAAACAGTTTTGTTTGCGCTTTTTGTGGATTTCAGCTGTTCTTCCCGTGTTGGTCCTTTTTTGGAAATTCGTTAGTGCTCTTCTAATATCCTACTGGGGTGGATCCACAGATTCGTCACATCCAAACCGCGTTCCCCGCCGAAAGGAAACGGCAACCTTTGAGGTGATCTTTGCAAGAAGATGTTCTGCGCGATGGAATTTGAAGTATGGTAAAAGGAAAGAAGCTACGTGCCAAACACTGCGTCTGGAGATCAGAATCGAAATGACCCATCCCAACGTTGGTTTTCCGTGGGAGCTCAACAACATAAGGCTTACCGGAGTTCTGTACAAACCCAATGGCCTTAAAAAAAAATGAACATATGGCTAACTCGGTTGCTTTCTGCTCCTCTGCTAAAAGCTTGACTTTTAGTGGTTTAATGGAAAACCCATTAGCTGTCAAAAAGTTAAAGCCCTAACATCCAAGCAGAATGCACCAATGCTAAATAAGGCGCCCACGGGCTCGTCCCACGGGAGACAAAGCCAGCGCCTCTGGGTTGCCAGCGCGCCCAGCGGAGAAGCGATGCCATGGCGAACTTCCAAGCGCTTCAGGATCTGAGGCTCCAAAACGACAAGACATGACTAGACTTAGGCCCAGTAGAATGTACCTTGATGTACTTTGTATTGTTTGCTTCACTTTGAGTCACTGGGAAAGTGTAAAATGTATCCTTCAACAAACCCGGAGTCTAGCCCAAACTCCATGTGCGGGGCTCCTCTTTTTTTAGGAGTTGGACCCTCCAAATGGCGGAAGGACCCTTTTTGGCTTCACCTTGAAACCTGCAAAAAGGGGAACCCTCACAAATTGACCCTCCCCCATGTTGGTCCGGGCTCTCATGTCTTCACATATCTAGATCGAGAATTGCTACAACCCTCGAAAAATCCAGACGATAAGGCCAAAGGAAACAAGACCAACAAGGCGACATTTGGGCTTTTCAAAAATGGGCATCGGGTGTTCTTTTGGTTTCCCCTTGACTCGATCCACATATTTTCTAATCCTGTTTCATTTTTGGTCTACCCGAACATATAAACAAAATTTGGAGAGGAGACCCCAGTCAAGCCAACATGTTTGTCAAAGGCTCCACGGTCCCATCGGGGCCCGCTTGAGACTTGACGCCTGCGAGCGACCAGCGAACGCGGATATGGGTGCGTCTTTTTTGAGAGGACAAATTTTGAGGCTAGAAAAATACAAGGGAAACCACCCAAACAGCAATCCCAAACTGCTTCGGTTTTCTTGCTGGCTTCCCTTTAAACCAACCTCAAAAGGGGTGCCCTCAAAAAACGACACGCCCATATGCCTGTGAAACCGTGAGAATCCAGCAGGTCCTGTTTTGGCCTGGGCGACGCCTGTGTTGGGCGGACGACCTCCACAGTATCCGTTCCAAGGCTCGGTACGTAGCAAGGAGCGACGTTCTTGTGTTGGGCTCCTCTATGTAAAGACAGACCATTGAAGGCTCAGTCATGATCTATATAATAACTGTGTGTATATATATATATATATTATTTCAACACATAATTTCATCATCTACACCATCATCTGAATCTACGTAGCAGTCATCTACATTGTTTTCGATTCAGGAGCGACCAGCAATGGCTTCAGGGGTCGAAGGCCTGGAGTGACCCGATATTTTCCGGCGTGAAGTTGTCAAATCGTTCCTGGATTTGGTCTTCTTTGGCTGAACCCCTCGGTTTGGGTTGGTTTTATGGGGGGCTTTTGCCATTTCTCATTTGGGGAACTCCTTTTGGTGTGGGGGTCCGAATCCTCATTTGGAGACCACAACTTCTGGTAGGAGTGCTCATGGCCTGCGTACACATCTCAGCCTGCCATCGAGAGAGCTGGCCTTTCAAGTTATTCTGCTCAACCAAACGCCCAAGTTGTTTAGCACACTGTTCAACCACGTGGCTCTTTTTTTTTTTTCTCCAGGGATCCCCACACAATGGACTTCGATTCTCCTTTTGGATCCCCGGGAAACAAACAAGAAAGACGCGCCACCCAAGGGTCCCTGAGCGCCCGAACCGCAGCAGCAGGGGCATCTCGTGTGGCCCAGGCACCTGAACCGGAGGCGCTTCACTCGCAAAACGCTTGGTGCCAAGAGTCCAGAATCGAACCCTGGCACATGAAATTGCAAACAAGGACTAAAGCCTCCGGTCTCCTGGTAGTTTAATTTCGACACATACCCATGTGATGGACAAGGGGGGTGCCAGGTTCTCTGGAAGGTACCTGGAGCCGTGGAATGGGGGCAACGTACGCGTCCCATAACTTCGGGCGCAACTTCGGGCCCTGCCCCAGCCCCACATGGGTCATGCAAACTGCAGTTAGCCCTAAGGGCATTGTAGAGAGCAAGCAGATCAATGAGTTTCTGAGGAAAAGTATAGACTCAAGGCGGGCACTTTTCACTTCAGTTCCGTCTTACGAATTAGCTTCCACCAACGAGTGTCAGCTTGGAGGGGGGGGGGTATCCCTGCATAAGCCTAGGATAAGCCAAAGCCTTTGATAAGGCCTTATCTAGGGGTTAAGAAGGGACATCCCCCCTCCCCATAGCCCGCCTTAGGGGTCCATGAGGGAGGCCAGGCACTTAGGAAGTGGCTGATTGTGACCCACTTGCACGCGATGGAAGTCCCATGCTTGTAAGCAGAGAACTTTAAAAGTCGACAGAATTCAACAGGGATTGCGCGGCACTTTGAAGCCAAATTGAGTCATCATCATAGTGATCATAGTGATCGTAGATGAGGGGTCCTTTTTGGAAAATAGATGGCCCTCGAAAATGGAACAAAACAAATCTAAACCAGTGCCATCTGTGTCTAACCCAGCTAACCTAAATTGGACACCCGTGGATCATAGGGGAATAGCGTGCCATGTTCGTTTGGAAGCTCAACTGTTGATGGCCTCAGCTCAACCGAGCGAATTGCCCTGGCCTGTGTTGCCAGCCTCTCAACAGTGGGGAGGAGCCGCTCAGTGAGGCACGCGCCTGAGCGGATTGGCCAAGAAAGTGAGACTTCGGTGTTCAACCCAATGTCCCACAAAAACTCGGGTCGTCTTGTACAGATGGCTGTGGGTCAAACAGATGTACCCCAAATGGAACCCTGGTAAGTGGACACATGAACCGAAACCTGGTCCGTTGGTGGTTTAATCTTGACCCATACCCAGACGGTGCTTCGCATCAGAACCAAACACAATCATGGCTTATCATGCAGGGCCCCCTAGACGCCTTCAGCCTACGTAGGCTCTAGCAAATGGGTGTTATCAATCCGGGATCCCGCAAACGCTTTTACCTGAAATCCGGGTAGAAAGCAACCCCCCGAGACTCAATTTCAAGAAACTGCCGGATACTGTCAAGGCGGTGCCAAAGCGGCAAGTGACCGAGTGGACGCTTCAGAATGACAAAGGTCACTACACCTCTTTCTGGTGCTTCACACATCAACTTGTTTGCGGATTCAAATTAGGATTCCGGTGAGGTGATAGGGAACCCAACACAACCCTATTTCCCCGTCGGCTTGCGGAGTTGTTTGCTTTCCTAACGTTCCGGCTAGATGCTGTACAAAGCATGCGTCAACCAAGGGGTGGACTCTTCATGATTCATTCGACTCCCTAATGTCCACTTCGGATTCAGAATTTTAAACCACGCTATACCCTTCGTCCTTTTCTTAGAGTTCGAAACGTTTTCGGAGGATTCCTTTTGGGGAGTTTTGCTGTCGTACCTGGAATAATGACATTACCTCCATTTAAACCAACCCACCTGTTGCCCATTAAATAAGCAGCGCCTTCACACCTTCACACCAGCCTGAAAATATGGCTACGAAGTTCATTAAGAGACCCTTTGGTGGACGTCATTTGGGGATTCATGTCCACCAACCACTTTTGAGGCGGTTCCTCACTATGCATAGCCGTATCGAGTCTTCGAGGTGCGTTCTCCTTTGACCCAACCGTCTGGTTGACTGGGCCCACGACAGAGCCCATGGATACAGCCCAGCAGTCCGACCTCAGCAAGGGCCCCTAGATCCCACTCGCCCAGTTCGGACCTGGATCTGCAAGAGGTGATCACCTTTTGGGACCTTTACTAAAAAACGGAGCCAAAAAGGACAATTAAAAAGGTCAAAGGTCAAAAGGTCGAGCGAGTACCCCACGCGTTTCTTCAGTGTGGTTTTTGAAGAAAGCCGGAAATGACCGCAGGGCAAAAGGCCAAACACCGCTGAAAGCACAAAGAACAAGGCATAGGCATGTTTCCTGTAGCTGAATACTTCCCCAAACAGCGAAGCATTGGGGTTCTAACTTGAGGTATAGAGAATGGGAAAGAGTGACGCGGGTTCCGGGTCTTGTTTTCCGCTTGTCTTCCTGTCTCCCAGTCTCTCCGGTCAGATGCCAGATGCCGTGACGGTGGCTCCAGGGCTGCGTCTCCCACTCTCCGCGGTCAGACGCTAGATGCTTCGACGCTGGCTCCGGGGTCGATGCTGTGACGCTGGCTCCGTCCCCTGGCTCCGGGGTCGTGACTCCCGCTTGTCCCTGTCTGGATGCCAGGTGCTGTGACGCTGGCTCCGGGGTTGTGCTCCCGTTTTTTGTGACGCTGGCTTGTCTCCCTGTATCTGGATGCCAGACGCTGTGACGCTGGCTCTGCGGTCGGATGCCAGATGCTGTGACGTTGGCTGCGGGGTCGTGTCTCCCGCTTGTCTCCCTGTCCTTCTCAGTCTTTCGCTTCGCTAGCTGGTCCTGCGACGCTTTTTCCTCATTGCAACCTATGTAATCCAGTCCCACTGACAAACGCATTTTGCTGAAGCATTCCACAGTCGCAGCTTTGACATATCTCGTTGCCTCCAGACAGAAGGGTTGAAAACAGATTTCGCAGCCTTGTTTTCCACATATTCCGCAATATGGACGCTGCTGTTTTGCACGTCTCCGAAAGTGCCCAGGGCTTGCAAGCGCGGGCTCTAGGGTTTTCATGGCGGGACGTCGTAAGGTGCCATTCTCTGAGGCGCTAGCTTCCCTACAGTCTCTGGACCCATGGAACAGCAAAGGGGTTCAACGTAAGCTGTGTTGCATGGCGCTTGCGCTAGCCTCCCGCGGTGAGTATTTTTGGAAATCCGAGCATTTCCATTTCATTCTCGCAATCAACGTTCTTTTCCGAGATCTCGACTTGAATTTGGCAGTTCCGGGCGAGATTCTGAATTATTTGCTCGCAGCACACGTGGCTGGTCGGGAAACCAAGCTGGAGGGATGTGCTGATAGCATCAAGACCATCGCTCACCGAAGCAACACGTGCTACAGACATGGCCCATACAACGCGTTGAACAACGATTCGGACCCGCTCAAGCAAAAGGATTCGGTGCTGCTGGACACCCTGCGTGCGTGGCGAACTCCCCAGCAGCATTACGGAATGGCGGCTCTGGTGCTCAATGTGGTGATTGCAACCAGGACACACGGTCATGGCCATGTTTCGACACATGTTCGGTGGCTGTATAATCTAATAAGAGTTGCTAACGCCGCCGCCGTGGTTGATGGTTTCTTTTTGGGGTCCCATCAACAAGAGCCGTTTCGCCAATCGCAGAGGGGCTTCCTGGCTTGGTGGTTTCCTGGTTACTTGCTCCTGGAGATCTGGTCCTATCGCAGAGAGGGACAAGCGAACACACAGTCAAGCAGGTGTGCTTATCATCTTGTGGCATCGTTGGGGGGGGTCCGAGCTCCAAGGTTTTTTCTGAGCGGTTTCCAGAAAGAATTGTCCTGTTTTTGAAGCCTGGGTGAGTCGGGTCCCCAGCCAAACCATTAGCTCGTAAGTGTTGTTTGCGTCGTCCCTGCACTGCTCGAGCTCTCCTCGAAAAACTTGGTTGATGCAGAGGAGCCTTGTCCTGGCAACCTACTTCGCTGACCTTGACAACTTGGAAACAGTTCAGCTGCTGGAGCTGAGTGAACGCAAGGCGCAGAAGTTGTTGCCAGCGGCGTTGGAATGACGGCCGCCGGTCGTTCACCACACATGTGAGCGCCAATCTGCGATCCATAAGCACCAACTCCACTGTGCAGCCAGCATTGGTAAGTTGGGGCAAAGTTCTCACACGGTTCCGAGATGGAGCTGACGTTCAAAGCCAAGCTTTTTCCAGAATGGAGCGGCGTTGGGCGCATGGAGAAGCCAGCGTTGGCCATCTTGGGAGCACGCGGCGCGCTGGACACGACAGAGATGAAGGCCCGGGATGACCAAGCTACTGCCGTCTCAAACACTGAGGATTTTCTGGAGCTGTGCCGGGGTGACAGAGGTGCGCGCCAAACGGGCACCTTTGCTGACGCTTGCCAATGTGGCGCGGCGTGCGTCTGCGTTGCTAGGCGAGAGTGTCCCGGCCGTAACGCTACAAGGCGCAGTCTGCAAGTTTACGCAAGTGCTCTGTTGCTTTTGCTTGTGGCAAGACCTTTAGCCGAGCTCGAGAAGAAGATAACAATGGCATGTGTCCAGTCTCGGCCGCAGGCTGCTGAGACTGCAGAGTAGCGAGACGGCCACCAAATGCTGCGGTGATGGAAAAGTGCATTGAGTGTCCGTGCTACGAAAGATCTTTCGAAACTTCCTTTGACAAATGCCAGGTGATAGGTTGATTCACCCCGAATCCCCGGGGCCTTCACTCTCGAACATGCCATTGACATGGCATATTCCTGTTGATGAACGGGACTTCCTCGAGGGACATACAGTGACTGATTGGAACTATGTGTTGTTCACATAAGCTACTCAATTTCGCACCTTACATGCAGGAGACAAGCCTTTTTTGGGTTACACAGACCTGTCAGTTGTTTTGCTGTTTGGGGTCGAGGCTGGTGTAATTTTAGTTTCGCTTGAACATCGCGGGAGCGAGCCCTCATATCTGCTAGCGACAGGTGCCCTTTGTGACCCTAACTGGCAAAGAGTACCTCCGGAGAGCATGCCTTGGGTCTTTGAAACATCGGGGATCTGGCCGAGAGGCCATTCCAAAGATGGAACCAAACCAAAGGTGTCCGGCACTTAGAAGGGATTCCTTTTGCGGAGTCCTGGAAGGGATGAACCAAATAACCCCCCCAAATGGGAGGAAAACCGGGCGAGTCCTGTCCTTTTGCTGGCACCGGCCTGGGTGAACACCCAACTCGCCCCAAACTTCCAGCGGAACCCATGCTCGGTTGCTTTCTGCTCCCCTGCTAAAAGTTTAACTTTTTTTGTGGTTTAATGGAAAACCCATTAGTTGGCAAAAAGTTAAAGCCCTGACATCCCTTGGCATTAATGCACCAAAGCATGGGTCCTCGGTCGCAAACTTTGTTTCTTCTCAGCTTCACGCCACTGAGCCGCTCTCCTGGCGGCTGGACGCGAACCGAAGAAAAAAGAGACCGGTTTCCACCGATGGGAGGCGCAGTCGGTTTGGTTTTTGTTCTTCTGGGTCGGACCTCCCGGTTGGAACCCCCCCCCCCCCATTTTTCTGTTTAGGTTGGCCCCCCCAATTTTGTTTTTGTTTCGGTTGGACCCCCCCTTGAGGCTTTGATGCCTTTGCTTTCCATGGTAAACCCACGCCGAAACGGGGGTAGCCTCAAAAAACCGACACCTCCAAGCTAAGAAGGCCAGCCAACCCGCCGCCCTTTCCCGGGGGGATTCTACTGGGTCACTGGGGCACGCGCCGAGCACAATTTACACCACAAGCAAACCTGGTGATTCTGGAAAACGGTTTGGATGTAACGCATCCGATATGAAAAGAGTGAAAGATTTCTGAAAAAGAACCAACAGGGGGAAGAACAGGTGACATCCACAAAAATCGCATCCAATCCGTTTCCTAGAGTGATGATAACTTGGAGCCCTGCCCGGCCAAAGGGCATGTTTGCGTGGATAGCCTGATGGTAACTTGGCCCGGCCAACGAAAGCCACGTTGCCTGGGAGAACGCCTGAGAAACTTCCTGGGAAACAGAAATCTGAGCAGCGAACCGTGTCCAGCTGAGGACAGACCAAAACTGCCAGAACGGTCAGGCCGTTGGGATCCCTCATTTAAAGGCAATCCCATAAAATAGGCCATCACGGCCTAGTGACTAGCCCACTGCCCGACTTAACGAAAAGGAGAAACACGGGGGCGGTTTCCCCTCACCATGGCAATATCTTTCACGTGTACCCCGCGACCTCTTACCCCTCACACCCCTCTCACCTGCCTGCGACACGGCGGTGCCCTGGGCAAGCTGACCCCTTTTGGAAGGGGATCATTCCCCGAACGTCGAACGGATCGGCTAGCGGGTCACTGGTTTATGGCAACATGATAAATTGAACGGGTGGGCGGAACCGACTCAAATCGACATGATCCTGGCTGCTTTGGGGAATGAGACGTGGAACGACCCAACAAAAAAACATATCCAAATGATGGTGTCCTTTGCGGGAATCCATCCCAAACCGGTTCGTTCAACCACAATCCGTACCTATAGGGGAACTCTCACCCGCTGCATCGACGCCAGAGATCTCTGCAACACGGGCTTCTTTCACGGCGAACCCCCATCGAACAGGTCGTCCCGCCTTCTTGTTTTTGTTTCTCGGAGGCGCCAGGCCCTGCTTTTCTTTTCGTTTTGCACAAGTGGGGAACCCGGTTCTCTTCCTTTCGGAGGCGCCACGCCGATCTTTTTTTTGTGGCGCTCCGGGGAAACACCGGGAGCCATAGAGAAACCAGAAGGAGAACCCGAAGAAGCAACTCGGAACCCGGAAACCTCCCCAGATCTGGAACCTGCCCGGAACCGCTGCTTTGCTTTGCTTCTTCGAGGAGCTCCGTTGGGTCCAAAACGGGCCTCAAATGCTTGTTGAAACCCACATGCAGCATGCAAAAAGGCCCCCCTGCAGGCGAATACTTGGCAACTTGCTACAAAGGGCATTCTGGTTTTGGGGTCGCCAAATTTTGAGACAAGCTGATGTGCACTTTGGTTGGCAATGATCGACGTTCAGTGCATCCCTTGCTTTATGTGGGTGTGTGTGTGTGTGTGTTCTCAAAAAAACATTCATGATGTAAGCCGGCAGTACCTGTTCTTAGGCCCTGTCTGATGAACACGAGCCGGGCTCGGAGCCCAAAATGGAAGTGTGATGAGGCATGAGCGGATGCGGTGTTCATTTGGATATGGGTCAAAACTCAACCACCAGGAAATGGACCGTAGGTTGTAGTCCATGTGTCCACAAGCCAGGGCAACCCATTTTGGTACCCTTTTTCACCCACAGCCATTCATCTGTGCCCACGATTCTACAAATGCGGCACGAAGGCATCTCCTGCTGAAAAGTTGTTTCGCGATTCGTCACGACCAACCCGTTGCAAAACAACAGCGTCCCTTCAACACGACAGTTGCCTTATATGCTCATTCTTCACCAGGACAATTGATGTCGAGCACAACTCACATAGAATCATCGCATGTATGCTGCATGACATGAAAGTGAAGTACTTAGATTTAGCTCGGTTGCTTTCTGCTCCCCTGCTAAAAGCTTAACTTTTAGTGGTTTAGTGGAAAACCCACTGGTTGGCAAAAAGTTAAACTTGTGATCTCAATCGCGGCGCATGGCTGAACCATCAGCCCGGGCCAGAATTAGACCACCAAAAGCTAAATTTTGTCTGGCTGAAATTGAACGTGAAGAAACCAAGCAAGGCAAAACGCCAATCAAGCTAAGTCTGGACATGTTGCGGTGTTTCTTAGTAGAAAGCACTCTCTTCTCGCGGTCGCTTGTTTTGGGCAGGCTGCATGCAAGGCAATTGTCCTCTGCTGTCAGCAGATGGGCTTTGATATAACTGTCACATGAAGCCATCCCTTGTTGTGTGCAGCGGAGGCTGAGCACAACGATTGAAAAGTAAACGAGTGAAAAAAATTGGCCGCAAACTTGAGAGGGGACCGCAACTTTTGCGTTCCACAAACTGTCCCTTGGCTAAACCAAGAGCTGCCTGCGCAGAGAAGCACATCCGGAACAAAAAACGAGTCCACCTCAACCTCAACCAGCAACATCATGGCTTTCCACGCACGAGCCAGATCTGGCCGCGACATTTACAAAGCGTGGCTTACAACTGCCGAACAATCAAATAAAATATATTGAATGGTAGGCTGGACATCTTTCCCTCGCAAATGGATTATATACGGATGGAACAACTCTAAACGTGACGTACTTTACCCGCAACCGCTCAAAGGTCGATCAGAATCCGCACACGCCTGTGCTCCAGCCAGTCCCAGGTCGCCGTCTGAGACATCAAGGCAAGGTCCATGTGAATCTCATGGGGGAAAATGGACGTCAGGTCTAGCCCAAGTAATTGGCATGCCTGCACCACTGTGATCCGGCGTCCCTTGCAAAACACCAAAGGGGGAAGTCTGGCTGTCCGACCAGCGCCTTTGGCTCGGGAGAGGTAGGCCACTAAGGAGTTTTGAAGGCCGTGGTGGGTGGCTGGTAGTACACCCTTGATGTCGCCTGTGGCCAGCTTCTTGGTCCGAAGCCAGCAGTCTGCGCAGGCTTCCTCGTTCAGGAAGTTCACAATTGCCAGCGTGGGCCAAGGAAGATGAACAAAGTTGTAGGCGCAATGCCTGGTGAAACCATACCCGTGAATCGAGTTGAAGTGATCAAGAAACTCTTGCTGCCCCATTTTGCGGCCAAGCTTGAATATGAGAGCTGTGCATGATGGTGGCAAAGCCTCATCGAAGCCGTTGCTGCAGAACATGGCTGATCCTGCTTCTTTTCTGTCAGCAGGCGCTAGTTCCTAGCGGCAAAATGACTGCGGCAGCCAAATACGTATTTCAAGTTGCTCTCAAACTTACCTCGTACTCCTGAAGCACATGGGTATGGTTCAAAATTAAACCACCAGGAATTGGATCGCAGGTTTGAATGTCCATGCTTCTATTTACCAGGGTTCAACCCATTTTGGGATTATCCACTTTTTGACAACCACAGCCATGGGACTTGAACTGGAGCTCCTGGAAGCCACACTTTCTTATGTCGGTGGGTAATAATCATGTTCATTGGTGGGACCCTGGGAGGGTCACGTTCTTGTCTTTGGGAAATGCCCCCTAAAGCCGGCAAGAGTGTCCAGACGCTTCGGCGAGTGAGATCAAGCCTGAACCTGTGAACTTAACCCCTGAAACGATATCCTAACTGTCTATCCCAATGATTGTGGGGGCCGCCCAAGAAGAGGGGCTACTAGCGGCGAATGGGGCCTATTAGGGGCCGACAGGGCTGATTTTGACCATGTCCAGGGAGTCCGCTCTTTGGGGGGACCCTGACAATACATGTATATATATATAGAGAGAGAGAGAGAGAGATACTATATCTAAACCTGGCCCAGCGCCCCTGGACGTACAAAGCGAAAATGGGTACCATCTATGCTAAGACCCCCTCCCAATACCAAGGTTTTTTGTTGTATTTGACTTGTGGGGCAAATGATGGATGCATTGCAGGGCAGATGTAGAGGTGACTTCCAGCAACCAATTGGACAGTTTATGAACTCATTGCTGTTGTTTTTGTGAATAGTACCACAGCGACATGTATGTTTGTAACATATACAAGTGGTGGCCACGTTTGGCTCAAGTCACAAGTTCTCCAACCCAGCCTATGCGTTGCTGCGATTCGTATTCCGAACTCTTGCACCAGCGTTGCAGGACAGCACAACCATTCCTGTTGGGACACAAAGCTGTTTCCCTGCGATTCTCACTTCATATCTACTCTTTCTCCACATACTGAAAGCGCTGCAACATAAGGTGTTGTTGATGATTTGTCACCCTCCTTGTGTTCGGCTTCAAGCATGGTTTTGATTGGAAACTTTTATGTTTACACTGGTTTCGAGCACACGTAGTAAAGCAACACAATCTGTTTTTGTAGCTTGAGCCCCATAAACTGCCATTCAGGAACCTGAGGCCATCGGTAAGGGGGGCTGATGACCGTACCAATCATTTGGCCAATACATTGCGCACCAAGCAACACCCCCAAATCCATGTCCAATTGATTCTCAAATGGTTGCTACACCAAGTATGTTGACCCAACCTCATTTGAGCACGTTTGGTGAAATCCTGCCTTCATGGTTGTGTGAACCAAACCAACATTTCTGAAATGCCAAAGTGGGCCACCCGCTTCGTCACATTTTACTGGGGTTTGAACCTGGGCCTACGCCCCTTCTCAGCCCAAAAAACAGAACCTGAAGAAGATGAAAGCTCTGAAACTTGCACAGGCCCAAAAAGAACAAAACAGACAGAAAATCCGGACCAACAAGAATAATGAATAGCAATGCAAAACCTTGTCCTTACTAGATTGTATTTAACATTTCCATTGACATTTAATTAAAGCAATGTTTGCAAGGGAGCTCATTTTCAAACTCTATTTTAAACCTAAGTTCTAGTTGTACTGGTTTCGTCATGAAAACAAATACCACAGTTGTTTAAGCCACATTTAATCTAAGTACATTTGGGAATGAGCTCCTATTTGAAATGATGTTCAGAGGCCAATTGAATAATTGCCTTTAACTCCGATTTGGAAAGGGGTTCTCAATTAAATTCTAATGGAATATAGATTTTCACATGAACTATGGCCTTACTACATTCCATTCAAAATGTCAATTCAATTTGAAGTAACATCTTATTTGCAAAGGAATTCACATTTGATATTTCGGAGGCTCAAATCTCCCTGATTCTAGATTGATCTGCTCAGGATCCGCTTTGATGCTCTCGAGATACCAGTCCATTGTGGTTATTAGCACGGGAATGGGACAGACTTGAATTTGCCCGAGCCAGTAGCTGTTTATTAAACAGATTGAAACTGTGCATTGAAATGGTCTCAATTCGTGTAGGCTCAGCATTCCCCGCAAATTTAGTTTATAAACTTCCAAGTCTGGTTAATAAACTCTAAACTCTTGGACTCCTGGCAGTTGGATGAGGGGGAGGGGGGGGGTCCCTGCCTGGCAACTCTTGAAGGGGAGGGGGGGGGGGCCGGCAACTCTTGAAGGGGAGGGGGAAGAGTTCTAGCAACCACCCCCTCAAGAGTTGCCGCGGACCCCCCCCCCCCCTCCCCCTCCCCAAGAGTTGCCACGGAACCCCCCCCCCTCCCCCCCCCCCTCCCCCTCCCCCCTCCCCCCCCCCCCAATCCAACGATCAAGAGTTTATAAACCAGACTTGGACGTTTATAAACTCCAACACTGAATTATAAATCAGTCAGTTATGTGAGTTCTGTGATCTATACTCATCCAATGACACATAACGATGATCAAGCACTTGTAGTAAGACATGTGTTCTGATCTTTAGCAGGACCCCAACTCAACTCCAGGTTTTCCTCAAACAAGCGACTTTCTATACAAAAAAGCATGCAACATGTACATTTTAAAGCAGGAAAACCTTGGTATTGGAGGGGGGTCCTACCATATATATATACAATATGCACATTGCAAAGTAGAGATGGTTCCTTTTTTCCGAGGCAAGTGCTCAAACGGAGCGTCTTCCTAAGCCCATTGGTTTGGAGCCGACCCGGTAGTTTGGTGGCTATTTACCCACAAGAACCAGGGGTTCCAAATCCAAGCCACCAATCCAAACCACTATGCAAGCACTGCAGAAGAATTCATTGTATCAGAAATTGAGGAGCTGAGATTGCCAGATTCAGTAGGTTGCAACTGCAGTTGCTGCTGTGTGCCCAAGAAATTGAACCCTCCCTACTAAGAAATTGAGCCCCTGGGTTTCTCCTTCATCACCCGAAAAGGCTGCTAAGAAATGGAGCACCTGGATTTGTTTGCAAAGGAGTCCTTCATCACCTGCAAGACTACAGCCTAGTAAGTCAAGACAAGGTTAAGAAATTGGCTGAGACATCCAGCTGTCCTGGACAGAATAGAAACCAGCCCTCTGAAAGGCCTCGACCAGCCGTTTTTTCTTTACAGCGCTCGTACTGCATCTTGCAAGAAAGACGAAGCTTGAGGAAAGGCACACATGCGGCAAGGGGAGAGAAGCACAATCGTCTTTTGATCATCGTTCTGTCCACAAGCAGATGTCGCGGTTTCCAAACGTGAGCTCCATTGAAGAGGCCGTTCATGGTAAACATGATGTAGCCCGAAACCGCTGGCGGGCCAGGCCCTGAGCGCTCTAAAGACATGGCTCAGTGTGCTGTTGACGGTCTTTGACGGCCAAAGTGGTCGACACCCAGCACCACCAGTGTCTTAACTAGGTCCTCCAGTAGAGAGGTTAGAACAAGGCTACCCTTTTCTTTGGGCAATTATAATAGGGGAACCCTCCCCCAACAAAGGGGAAAAGGGCACTACTGAGGGACCTAGTTAATAAGGGGGAAAGAAAACATGCTTTTGTTGCGGTCATGCAAGCTACAGGGAACCCAGCTCCGAGGCGAGCGGCAGTTGCGCCGCCGGTGCCACTTTGCGCCGCCGCCTCAATCGATGTAGGGTCTGAATAATTGGACTGGACAGGTGTTTTAAGGCCAAATCTAGTCATCATATAAGGGAATTCGCAATGTGTGGCTATGAATTCTAATTAGGGACCCTTTGGTGGACATCGCGGGGATTTATGTCCACCAACCACTTTTCAGGGGGTTTTCCATTAAAATTCATAGCCGTGTATGTGTGTGTGTATGTGTGTTTAGCCCCGTGTGCGCGTCAGGAGTCAACGCATTGGTCATTTGAGTCTGACATTAGAATGATAGAGAGTGCCATAAAAACAGCGCTGGAAGTTGCCTCTGGCCCAAACAGCCCATAGCGCGCCGTCTGATAAATGTCAAACAACAAACGTTGGGTTTTTGCAGAAACCCTAGTTATTATGTTTACATGAAAAAAACAAGGTTGTTGATTTCTATAAACAAATTGTCTGTTATTAAAAACAAAAAGACTTGCGGCAAAAGAACAGCAACTGAAACACAGAAAGATGCAAACAACAGAGACAAACTGCCAACCACCTCTTCGAGGGAACCCAGCCCAAAGGACAACATCGGGTGACTCTTGAGAGGGCACTTTTGCTCGACATACCGAACCCGTACTGTGTGTGGGCCAGTTGCATGCAGGGTACCAACAAATAACCATAATTACGGGGACTCCCAAACAAATGTAGGGAAATATGAACCTGAAAATATGTGACACATGTGGCTGTATGTCAAATCCAGGAGGCCCTCTCAAATGGCAACGGGTTCCTTTAGGTTTCCTTTAAAAACCATACCAAGAAGGCTCGCTCTTGCTTTGGCACATCCCCAAATTGCCGCTCCCTTCCATACAACCTTGGTGTTGGATACTGAACTGTTGCTTTGCTGGGGCCTTGCAAATGCAGATTCCACACCCAAAGGACTTCCCCGACCTGTTCTCGCTCGAGTATGCTTTTAGTAGTGTCGCAGGTTTAAAAGATTAGACCCCAACTCAACACAAACCCGGGGTTGAGTATTCATGCGTGGGGAGTTATTTTGTTGACACTAGCAAAATGGTTTTTCTCACATCATGGAATGTCTGATCATCGAAGACGCATCTTCAAAAATCGACTTCATCATTCAGCACAAGTAAATCTCAAAGGTGTCAAACTGTACCAACCAAAAGCCCGAATCCTGAGCAGATTTGCTTCTCCAACAAACTCACCCCGGTCAAGCTGGCTGTTCCCAGATTTGCTACAAGTCGACAACTTGTGGATTAAATTCGGAAACGACCCCCAAACCAACCAAACACCTCCCAAAAAAAAATAGCAAACACCTTCAAGAGAACTACCCCCAACCAACCAACAAAAACGCATCGAACGCACCTTTGACTCTTCGCTGGTACCGAGCGACACGGTCCCAAGCGCCACGTCCATCTCGGCTCCCAGGCCCAGGACGAGAGGCACCGGCCCAGCGCGCGCCAACACTGCGAGACCTGGGCGCTTCTCGGCCCTCCTTTCGGCTTCGTTTGGGGAACTCCCCAGCTGCGTTGTTCCCTTGTTCCTTTAAAACGCAAAGAAGGGGGAAGCCAGCAACAAAAGGCGCGCAAAAGTCCTGCTTTGCCCGACTAATTCAGCATATATGGGCGTAGAGAAATTGGAATGGGCTTCGTTTAGTACTTCAAAACCAAACTTAGTCAGAAATATAGGAATACGCAATTAGTAATTGTTTAGCTCCTTACAATACTGGGCGGCTCAAAATTGAGGGTTGGCCACTCCTAATTGTTAATCCTATAGAAAGAAACACATACCAAGGGATACGCAACCAGTGGAGCTTTGAACAGTGCAGGCTTTTGTTACCTACTGATCTTCCCCAAAACGGTACAAGGAACTTATTGGTCAACATTCAACCCTAGACCTAGGGTTTGAATCCTCTCTATCATTGCAGGTTTAAATCCTCTCTATTATTGTGATCTAATTGGTTTATGTTTATCACAAATCGGAATGCGACCCCTGAACATTGGCAGCAGTGAGCTTCTTGACCCCAAAGAATCGAGGAGGGACTTGATTATACGGGGAAGATATTTGTTGCCCCCTCTTGAGTTGCATTTGAAAGATGAAAGGAAAACCAGCGCCTTAGGCAAATGTTGAGTCAAGTTCCTTTGTGTCCAGGATAAGAAAACGGGTGGCTGCCTGTTGCTAGGGAAACTGAGATTTAAAAAAACAACAAAAACACATGGTTTCCCAAGTGAACAATCGACTACCACAAATGGATGGATGGATGGATGGATGGATGGATGGATGGATGGATGGATGGATGGATGGATGGATTGATGGATGGATGGACGGAGGGAGGCAAACGGACGCACGGACGGACGGACAAACGATAGATAGATAGATAGATAGATAGATAGATAGATAGATAGATAGATAGATAGATAGATAGATAGATAAATTAGATTAGATTAGATTAGACAGATAGATAAAATAGATAGATAGATGAATAGATAGATAGATAAATAGATACATAGATAGATAGATAGATAGATAGATAGATAGATAGATACATAGATGGATAGATAAATAGATAGATAGATATAGAGATAAAGATAGAGATAGAGATAGAGATAGATATAGAGATGTAGATAGATAGACAAAGAGATATAAATATATATATATATAGATTTATTTATACAGAGAGATAGATAGATAAATAGATAGATAGATAGATAGATAGATAGATAGCTAAATGGATGGATAGATGGATAGACAGATACATTGATAGATAGATAGACAACAAGATATAGAGATAGAGATCGAGATAGAGATACCGATATATATATAAATAGATATAGGATATAGGATATATATATATATATATATTTATAGATATAGATGTAGATGTAGGTCGATCGATAGATAGATAGATAGATAGATAGATAGATAGATAGATAGATAGATAAGATAGATAGATAGATAGATAGATAGATAGATAGATAGATAGATAGATAGATAGATAGATAGATAGATGGATAGATGGATATAATATATATATATATATGTATATATATATATATGTATCAAGACAAATAGATAGATGGATGGATGGATAGGGTGGTATTGTGAATTTGACTCCCTTTTCAGCCTTTCAAGAACCATCCAAAGGGACCTGGCCCCACTGCACTGCCTTCTGCGATACAGCAGAAAGGGCCAAACCCCAAAGACTACCCCCCCAGTTCAAGGGGGAGATTCCCTTGTATCACAGAGGTGGTTGGATAACCCCTTGATCTCACAACCCTGACCAATGACGTGCTTAGATTCTGATCCAAATTTGAGTTACAGTCAAAGCTGCCCCCATTGATGGTTGGGACTATCCCTTACTAACCTTCATCTACCCGGCTCCTTTGGTTGTGGCGAAATTTGGTGAACCTAACATGCAAAATGATGACAAATGAGAGGTCCCAAATAGACCAGTCAATTCTATGGAGGATGTGGAAGTTGAACAAAAAATCCTTCTTGTCAGTTCAAGGGATACATGTACTTTCGAGCGTTTCCTTTTCAGCATGTTTGGTGGCACATACAAGTATGGGTTTTTGTCAAGATAGGAACTCCCAAAATTGATGGTCTTTTTTTGGGTGTCCCTTCAAAGCTAACCTTTTACACAGTTTGTCGGAAAACAAAAGCCCTCATTTCGTTTTCCCTGTTTGTTTTCCCTGAAAACAACCCAAACAAGGGAACCTGAAAGGAACACACAGATATATATATATATATATATATGCATGTATATACACATGGGTTTTGCATTTGTGTCTTCCCGACAGCAATGCACTACTTGGACGCCACTTTGCAGTTCGCCAAAAGTGGGCATACAGCCCCAACTGTTCGGCCAGGTAACTACCCCAAAAAGAAAAGGCATCCTCAAACAAACAAATCATCAACCAAACATCAACCCTCAAAAAAACAGAAAGTCAACCTTCAAACATAACCCTCAAAATCAACCCTCAAACAATAAACCCTCAGACAATAAACCCTCAAACAATAAACCCTCAAACAATAAACCCTCAAACAATAAACCCTCAAACAATAAACCCTCAAACAATAAACACTCAAACAATAAACCCTCAAACAATAAACCCTCAAACAATAAACCCTCAAACAATAAACCCTCAAACAATAAACCCTCAAACAATAAACCCTCAAACAATAAACCCTCAAACAATAAACCCTCAAACAATAAACCCTCAAACAATAAACCCTCAAACAATAAACCCTCAAACAATAAACCCTCAAACAATAAACCCTCAAACAATAAACCCTCAAACAATAAACCCTCAAACAATAAACCCTCAAACAATAAACCCTCAAACAATAAACCCTCAAACAATAAACCCTCCAAATCAACCAAAATCAGCACCCCTCGGATCGAAAAGTTGAGCTTGAGCTCGCCGCGTCCGCCAGGCTCCGCCGCACCAGGCCCAAGCGCTGGGAGGCCTTTGTTTTCGCGGAGCTCGCTCGGGGTTCGTTTTTTTTGGGGGACCCCCCGTTGGCTGGGCTTGAAAAAATCATCTTCCCTCTACTTGGTGGTTTGGAGCCCGGTTTTTTTGTGTGGTTAAGGAGGGGTTCCCATTTACCCTCTACAAAAGCCAGTTCGAATCCCCAAACCACCAATCCAAACCGCCAACTAAGGGTTGCCTGAAAACAGGAGCCAAAGGGAAAACCTTCATTTCGGCGGGTCCGGTTCCCTACAAAAACACCATGTCAACCAAGAGTTGCTGAAGCCGAAACAAGTCTGACACAGTCTGACACATGTCTGGGGGGTCGTTTTTGCAACATGTGTAAAACCAGATCTCAACCAACCCTTTGGTTGTCTTAAGATGGGAAGCCCCGAGGTTTAAAGCCGCTAGAGACTGGACACATCAAGCGATTTCGCGCGAAAGTTGGCCAATGACACAGCGAAAGTTGGCCAGACAATGAAGACCAAGCAGATGGCCTTTCTTTTTTTTCCGGGGCTTGCAACATACAAATCCCCTGTTGGCGTCCTCCGTTTGGGAAAGTCAACAAGGCTACTGGGTTGCTCCAAACCCTCGAGCGAAAGGTCTAGGGAGGGTCTGGGAACACATGCAGAAAGCTTAGAGAAACATGCACGGACACACACACACAAACAATCACAAAACCCAGACGCACACGCGCACACACACAGAGACACAGACAGAGAGACACACACACACACACATGGACACAGACATGGACACAAACACAGGCACAAGTGCGGGCACATCTCAGACACAGACACAAGCCCAGGCACTGGCACTGGCACAGACACAAGGCCCTTTGTGTCCCCTTGTTTGACCTGTTTGGCCATCATTCAACACTACTTCCTGTCTTCTGCCGCCCTTCCGAGCACCTTCCGTGCTCTTGGACGTCTAAAAGTTTCGGTTGCTTTTGAAACCTGGCGTTGGAGCTGGCGCTCTGAGCTCAGGCAGTTTGGATTGAAGGGGGTCCTTCTGTAATGCTTCCTTTTCCTCCCGTGTTTCCGCGGTTTGCTTGACCCAATACGCCACTAGCCTTGGCCCATCCGCATCCCTTGCGCCGCCCGAAGCCAGCTCTCACTGGGAAGCTCGGGCCATGCACGGAAATTCGCAGTCAACGGAACGCATGGGTTCTAAGGACCGGCGCCCACAATGTGGCTGCGAAGTGCGAATGTACCACTATCTTATGCAGGGCTGCTTCGAAAACCCCGTCACAAGCCTAGAAGGTGTCCTATTGGACCACAAAAACACAGAAAACCCAAACGCCCCTTGTCCACCCTCGTGCTCATTTGTTCTGAGGCTCTTTTTGCGGTTCCCTAGCTTTGGGGCTTTGCGTGTGGAATTGTCTCACAAGCTCAAGAATCAAAGGTATGAGCATGTACCTTATCTGGTGGTTTTCAAGGAACACCAAGAGGAAAAACAGAATCCTTTTTGGGATTTTGGTCCGAATCCTGAAAAGAAGGCACACCCATATCTCTCTCTCTCTCTCTCTCTCTCTCTCTTTGCGGCGTTTTTTTTCATCACCTTCTTGGCCTAGGTCCCAGCCTCAGCACCGGGAGGCTTATCCTCTGCCTCACGGAAAGCAGGGGGCCCGAAGCTCCACTTTGGAGGTATCAAGTTGGAAGCTGACTCTGTCGCTTTCTGCTCCCCTGCTGAAAGTTCAACTTTTAGTGGTTTAATTCGGAAAACCCATTGCTTGGCAAAAAGTTAAAGTCCTGACATCCAAGCAAGATGCACCAAAGCTGAGACTCTGTGACGCTCTGTTTCGCCGCGTTCAGCGCGGGAGACTCATCGCACAGCTGACATCTCTGGTTGGAGTCGTAGGTGTTTGCTTCAAGGGGTTGACCCTGGGGATGATCTCACCCCCAAAGCTGCGACCAGAACTGACAAAACCGGGAGGACGTGGAATGGTCGGCCTAAACAGCCACGCCGGCTGTCTAAACGGTTGTTCTGTAGGTTTCTTTCTGTGTATCCAGGAGGGCCCCTTTTGCCCCAATTTTACCGCAGATCAAACCTGAATGATCTGAGCCCTGCAGGGATCATCGGCGGCATGCAATGGACACCGCAAAGCGGGCAATTCAGTCTCCGGGCTCTGTGGGGCCCCAATGTCCCCCCCAAATTCACCGTGGATATCTGGCAACCGGAGAGCCTGAAGATCACGGCAACCCGGGAAGAGGCCAAGCAGTGCCAAGCCACCAGTCTCTGCGCATCTCGGTTTCCGGTCCCCACATGAATCATCCCTTGCCATGATCACCTTCAGGCTGCTTCCCAGTTGCGATTCCCAATCGACCAGGAGAGAACAACCAACGGGTTCTCTGAGAAGCTGGCCAAAGCTGCGCCGCCCTTCCTGCAACTCCAGCTCTCTCTCTCGCTCTCTCTCTCTCTCTCTCTTTCTCTCTCTCTGTCGCTTGTGCTCATGAGTCTGCTTCGTGAGATACGGTGTTGAAACCAGGCAGGCAGGCAGGCAGGCAGGCAGGCAGGCAGGCAGGCAGGCAGGCAGGCAGGCAGGCAGGCAGGCAAGCATTTAAAAGCAGTTGCAGGTTGGAATGACCTACGACTGTCAAGAATTAGAAAGCCAAGGCGCAACTCATACATTGACCATGCGACATGCCCCCTTCTTTCTCTCGCTCACATTCTGCAAGCACCATGCCAATCGCCGAGGCAAGTTGGCCTGCTTTCAACAGATTTGGTAAAAAGAAGGGGGGTCAACCCTGGAACATTGAACCAACATGCGCGTGCTCAGCTGCCAGTTTACAGGAAACAAAAAAGACACGTTAGGAAGTCAAATCCGCTTCCAGACGTCCCCGCAATGTGGCAGAAGAACCCGTGCTGTGATACCACAAGCGGTTGATTCAAGACCCAATGACTGCTTAGTTCAATTTGAAGGAACTGGATGCGCCAAGGGCAGGGTTGTGGGATCTTTATCGGAGGGTCATTCTTTCAAGAACAAGAAAGACCTCAGGCACTCAACTTCCCGGCCTCCCGACCTCCCAACCTCCCGACCTCCCGAGCTCCGCCCCACCGCTCCAAGACCCGAGCGCATGCGAGCGCGTTCTTCGCGGATCGGTCCTGCCCAACTTCCTTCTGGCCAGGTGGAAGTGAGCGGCGCTGGTGTTCTCAGCGGACAGGTCCGGCCTCGCGAGCCGCATTCGGCCGCGCTGTGTTTCCGGTTTTGGGCGCACACCCACAAGGCGGCCACGGGAGATGGCTTTTGTTGGCCCCCCCAAAAGAACCCAAGAGAGCGTTGCGAAAGGGATCTGACTTGAAAAGGGGGGGTGTCGTCGTGCTCTTTGAGTGGATGTGTTGCGACGCCCCTTGGTTAAAACGCGCCAAAGGCCATTGTATATTTTCTTCTATCGCGGGTTTTAAGTGGAAATGGACCCTTTGGCGAACATCATTTGACATGTCGATATGTATCCACAAACCATGTTGAAAGGTCTTCGTCATCACAATTTATGCTGTCGATGGACGAGATCCTGCACTGCTTTGAAACCATGGGAAACCATTGTTTGTTGGTATTACAGCGGAATCGAAGCATTCCCAGGGTTTCTGGGGTGGTGCCATCCACAGTAGCACCATTGCTATAGTGGTTTCTACCGGCCTTCCTGTACACCTCGATAGAACCAAGCAGTAGAACTGCCATGGGATTTGAAGTGGGAGCTGTGTTTGGAGTGTGGCGTAACTGGATGCATCTCCCAACAACTTACTCTCACCTTGCAAGTTGGTGGATTGGCTTGTTGGATGTTCGGGGGTGCCTTCCCCCATTCTTCCAAAGCCACCCAATGAGCCCCAAAGCCTGAGTGCCATCCGAAAAGAGAGAGAGAGAGAAGGAGAGAGAGCACTGCACCAAATCCAGACTTACAAGCGGAAGCAAAAAACTATCCTTTTCTTGGAAGAGGCTCCCAGGGGAGTATCCACGGTTCCTTGACGTAGATGTTTTGGAACCGGCACCTTGCCAAACATACGCATACATTTGGGGCATTGAGGTCATGGCTTCATGAGTACGTGCTCCAACAACAAATGCAAGCCTCACTCTGCAAACCCCCTCACACTTGTCTTGTCCAGGCCGGTGAAATTTGTATGGCAAATCTTCAGCTGTCACAGGCTTGAAGTTGAACACGATTGTCCGTCGAAGACTGAGCTGCGCACAAAAACGTTGCCACACCTCAGAGCCAAAATGGTTGACTCCACATGCCGCATGTCTTTCCACATCGATGGGCACGGCCGTTTCGGCTGGCAAGGCGAAAACATGTCCTTTCAAGGCACACAAGGGTGTGTGTGTGTGTGTCTCAAAGCAAGGAAACCCGCCAAAAGGTGGTTTCCCTTTGGCTTCCCTTCCAAACAACCCCTAAACAGGGTGCCCAAAACGAGCCGCACCCGCGAGCATCAAGAACCCGGCCCCTGAATCCCGCCAAGGCTCGCAATCGGCTCACCAGAGTCCGCACGCAGCGGTGCCTGGGAGCAGCTCTGGGTGCACTGTTGTCTACACCGTCAGCTGAAAAACATCTTATTATGAACAAACTCGAATTTTCACAAACCAATAGAAAAAACCTTCGAAGATTTAGGGCAAGTTATAATCGTTTTTTTGCTGAAATGGGGGCTCTATAGGACTCCTTAGTAAAACATCTTGAATTCAGTTTACGCGTGGCAGAACCTCGGGGCGAGTCGGAATATAGGTGTTCAGAGCCTCAGAGCCGTCAAGAGACCCGTGGTTTCCTTAGCAAGATGGCCTTTTGGACAATTAGATGCGTCTCTGGCAGATTGGAATAAAGAACACCCGGCTAAACCAGCGCCACCTAGCCTTTTGGCCAAACTCACCTAAACCGGACACCTCTGTATTCCTTGGGCTTCCCCTTGCAGACCACAAGTCACCGCCGACTCCTCCGCTCGATCCGAGCGAGCGCGCTCCGCTTCTCGAGGGCCGGGCAAGCGCCACAGGCAGTCCACAAAGCTCTGGGCCAAGGCCTCACCGAAGCCGCCCGAAACCGGAGCCCGGGGGTCGCGCACAAACTCCCGAGCTGTTTGCGCTCCGCTTCCATAATCTTAGAACTACCACAAGCTTCCTTTTTTTGGAGGTTCCAGGTTAGAAGCCAGGAAGTGCCTGGTGAGTTGGCTGCACGGAAAAGTTCCACCATCTTCTTATTTTTGCCCCAGTCAAATGAAGGAACAAAAACACCGCCAAACCACAAAACGTGTTCTAGCTGTTTTGCGAACCTTTGCTCGGGGGTTGCCGCAAGCTCGCTTCCTGGGGTCGCGCTTGTTGTTCGTTTCTTCCCTCGTTCAGCGGGTTTGAGTGGAAAACCGGCCATGGATCTCAAAACACTGAAGCCAAAGGCACAATATAACACAATCTATCTACATTTGCCAGAAGGACGCCGCGGAGTACCTGGTTTGTCCTCCAAATTGTCCCTTTCACCGGAGTAAAGGGGGTTCCATGCAATGTCGCAACCCGCCGGGATGAGCCGCGCTTTTTTCCCCACTTTCATTGGTAGCTGGGATTCGCCGGCAAAAAAAAGGCGACCCAAACGAAAGTCACACCCTTTTGCCTCCACTGGCGGTGAAAACGAAGGCCATCGGATCGATCAACCGGATGCGGAGGCCTCCTCTTGCGAGGAGCGTCCCGCGAAGGCGCTGTGCCTTAGCCCACGAGCTCTCGACTGCCGCATTCGCTCAGCTTGGTATTGGAGGGGTCCCAACACCGGGTGGACCACACCCATTGAACTCAGAGTCCTGGTCAGGGAGCCTCATTGCCTTTCCCTCTTGGCGGCTCAGAATTGTCCAGATGGCAAGGGGATTGTGCCCTGGACTTCATCTACCTGAAGCGGTTGTTATTGGTTCTCACGTGGCCCGCCGACGAGGTCGACTACATCCACTTGAAGTGTAGGTTGACCAGAAAAGTGTCCTTCTGATATGTGGTTTGGATTGGTTTTCATCTTCCCGTAATTCGCGGCTTGGATTCGTGGTTTTCATTGAAGCTCATATTTTGGCTCGCAACTTCACCAAGGCACCAGTCGTGCAGGAGGAGCAGGGACTGATACAGCACCCACCTGCAAGAAATAAATGGCGTGCTGTAGGTTCTGGTGCCCCAAAGAGCCTGAAGCCTTTCAGAAAGCCTCAAGGACATGCCATCTTTTTCTTGGGCACCCATCTGAGATGCTTCGAACTGATGGACAAAATCCGTTCACACTTTGAAACCCTGGTTGAAAACCATTGTTTGTTATTTACAGGGCAATCAAATCATTCCAGGGTTTCTGAACGGTGAGGGGCAGGATTTCGTCCATCCACGGTAAGACCAACATGCTTTCAAACATCCACCAAAGGGCCTGGAATTACAGTTCATACCCATAGAGCTGGCCCCTCCCCCCTCCGTTGCAAAATTCGCTGCCAATCCACCACACAACTTGACTTGTGCTCCCCAGTTGCCATGCCAGCACCATACACAGCCACAGCACGGGCAGAACCCAACAGAGGCAAACGCATGACTATTAGTGGCTTTCGGGTTGTCAGAGACCACTACCGCGCTCGCTCGTAAAATGGCTCCCCTTGCGAGTCGGCTCTTCACCAGTGCTAGAATCTATAGGGTGTTTTTCTCAAAAAGGGGAACCGCCCAAAAGTTGTTGGTTTGGTGTTGGTGTCCTTGAAAGCAAAAATCCGGCAAAGGGCTCTCTCAGAAACGGAACCACGCCCACTTGGGCCAAGCGCCTCCTGTGTATGAGCAGCAACTCGTTGGAAAGCCTGCAGCCCAGTGATTTGCTGCAAGCATCATACATTTGGGTGAACAACAGTAAATTCGCCAACCGAATCGCAAGGCTTCTCTATGACAAACCTCTCATGGGTGTAGGTTGCCTTTTATTTGAACACATTGGACATGAAGACGGGTTGGGACTCGTTGTCATTAAGAATCAAAGAGTGATACAAATACTGTAGATGGACAAAGTCCGTTCGCACCGCTCAAGACACCCTGTTCGAAACCATTGTTTGTTGGAACTTACCAAGGAATTGTATCGTCCCAGGGTTTCTGACATGGTGCGAAAGAGTGTGGAAGGGAGGCAAGTGAGGGGGAGTGAGGGAGCGAGGGAGCGCGGGAGTCAGGGAGTCAGGGAGACAGGGAGTCAGGGAGTGAGTGACAGAGTGACTGAGGGACTGAGGGACTGAGTGACTGAGTGACTGAGTGACTAGCTGGCTGGCTGACTGACTGACTGACTGACTGACTGACTGACGGATGCATGGATGGGTTGATGGCTTGCTGGATGAATGGATGGATGGATGGATGGATGGATGGATGGATGGATGGATGGATGGATGGATGGATGGATTAACCAATTAATGAACTGATTGCTTGCTTGCTTGCTTGCTTTGATTGATTGATTGATTGATTGATTGATTGATTGATTGATTGATTGATTGATTGATTGGTTGGTTGGTTGGTTGGTTGGTTGGTTGGTTGGTTGGTTGGTTGATCCATTATTGATTCATTGATCGATCGATCGATCGATTGATTTAAGGGAGGGACGGATGGAACGGATGGGACGGATGGACGCAGGGACCCAGGAATGGAGCACGGTTCCGTGCCTTGTTCGATATTTGGCTGGTGGGTGGGTGCTGTGCGCATAGAATTCAAGCCTGCTTGCGACAGTCTGTGGCCCAAAAGATCGATTTGCTTGCATTCGGAGAGGGAAGCCCTGGTGCGCATGCATGCTGGTCCTTTCTTGCAATGCAGGGATGTGCACCTTGACGTGCAGTTTGGGCCTCTCCCAGGCTCTCAGAACCTGGAGAAAAAAAAAAACGCGCAACCCTTACTAGGTCCTCCAGACGTGAGAGGTTAGAATAAGGGTACCCGATTTCTTTCTCTGTAGTTTATTTTAGCAGGGGAACCCTCCCCCCAAAAAAGGGTAAAAGGACTACTGGGGGACCTAGTTGACCAAAAGTCCGGCAACCTTCCTGGGTTTTCAGTCGCAAGCCAAGCCCCTTGTGCCTTGTACGGTCGTACCTTGCACAAAAATACATGTATAGGTATCTTTCCAAGAAGGTTTTTCAAGCATGGGGATATTTCCCACAAAGGAGCCCGAAACAAGGGATGGTTCCTCTTAGGTTTCCGCTTGAACTCCCCAAACAGGCGAAACGCGTGAAACAGCCCATGCGCGCCTCTTCAAGTCCTTCCTTTGCTCTGTGCCCAATGACAGGCCAGTTTCGCCCAACCTCACTCATGGCGGCTCCCATGTGCTTTGGCCAAGGCAAGGCCCTCCGGGCAAGCCACTTGCCGGCTGGAACAGGCGTGGCTGACTTGCAAATCACGGACATGGCTCGAACTACAAAAGGCAACCTCCAGCCCCGGGCTCCGTAGTGCCGCCCTGAAAATCTCAGGTCTGCGAAAACCCGCTAGTTCCTGAAGATACCAAAGATCAAGGAAGAGTAAAGCCACGCCGCATTAGGCGCGCATTACACGTGTACATGTGCACAACCATTGTTCCCCCCCCCTTCAACCCAAAGGCATTAACCTTTTGGCATCCAAAGACTTCTGAACAAAAGGGCAACTCAGACTCCTTGGGTTCGCGAATGCGCGATAGAAAAGGGGGCCTGAACCAAGCTTAGTGCAGGGCATCTTCGCCATGGCCGGCGCGGCCTCTGGCGAACACGTGGCACCGGTTGGCTGCGGCTCGTCGCTGGAAGGGTGCGATACAGCTGGGTGAAAGTAGATGGAATATGTACTACTGCCATCTACTTTCACCCTGGTGCTAAATTCGGGTTTCAACCTGCTGAAGTATTTGTACATTATTATAATATGATAGAATATGAATCGTGTGAATTGAAGTTTGGCTCCATTTGGCTGTATTGGTAAAAATGAGGATACAAATGGCAACAACAATATCTGTAGGGGATTCATAGCAGGTGCATGGGCTGGGTAGGGTGTGTTGAAAAAAACAGCATACTGCGCAACCCCTGTTTGTATCCGTCACTTAAACATTATCGGCTTGGCTCGCTCCCGGTCACATAAACATCCAAACAAGTCTCGAGGAAATCGCGGAGGATGTTTGTCATTCGAGGGCAAACTATCCCCGGTTTCTTCCCTCAAATGAGCTCTGGCCCGACGGGGGAGAAAGCAGAGCTAGGATTGGTCAAGGCAGGCACTCCCACCTCACAGGTCTCTTCTGGGTTGGTCAAGCTGACCTGCAACGCGTCATTTCCAAATACCTAAAATGTTTGAAGCCGAATCAAAAAGCAACCAAAAGACAACGCAAAACATACTCAAGTGGGGAACAAAATACATTCCAATGTCGCCCCCTTCCCCCTTATGTATATACTCTGTTATTATTATATATTGTTTTTTTTTTTGTTTTTTTGATGATGTTTTCTTATTATTATTATTTTATTGTTTTTTTTTTTTTTTTTTTTTTTTTTTAAAAAAAGGCGAAAGCCGCGAGTGTCGCGGATCTTCTGTCTCTTGGCCTCCTTGACGCGCTCCGCCAGCTTCTCGGCCAGTTCGGCCTGAGAGAAAAAATCGCGCAGCCCTTCTCCGGGACAGGAGCGGATGTGGAAAAAAATCAATGCAAGGTCACAGAGCAAGACATACAACCAACAACTCAGAGGTACCCCGAAAAGCCTGTGCTCATTTGGTGTCCCATCCAACCTGCCAGTGGTAATTACTGAAAGGTTGAAACAAAAAAAATCAAATGGGGCTGGGCACTGAAAACACCAGAGTCATAGTGGTAAACTATTCACAATTGTTTGACTGGGACTCAAAAACTGATACCCAAAATGGCACTTTGATATATGGAAACAAAGACTAAAACCTGCATAACCCCAGCTGTTTAATCTTGAGCCAGCCAGACTACCCATCCCGTTTTGGTCTCCGGAGGTGTGGGGCGTACTGCTCACATAGGTGTCCTTTTTGGGAAAATGGACAGACCTGAAAGATGATTGAACCACCAAGTAAACCAGGACCCTCTATTTTTCAACCAAACCAACCAGCCAGGACTCTATGACTGCTCATGTCGGTGGGTTCCGCGACCCGACACAATCAACGCTTCTTATTCAAAAGCTGGTCGGTGTTCTCACTTCCTGAGTGGAATGGCAAAAAACAAATCAGTCTTTACCACCAAAATGGTCTTGCCAAAAGTTGAAAGTTCAGGAACTCGTGAAGTGAGTACTTTTTTCAGTTGGGTTTTTGGTGAACTCTGGAAAGACGAATCCCTGAAACGAAGAACGGCACTTGCCCCATTCGGGTTTAAGCATGAGACTGCACCCCTCCAAGTGGGCAGAAAACCAGTTGAGGCAACTCCATGAAGCGGAACCTGGACCCCAGAGGTAAATAGTTGGCTTGTATTTGCATTCCTTCCAGCGCAAGGTCCACGAATGAAAACCCGACAACATTACCAAGAGAAACTCATTAGGGACACCCCAACAACGACAAACCCTGGAAATAACAAGTCCGTTGCTCATATGCCCGTGCGGCTGGACCCTCTTTGAGCAAACGGTGTCCCAAAAACAATGTTTGTCGTGCTCCTATCGAACCAGCAAGTCTAGCGAGTCTAGTGGCAATCAAAAGTTTACTAGACTTTTCGGACAAGTGAAACAGTTACCCACGCCGGGCTGGAAGTCTCAACTTCAATCGCAACGTCGCAAGAATGCTTGGAACTTCCTCCACAGATCGACATGGAACCCCACAACCACCATTTGTAGAGGAAACTCCTTTTTGGCAGTAAGAAGCCCGGCGGGGGGGAGGGAGGAGGCGAGTTACTTACTTACTTGCGGACCAGGGTTCCTCATGCCTTTCGGGGAGGCCCCTTTTTAGGAGATCCCTTCCGTTCATTTGTGGACTACCCCACGAGTAAGGGCGCGGCCACCTTGCCGCGAATGCGGATCCGCGTGGCCTCGGATCTGACCGATTCGAGGCAGTGGTGCAGCTAGTGGCCCGACCATTTCGTTGTTCGCCCCCGGGGAAAACATTAGAGGAAGATATGTGCACAATCAAACCATGGGAACGAACATATCTAAATAATATGGAAGATATGTCCACAATCAAAATCAACAGGGGAACACAAACATCTGTTGGACGATTTTAGTTGCCGTTTCGTCCTCAACTGGGACTCCTGACGTCTTGAGTGCGTTGGATAGAACAAGGCCAGACTTTCGTTTATCACCAACATGATCTCCTCCCCATCAATAGATCAAACCATAAACTGCATGAAGAAATGAGTAATCACTGCCTTTTGTCCGTCTCAAAAGACGACCAAATACAAAGCCAGGCTTCTCCTGCGAAGAGCTGATTCGCTTGCGCGCGTTTCCTTTGGCCTCGAGAGTCCTGAGAGTCGCCTTCCAGGCTGAGCGCTCTGCAGATTCTTCATCGCCACCTGGCAGGCTGGCAGGCCATGCGCGGACCGCATCTTGACTGGGCGGTTCAAAGGGAATCCTTCATCCTTACCTACTGCTCACTTGCCCAGTTCGGACTTGGAAATAAATAAAAGGTGATCACCTCTCGGGACCTCTACTAAAAGTAGACCAAAAAGGGAAAACCAAAAGGTCAAACAACTGAGACTGTGACGCAAGGGACGGGTCCCTTTTGTAGTGGCTTCCCAAGAGGGACTTTGGGTTAGGATTGGCCAAGCCTCCATTTTGAACAACTCGCATCTTGATGTCACATGCAAAAATCTTTGCGGCTGGCCAGAGGGTTAATCCCTTGGCAGCAAACCGTCCAGCGGGCAGTGTCGGGGAGTCTCAGGCAAACAAGACTCCCCTGAACTGAGCCCCCGAGAAAAAACCAAAAAAAAACTAAGACTTGGATTTCAATTTCACCCTGCCTATGAAATCTAGGAACCAAAAACATAGGAACCCGAGACCCGAAGGAAGCAACAAAACAACTAACATAGGAACCCTACGCGGAACCCCGGCACCAACGTGACCCGGCCTCCAAAGGCCTTGGGCCACATCATCAAGGCGCCGGAGCTCATGCTGCACGCCTGCCAGATTTTTCGCGTGGCCCGGGCCAGCTTCCTTTCTTGGGAGACCAACGGGTGATGCAGACGTAGGACATAGGCGTACATAGTATAGACGTTCTGAAACGACACTTAGGTGCTCGTTTGTGTTTGTTTTGTGTTTTCTTTTGGGGGGAACCAGTACCCTTTAAGGGAGATCGACGAGAAACCAAAGCACGTGTTTTTGAGGGTTCCCCTATGGACATTGGGCGTATAGAGATTCCGAAACGAGGAGTCATTGGACAACATCCACCAGTTGGTAGGTGATTCATCAACCAGTATTCATAGGGTTTGTGCGTACGTTGGGAAGACACCCGGTTTGGTCTGAGATAAAATGCTTGCACAGGGCCTAAATAGTTGGAATGGAGGGATTGGGGGTAATGTAAAAACCGCAGTGGGTCATGATTAGAGGTAACTAGAAATTATGTTGCCCTAACAGAAAGCTTCCCAAGACGGAAGGACTCCTGTGGATGCGTTAGGCATCCGGCACTTGGGCGGGAGCTCCCTAAAATGAAAGCTGGTAGGTGTAAGGTTCAAGCAAGGTTCCGGACTTCCACCAGGGTTTACACCACCCGAAACCTCCGGAACCTTCCTTGAACCTTGCACCTGTGCACCAGACCACTCCGGAACCTCCGGAACCCTGGCTCTGCACCAGACCACCCCGAAACCTCCGCAATGAATCTTACACCTGGCCTGCACCAGACCACCCCGGAACCTCCGGAACCTTCCTTGAACCTGCACCAGACCACCCCGTGACCGCACCAGACCATTCCGGAACCTCCGGAACTTGCCTTGAACCTTACACCTGGCCTGCACCAGACATCCCCGGAACCTCCGGAACCATGCTCGAACCTGACTCCAGAGCTCCCCCGCGCCACCCCCAAACCTTATCTGGGCTGAGACCCCTTAGCTTTCAGCTGTTGGGAAAAAAAAGGACACCCAACCAGATAGCACCCTCAAAATCAGACCCCAAATTATAAAGATACCGGCGCGTGGCATGGCACATAACGGGCAGATGTTCAGGGCACGCACCCAAGGGTCATCATTCCCCTGAAACGGAGGAATCAGAGCCCTGAGTAGTCCAAAGCCTGAAGCATTGGGTCGCAAGAGGTCGAATTCAACGGCTCATCAAACTCAACCTATGGGAAATCAGGAACCCCTCGTTCAAGGAAGCTCTTGTGCTTCAGCCAGAGGAGGCCAGTTTCCCCCAGGCCCGAGTAACTTCCTGAGTGGTTTGTCCATAAATCAAGTTTCACTTACAAGTTCATCACCAACAGTATCTCCCAAAAAGTGCCAAGTCGGGAAACTCGTGCAAGAAATCCCAAAGGTAGCGCCCCTATTTTTGGGAATGCCGATCTCGGGGCAAACAGCCTGAAGCCATGCAAAAGTGACACTTCTTGGTTAGCACCAACTGTTGTTCTTCCCAAAAGCGTGACAAAAATCAAAAGTCCGGAAACCCGGAGAGTAAGTCTCTGCAAAGGGTTTTCAAACCTCGGCTTCTTCGTGAGCCGCCTCGTGCGCTGCAGCTCCCAGCTCCTGCAAAGCCTTGCGAGGCAAAGGGAAACCTAGGGCTAGGCATGCCCAGTTCGTACCCAGAAATAAAAGGTCATCACCTTTTGCCCCTCTGCGAAACATGGACCAGATCAGGGAAAATCAAAATGTTAAAAGGTCGGCTTCGGGCGAGTGAGATGCTAGTAGGGCAAGCAACAGGGTGTGGCGCTTTGGAGTGTACCGTTTTTGGATCCGTTCTTGGATGGAAACAATAGGAAACCGCCGATGCCTGTTTGGCGGCTCCGAGTCCAAATTTGCGATAAACCCAACAACCATCCAGACCCCCCATTGGATAGGGCCCAAGCAACAACGGAACCACCTTCATTTGACCCACGAGAGGGCAAGCCGCCATATTCCACAAATCGGAAACGCAGGAGGTCCCAAGCATGTTCCACCAGGTGAGCTCGATAATTAGTGACGTATCGCATGCCCTTTGCAAAGAGTGGATTCCATGCATTCTTAGACTCTGGCTGACGCAAGCCATTTGGGCACCCTAGCTCTAGTGGGCACCCTAGCTCTAGTGGGCACCCTAGCTCTAGTGGGCACCCTAGCTCTAGTTGGCACCCTAGCCAACAAAGACACAAACCCTGGCGAGTTGAGGGGTCTACCTGGATTTATGGCTGTCAATCAGCTTTGGGTGCTGATCAGTTGCCACTTGCCAGGCTCCAGTATGCTTTTTTTCCTGGGCGAGGACTGGTTACTCCTTAGTTTTGGGACGGTGCCTCACGCATGAAACTGAGACGCGTATTGCGGAACTTAGAGAGCCCAATAGCTCTGCACGAACACAAAAAGGGAGCTCAGCTGTATCAGAGGAATCGAAACACTGAAACAAAACAAGGCGTATCCCGACAGCTCCGTTCCCAGAACCCACCGGCCCACGCCCCTCAATGACTGTCACTGGGAAAGAAACAATCTATCTTCTGGCTTCCTTCAGGGGCAAAGCCCATTGAAGACCGGTGCGTCCCTTCTCGCGCCCAGTCAAAACCTGCTGTTCCCTCAAGGGAACATTATCCTGCTTTTGTGGCTGGATTTTAGAGTTCGCGTTCGTCTCAAATTGGCAGACTCTTATCACTTCCCTTCCTTTCCGGGAAATCGCCAGAAACACAAAGCGATCGGTCTTTGGAAAGGATCCCTAGAACTACGGGATGACAAAACTCCTCTAGCTCACTCGCCAACAACCCCCTTTGCTGGCGCCTCCTCCCGCTGCTTCATGAACCTGCCCTGCTGAGAGCTCAGGCTGAAACCAGTCCTGACAGGCAAGAGGATCCACATAGATTCGAGGGAGACAGCAAAAAAGGAAACACTCCCACTAACAGAACACTCCCACAAACAGAAGGCACCTGACAGGGAAATGGTGACCCCAAAAGGACACCTACACATGATCACTTGCCCCCACACATTGGTGGTTTCCTTTGATCTCTTAGAGCAGCCCCAAGAGCGGCTCACGTCAGTTGCTCGCCGGGTACCCCGTTTAGTGCAGGCTGGGGCGGCTGGCCAAAGGTCATGCTGCGTCCAGTCGAAGGGCACCTCAGCCGTTTTGTCTGGAGCATAGGTGTCCTTTTAGGGTACATAGATGGCCCTGGTAGATGATTAAACCACCAGGTAAACCAGGGCCATCTATTTTTCTACCAAAACAACCAAAAAGGACACCTATGGTCTGGAGAAGCTGCCTATGAAATTGCCATTTCTTTCGTTTGGAGAGCCCAAAAGGGCAAAAGCGTAGAATTGAGCATGTGCCAAAGCGGTCAAGTTCAAACGACCCCAATGCCATGACTTGTCAATTGATATGGGGCTTGAACTCTCATTCGAGCGCTTGAACCTTGGGGGGTTGTTCTGTCCAACCAACCATTTTCCAGGAAATTGAAATTCATACCCACCCCAAACCGAGCATATTTGAGCCTACCTTTTGGCTTCTGGGGCATCTTTTGTTTCAACCGATTTTAGGTTTCCCTTAGCTTCAGATGGGTGTGAATTTTGTTTGGGCACCCCCGAAAATTGTGGATTTCCTTGCTAAATCCACACAAAAAGGCGCGCTCGAAAAAAGACGAGCCCCCGGGGATCAACTCCAGAAAGGCACCGCCCCCTTTTGTCACCCTTAACCTTGGGTTAAGGCACCAAGAGACGTGTCACATCCAGCACCGTCCCACTTGAGTCACAAACACCGCCTGGTAAACCCATGTGGCTATGGCTCGAAAGTTGGTACCCGAAAGCTGCTCAAAAAATGGAATCTCCAACATGGCACCTTGGCAAGCGGAAACAAGGACGAACACCTGCGTTGATAGCTCCTTTACTTTGAGCCACACGCACACAAAAGAAAAGCAGAAGCGAGGCCATTGGCGCCAACTTCTGGCTGTTTCCTGGGCCTTTGCCTGGCTTTGGTTCGCCAAACCGAGACTTTCTCCGGTGTCCGGTTAGCAAGCCAAGCTTTCTATGGCTACTGGGCGTCCGTCTTTTTCTCAGGGAACCAGTTGTTTGGCTTGGTTCCAAAGGAAACCAAAAGGAAACCAAAAGGAACCAAAAAGAAACCAAAACTAAACCAAAAAGAAACCAAAAAGAAACCAAAAGGAAACCAAAAGGAAACCAAAAAGAAACCAAAAGGAAACCAAAAGGAAACCGAAAGGAAACCAAAAGGAAACCAAACGGAAACCAAAAAGAAACCAAAAAGAAACCAAAAGGAAACCAAAAGGAAACCAAAAGGAAACCAAAACGAAACCAAAAACCTTTTTGAGCTGTGAATTCTGGGCTGCTCCATGGTGCTCCCCTTTTGCTCAAACCAACCATAAGGCTCCAAGTACCAAACATGCACTTTGCGTAGCTTATGATAGGTCCCCCTATGGTCAAATGTGAGTGGCTCGTCTTTCTTTGTCGTTTTGCCTTTTGGTTTCCCTGCAAAACAAACCAAAACAGGACCCGTTCCCCAAACCAGAAGACTCCCCCTGAAACTAACCACAAGTCTGGTTCAGTTCGGGGCCATTCCCTACCAGCCTTGGATGCTCCTGCCCAACGCGAAACAAGGTGCGTGATATCCATACGGGGACTTCGCCTAGCATCACCCCAGTTCCCCCATGCCTCATCCCCTTTTGCCCTGACGTACCGCTAAAACCTCCCCCCGTCCGAGGCCCCGGGCCCAGCGCGCGAAGCGCAGCTGCAGCGCCTGCTTGGCCTGGGCGGACTCCAGACGCTCCTTCTCCATCTGGTCCCGGAGGCCTGGAATTGAGTTTAGGTCACCAGATCCCCGCAGATCCCGGTGGCCTTCGTCCCGGTTGGCGCCAAGCTGAAAGGGACCTATGAAAAAAATTGACGAATTTCTAGGTCATCCGGATTTGAGAGGATAGAAGAAGGGCACCAGCTTTTTTCTGTAGCCTGTGTTCGTAGAGGAACCCTCTCCCCCAAAAAAAGGAAGCGGCACAGGGGCACTCCCGGACCGAGTTGAGTCCGGACCCACGAAATCGGCCACGCCTTTCCGAAGCGATCGCGAAGAAGATCGGCAGTTCAGTCAGTATCGGCAGGGAGAAATGGTGCCATCGGGGAAGGAGGAAATGGCTTCTGACCCCCCCCCCCCCCGATTTTTTAACCATCCAACTGGTGTCCTGCAAGCCTTTAACGCCTTTCTGGGGACTCCTGGAGGCTCGGTTTAAACCATCCAACTGGTGTCCTTTAAGGGGACTCCTGGGTTCATTCCAAGTCTCATTCCCTACTGAGCACCAGCAAGTCCCGGTGAAACTGGAATAACACATCCATGGGCTTCCCTGGCAAATGGAATGAACCGGCTTCGGGGATTCCCGAAAAAAGGACACCAAATCGGATGGATGGCTTTTCTTGGGGTCATTCCATTTCTCATTCCCTGCTGAGAACCAGCAAATTAAAGCACTGTGTCCTGTTGATCAAGTAGATGGGTTTCCTACAAAATCGATGGCATAACACTCATCTAAACCACCACCCATCTCTATGTCTAACCCAACTCATCCAAAAAGGACGCCTATGGCCAGACAAATTTTCCACAACCCCTACCTGGGTGCATGGAAACCTGCACAGGTGTGCAATCCCTTTGCGATCCGCTGCTTGGTGAAAAATAGATCACACGTTCCTGCTCATTCGCGATGCGTAAAAAGACCAGCCAGCTACTGCAAAACTATTGCAAAGAGGATCTTTCGTAAACTGGAGGATTGCCTTTGAAGAGCCCCTTCATACATCTGCCAAGTTTACGACAATTCCAAAACCTGAAATCAAGGCTCCCGCCACCAAAGACCTACATCACAGTCAGCGCTGTTTGCCCCCTTGGCGAGCTCGCCAAACAATTGTCCTCTTGATTGGTGGGACCTAAGTTTACAAGTATAGGACAAATCGTTGCATTCCGCTGGATTGTGATGCCGAATCCATCAATGTTCGACCGTCAAAAAGAACACCCAAATCAACATGCCCAGTTGAAGGCATGCTGAATAGAGAAGTGGACCAAAGCCAGCCGCGAGTCGTTGTAACACGGCTTGCCGGGCTCAGGGGAGCGGCCAAATGGGTGTGTCCCAAAAAGTCAGGGACCCCCCCCAAAACGGAGGTTTCCTTTCGGTTGCCTTTTCAAACCAAACAAAGGGCCTTCCTTGTGGTTTGCTTTTGGCTTCCCTTTTCCTTTTGGTTGTCTTTCAAAACCCACACCAAGAACAGGTCCCCCGAAGAAAAAGTCATGATCTCGGCTTTCGGCTTTGTGACAGCTGGGCGGACGCGGAGAACTGGTGGTCCTGGGCCAGTCTCGGGGAGCGCCAAGGAGATCTGTGGGGGTTCCATGACCTAACCACATGGCTGTGGTCAAAACCCAGGAAAACCCCCCGGTGAACATCACAATAGCTGGTACATGGGTGTTCATCCGCCCCACAATGGAGGAGGTTTTGACCCATGGCCACATGGGGCCGGGCCATGGGAAAGGCTGATGGAATCCACAAATCTGTGATACAACAGAAAGGACCAAACCCCAAAGACTAAGCCCCAGGGGTAGATCCCGCAAGATATCACAGAAGTGGGGGATAACCCCGAGTGATCCCACAACCCTCGCAGTTGGAATCTCAGTACCTTTACCCCGCCCCCAAAAGGGGTCATCCGTCCCAACTGGTGCGAAGGGGATGGTGTCCATCCATAGCATTTATCTGCAAGAGAGCACATGACCCAGTTTGCCACCCGTTTTGGCAACTGTGCCTGGGTACACATTTGATAAGGGACCCACAAAGGTCATCATTTAGGCGGGGATTCATGTCCACCAACAAATTGGGCGGTGGTCCTCTATTGAAATTCATGGCTACCCCTTCAAGGGTGGTTGATCGCCTAGACCCCTGGCGGATGAGCGTAAAATGGGGACTCCTCCTTACAGAACCGAGTAACAACACAAACGCAGAACATATGGGCGTGTCCTTGCTTGAGGATACCCCCTTTTGGTGGTTTTAACGGGAAACCAAAAGCCAAGCCACCATTTTGCGGGGACCCTAAAAGAAGACACACCCGCATATGAACCACGTGGCAAAGGTTTCAGGGTCTGGAGCCAACTTTGAGTACGGCTCAGAACTCACAGACGCTTGTTCTATCGTCAAGGTGTAGGCCTTATTGCCCTGATGAGGCTGGGAACCAACGTGGGAAAATCGGATCCTATGTGAGAACCCCGTCATCCCACACGGAGGATGTAAAAAAACCCGTTCACCACTCTCGAACTCGCATCGACCCAAACAAACGCTAGCCCAACTCCGCAGCGTCATGTTTAAACACTTAGTGGTGGGATTGTGGTGATTGAAAAAACATGCTCGATGTGCCAACTTGGGATAGCTTGAGGAGCATCCCCCAGTTGTACGAGGTTCACCTTTTGAGTGAGAAACAGTCCTTGTATCGAAAAGGGGGCAAAAGGAAAGCCGCTGGGAAGCCTACGCAAGTGATATGACACGAACCTAACCACTGCATGCAATTGCCTGGTTATGGGGTTTCTCGCTATGAATTTATAAGAAGCCACCTACAATTTTAAATGGGCAAAAGCCATATAATCAATGGGCAGAGCTCACCATATGTTGGGCAGAAGCCATCCACCAAAAAGGTCCAACACATCCACGGGTATGTGAAAATAGTGCGTAACGCAAAACCAACCAATAGGCACAGTTTGCACTGGAGCGCTTCGACCGGGAAATGGGGTCGCAATTGGAGGCATGTGTCCTTTTTGGAAAATAGATGGCCCCGGTAGATGATTGAAGCAGGCAAACCAGCGCCTTCTTTTGTTTCAGCAAACCAAACAAAAAGGACACCTATGATTGGAGGTCCATGTAAAAAGGTGCCAAAAGATCGGACTTTTCGGTATCAGCGGCAGCTACCGGACAGGTCCGGAAAGGAACCAAGGCCAAAGCCAGGCTGCCAATGCGCTCCACCTGCACACATGGAGATCAGTGTCTCCTAAACCTCCACGCGCGAAGACCCGTGCCCTGCGAAAAAATGAGAACATATGTCCAGCTGTGCAATCGAGTCCTATTCAAACCAGAAAATAAACCATGTTCTTAAGCAATTGGAAATAAATGGGTTACCCTCCAGCACAACATTGAGTGTAAGCACAACAAAGATATACTTCACACAACAAGATCGACATGTTGACACTCTCTGATCCCCGACGAGGCTTGGATGTTGCTGCAAATGCCTGTCCGGTGCCATGTGGGGAGGCGAAGGATTCACGAAGCTGCGACCCCGAAAGGTGGGTATGGACTCAATAGGGAGGCCACCCCCAAAATGGTGGTGTCCCTTCGTCAAGCAAAAAGGGGTACCGTCAAGAACTAAACAAAAACTGCCCACACACACCCAGACACTCTCACTCCACACTGGTCATGAATCAGTCATCCGCAGTCCCCTTCTCAGCTTCCGACCATTCTCCGGTTCTCGCCAGTGAGTCTCTCCACCTACCAGAGGCTGGGCCCCTCCGCCAAGACTTTGGAAAGGGCGCCCTTTCCCGATCCGTGCGCGCCACATGGCCTTGTGGGTGTGGCTCCTTATGTTCGAAACATATTCGAACGCGCTTGCCTGATCTGCTTAATTATGCTTACCTTTGAAGGAGCAATAGAACACAGCGGAAGCCATGGTGGCTGTGTTGTTGCCATTAAACCACATTGTTTGGGTGTTGCAAATTGGCCAATAGACATGTCCAAGGCATACAGGTACCGTAGTTCTTCATGAGCTTCCCTGTCATTGGTGGCTTGGAGTGGGTGGTTTCCCATGTACCCACAAGAACCAGGGGTTCAAATCCAATCCCAAACCAATCCAAACCACCAAAATTTACCTCACCTCAGCACCTGACAAAGCAAAATGCTTAAGCCAGCTTCCATTGGAAGCACTCACCACCCCAACTGTGTCTTCCCACCAAGGGTTCCCTTTCTCGCCATCGACTGGAAGGATTTTCAGAATTGCCTTTGACAGATGTCCACCAACCCTTTGCTAGTTCTAAATTTTGACAACACCCAGCACCCCCAAAGAATATGAAGCATAAGCAGCACATGGCATTAAAGCTGTCTGCTCAAACACCATGTCCTGACATAGACACCAGAATTGGGAATTCCCAGGTACCCCGGAATTGGCTACGAGTGGATTGGTGAATAGCCAAAATCTGAATAAGTATGTGGCTGCCGTACAAACATGGGGCAAATACAAATCAAGATATCCTCCTAAGAACCAACCTGAAAAACTGACTGTTCCTCAAACAGGCACCCTCTTGAGGGTTCCATGTTTGTCTCCATTCACTTTTTCTGCATTCACATTCGAACTCAAATGCTGAGGGGATGAATACATAGAACAGCAAGGTGAACAATGAAACAAATAGGTCTATCTTTCTGTGAGGGTCCCTTTTCAGGACGCTTTTAAAGGGCAACCAACAGAAAGCTGAAGCCCATTCTGGGGGTCCCCTCATGTGGAGACAAGCCCAAATGAGCATAAGCGTCCGGTTTCTTAAGAGTGAAAAAGCGAACAGCATGTCCTCCGCAGGGCTCGGATCTGTCCTCGTCTTTGAGGATTTGGAGCCCAAATCCCATGTCATGGGAAATGTTGGCTTTCCCTTTGGTGTCCAACTTTAAACGAACCTCAAAAAGGGTAAGAAACATGCGAAAAATGAAATGTACCGGTTTTGTTCTTTGGCTTGCGACTTTGGAGCAACCAAAAAGGGTACCTGGATCCTCAAATTCTCCTTCAATTGCCCCAAATTATAGGGGGACTTCCCGGCTTTATGGCGAGTTTGGATGCCTATTCCCTCAACTTGCTCTTCTTTTGCCCCAACATTCTACTAGTGTGAATTCCCCCCCCCCATTTCTAGGCTCCAGGCCTCAAAAGTTGGGTTTTCACCCAGTTTCATGGGCATTTTCTTTGGCTCAGCGTCAGTTTCGGGTTTTGCGGGCTTCGGATGGGTTTGTGGGTGTATGGTTTAGGGTGGAAGGTGGGTTGGTGCTACGCCCACCCCAAACTCATCCTACACCTACACCCTAAATCCTCAAAAGTGGGGATTTTCACCCGGCAAACCATGAGCACTTTGGCGGGCCCAAGTTCTCACAAGAGCCGCTCTCGATCCCACCCGCCTCCTCCTTGGAGGCCTTGAGCTGCGCGGCGTAGCGCTCCAGGTCCCGGCCTGCCGAGGGAGCCAGCGAGAGGTTCTCTGCGAGAGGTCCGAAGATTGCCGAGGCAAAGCGGGAGAGTGCACAATGTAAACAACATGTATACATATATATATATACATATATATGTGTATAGAATATAGAAATACATATATATATATATATATGTTTAAATATCCCCCCCCCCGCCAGAAACCTACCTTGTTGAAGAATTCGCCGACATTTCCAGTGTTCTCTACCCTTTTTTGGGCTGTTGGGGGAAGCACTGAAGAAGACACATTTTCAGGGACATTCTGGAAGCTTCAGACTCGATTTAAACCGAGTTAAACCAATTGAAATTTAAATCGGGCCTGGATTCAAGGTTCAAGAATCAAGCATCCAGGCCAAACTTTTCCAGGGAATCTTTGAACCCAGGCCCCGATATTAAACCGATTTAAACCAATTAAGGGCCTGGATTCATGACATCCCTTCAAAATTCAAGATTCCCTGGAAAGGTGTGGTTTGGATTCTTCCTTTTCAGGGCTTGACAAGTTTGCCGCAAGTGTAGGCTTCAAAATATTTTAGGGAACAGCACAAGAACAGCACAAGGTGCCTCAGTGAGGGTGAGAGGCTTGTGTGTATCAACTATGCAAATGTGTCTTGGCATCAGAGGCTTGCAAAGCCCAAACGTCATTCTTTGTTTGTTTGGGAGTCCAAATCTGCCTAAAAACTTTCTTGCAACCAACACCGCCAGCCCACCCAACAAGATAGACTCCCAAAGCTAGGAAAGTGAGGTCTCACAAAAAAAACATTCGGAGCTCGAAAAGTTGTTTCGCAAAGCCAAGTCGTTCAATAACGCCCAAATGGGAAAAAGCGCACGCCCAAACAAGGCAGCGGATTCATCGAAAGAAGGTGTCCGGAAAAACATGTGCGGCTCGAAAAGCTGTTTTCCACTGAGCGGGCTTATTTTGGAAGGGTTTGGTGAAACACATTGTGGGGAGGTCCCGCACCATCAACATGGAGAGCCCGAAACAAACCCAGCAGTCAAACAGAAGCTGACATATGGCTCCAAATAAATTGTGATCATAGCGCGGACCGAAAAAAAATTATCCTGAACAAACAGAGCTTACGCGGAGCTTACCGCGCTTGACTAATGAACACAGCTTACGCAGGACCGCTTACGGCAGCAAGAGCAATTTCCATCTAATTTCATCTACGGAGGTTTTTTCGCCGCTCAATTGAATACAATAAATTAACTAGAGCCTAAGAAGGAAACACCCCAGTCAGAGTTTTGGAGCTTAGATATTGGTTGTTCTATATCATTAAATGGCAGACAAGATTTCCTTTCCAAGAAAATATTCTGCTTGAAATTCAAACACCATAAGAACTAGCTACTAGCGTTACATGGTCTAGTCCTAGTTTGGTCCTAGTCCTAGATCCTTGGTTCTAAGCCTAGTATGGCCCTAGCTTGTAATTGCAAAGGAAAGCTGAAACAAAGCTTCGAAAGCGAACATTGCTGCCTCAGCTTTGGCGGAGGCGGCAGCGGCTCCCGGACTTCACATCATATTGATAACAGAAATCCGCGGTGATCACGAACATGTGCATCATCAGCTGCGCGCAATCTGCGCAGCTGCGTGGTGGGAGGCACCTTTTGGGCATTGAAAGGAAGTGATGAAGTGAAGTGGTCAGAAGTGACACATGAAATCGCTTCCCATGGCCAGTGCGCCTGCTTGGCGACCTTGAGAGCAAGCACCAAGCAGCCGCCGCAACTGTGCCAAAGTCGCTCAAGCTGCTTGCACAGATTCCCGTCCAGCTCGTGAAAGCCAGCGCGATGCTCAAGCTGCCAGGCAACCATAAAGGACATTACAAAGGAAGTTCATTATGAAATCGATTAATATGTTTACCAAGCTCCATGTAACTGCTAACTGAAGTAAAATAGAATTCAAAATAAAGAAAACTCCAGTAATACGTTTACATTATAAATTGGAATTTAAAATATTGGCGATTCTGTTTCAATCCAAATGTTCTAAAGGACTTTCTTTCCAATACAATATATTACTGGACACCCAAAAACGTGTGCTAGGTTTGTCCTAGTTTACTGAAATAGTTAGAAAGTACAAAGGACATTACAGAGGAAGGTATACTTGAAATTCAATATAATAATCAAAGGTGGATCGTCTAGTCCTACCGTAGATGGACAAAATATTCAAGCCCTTGAATATGAATCTACCCCCCTACCCTGAAATCTCAATGTTGGAATGTTTTGCAGGGACAAGGGCCCAGTGGACAACACAAATCAAACCCCACCAACATAAAGTCAGCGCTGACATTCAACATTGAGATCTGGGGGTGCGGGGTGCACAAAAGATACCTTTTGTCAGGGTTTGAATACTTTGTCCATCTACTCTAGTTTGGTCCTAGTCCTAGTTGAGAGATCTTTCCTTCCAGTCCTAGATGGGCCAATCATGCACTGGAGAGGCCACAAAAAGGTAGGTCCCTGGGTGGGGGGTTGCATCTATATATATATATTTATTATACACACGTATATATGCACAGGAGCTTGTTCAAAGCAGTGGTCTCCCAAAACAGTTGGTTTTGCTTGCCTGTGACTTCACCAACCAAAAGGGGCCACCATTTTGAGAAACCTCTATATACAGAGAGAGAGAGAGAGATACGACAAGGTAGACAAGAAGGTAAACAAGGCATATGGGTTGTCTCAAAAGGTAACATGGCTCGTTTTCCTTTCCAGAAACAACCCTAGCCTCAAAAAATGACGAGCCCGTATCAGAACCAACAAGGTACCAGAACAATACTGCATATGCATAAGTATAACTCAACCATGTTTATATCAGGAATCCCTCAAATGGCGCAATCAAAAGTTGCCGGAATCCCTCAAGGGGCCTTCACGGGGAAAATAAATAGCCATGAATCGTTGTGGGAAGCACGCTGAAACATTGTGGGACGTAAGGCCCTCACCAAGGGTTCATGTGTGTACGTACAACGATTGGGGTGTGGCATTTCATTTTTTTGAGCTGACCCCCCCCTCCCCCCCAAAAAAAAGGAAGCAAAACGAACAAAGAAACTGGCTTTTCCCCTTGCAAATTTTTCCTCCAACACCTCAAAAAAGAAAAAAACAGCCACGCCACCCAGTTTGGCCCCCAAAACCCGCAAAAACCAGGGTTTTTGCTCAAAGGGCGCCTCTGGAGGCTTCGGTGTCCCGCAAGCGCTCCGCCTATGGACATGTTTTGCTGGTGCGATGGGTGGGGATGCGGCGGAATCAACCGGTTTTGGGGATTCCCGAAGAAAGGAACTGCCATAAGGGATGGCTATTGGAATAAAAGAGGGGTCATTCGCTCATGCCCTGCTGAGCACCAAGATGTGTGCCAAGCAGGTTCGGGGTGGGAAGTTTCAAAATTATGGGTAGGCCCAAGCTGCCTCGTCTGCTGGAAGATTGGTAGCACAGTCCCTTAATGTTGACCCCATGCGAATCAACCTCAGTTTATGAAAAGGTGCGTCTCCCTGGGGAATGATCGAGGGGAACACCCTCATACTGGTAAACAGGGGTTGATCAATAGATGGGTTCCCCTGGTAAATGGGGCATAAAACCCATCCTACGCCAGCGCCATCTATGTCTGATCAAACTAACCCAAAAAGGACACCTGTGGTCAAAATGCCAACCCCCCTTTTGGCTTCCTTCTGCAATCACTAAAAACCAAAAATGAGTTTGGAACAAAATACGGAATGGACATGTGAATTCGGCTTCCTTCTGGAAAATCACAAGGATGGCCTATACAGCACTAAGAACTACTATGAAAAAGCTAGGTCTTTTCTGAATGGACAAGCAGCAGCAACCAATTTGGCTTCCACCTCCAGGTCTGAGGTCTGCATGAGGAACCTCTGGTTACTTACTTTGGTCGAATACGCTTCCAACATCGGGTCCCGGCTTGGGGCTATCATGTGAGGGGCGCCCAAAGGCGGTTTGCTACTTTTTGGACAAGGCATGGGAACCCTGCTGGTGATACCAAAGGTGTCGCAAGGATCGGAGCCTTGAGGCTCCCGATATCTTCACCTTAATGGCCCGAACGGCGGTGAGCTTGAAACTCACCCATCAGTACTCGATTGCACAGGGGCAGAGTTTGGATCCCTGGGAAAGGGAAAATCAAGGACACGGCTTTCCAAACCCTGAGCCATTGGGCTACGACAAAGCAGAGATTTGCAGGAAGTCCCCTAAACCTCATTTATCCTGGCTTTCTTCGTGGCTCAGCTTCTCTCTACTGTCTTCCCATTTGGCCCAAAAAGCCAACGAGCCGAACCGGGACTGTAGCTACCATTCGAAGCAGTTGCCTCCTCGTTGTGCTGCTTCTGCGCTTCGAAGACTCGCATATGAAGCTCCTCCAGCCAGACAATTCCTTGGCGTTTCTCTTTTCTCCCTTGTCTTCTCCAAGTATGAAATGCCGGCCATTAGGAGCTTGCTTTTGTATCAACAAGTAAGCACCTGTCAGGTGATTCAAATTGAAGTGCCATTGTTTTGAGACTTTATGGCGATGGAGGTGTTGCTGATTTCCAGCTCGAATTTCGGCAGCACGAAGGCGGCAGAAAGTACCAAAACAGAGACCACATGGCCAACGCACAGCGTGCAGAACAACATGAAAGACATCACAAAGGACACTGAGAGCGCGCAGGGCGCCAAAAGGAGTTGTAGCCAGAAGAGTCGGATGGACATGGTCGCCACTGCAATCACAACACGCGCTGCAGCACAAGCATCGTGTGCTCCAGAGCGGCTGTACTCCGGGCTTTTCTCGCAGACCATGTTTCCCACCGTCTGGATATCCCCCCTACCCTGAGGTAAAGTCCCCCAATTCCATTTGTCTAGTCTTCCCCAGAAAAGGGACAAGGAAACCATAAATGGAGACGCTATCCTACAGGTCCAAAGCTCAGCACAGCGCCTTGATCTCAACACCACAACAGCTACCGGTGGCACTACGGAAAGCTGCGGGTTGAAACTTCCATGGTTCTAGGGGTACCTTCCCCGTTCGTTCCAGGGATTCTTCTTTTCAGGAAACCATCAAAAACCCAGGGGAAAGAGCCGGTTTTTGAAAAGAACGATGGTTGCAAAGAATGGTTGGAATTCACCCTTAGAATGGTTGAACTTGGTCTGGCGCTTCTTGCTGGTGCGATGGGAATGACCCAGGCTTTGGGAACGAACCGGAAGGGGATTCCCTCAAAGGAAACCACAAAAAGGGATGGCTTTCGGGGGCATCCCATTTCTCATTCCAGGCCGAGTCAGCTCTTGGGGTTCGGTTAAAGTGATCTACGCGGCTCGGTTTTTTGTCTGGCGCATCGCCGAATCTCCTCGTTCTCCTGGATCTTCATCATGAGCTCATCACGCAGCACCGCGAGACTTGGTCGTCAGTTTCGTTTCGGGCCCGGTGGGTTGGAGGTGTGGGGTTATCGAAACGTCTAACCACCGCCATGTGCGAACACGTCCCCTGGAAAGAATATAACGTGTCCAGTAGTGATAGATGTACGTTAAAACCGAGAGGGGAAATGCAACATATTCTTAAGCAATGGAAGATCGCAAAGGGCTCGCCAGCTTAGTGGTGGTTGGTAGTTTCGAGGTCAGGCGGCCTTGCCAATTTGGTGTCAACCATTGGGCGTTGAAATGACCTCACCGTGTCCAGATGGTTTCTCCTTGAACTGCCTTTTTGTACCCCACCAACAAAACACACGCCCAACAGACAAGGGGTTTGAATCATGTTTGATCGGCAATACCACCTCCATGGGATCGATCCAACTTGCTTTCCCAAACTGGATAAAAGTAAACACTGCCTGGGACCCCAATGTGTTCGCTTGGAAATCGGACCTCTCCCCCCCCCAAAAAAAAGGGGCACGTTCGGTTTTCCTGTTGGTTTCCCTTTAAGACCACAAAAAAGACACACCCAATTGGGCTCAACAATCCCGACTTGGGGCCAACTTCATCCTTGGTATACCCCTTACGCCAAATACCAGTTGCATTTTTTAAAAAACCTGGTTTTCCACGGTAAATACCTCCTCCTTTAGTAGAGGGTCGACCTCATACCCAAAAAAAACGGGTATTTGGAGTAGGGGGTAGCCTTTGGCCACGGCTCAGCCGGGCGACCATTTCATTTGGGTTGCCACGAACTGCCTCCTCTCACTGAGGAAGCGGCTCGTTCTCGGCTTTTTGAATGGCCTGGCCAGGGCTGCTAGCTTTGACTCAGGGGAAACGGGGCATGACGTGCTGGTGGACAAAGTCAAATTTCGCACCACGAACTGAGTCACCATGGTTGAAACCCTAAGGTGTGTTGGTATTTATAGGTAAATCAATCATTATTCCAGGGCGAAATGGATTTCGCAACATCTACAGTAATGTGTGGGTTTGTCGCTTGTCTATTGGCATTCCCGTGCGTTTTTATCCTTTCAAATCACGGGCAAAACGGAGACACGCAAAGCCAAAGCCAACATCTCCCCAGCGAAGGATGTGGGTGCAAGCTTGTGGATCCGCCTCCGGATGGTGCCGGAGGGGGGCTTTACCAACAGGAAAAAAAGCCCGCGGTCCTCAATTTGAAGGAAGACTGCGCATGACTTCAGTCAGGGAAGTCTTCGCAAAGGACCATGAAATGGCCCATCGGAAAAGCTCAACAACTATCCCCAAGCTTCAGATAGGCAAGCTTTCCTCTAATTGAAGGAATTCAGCGCGGGCTTTATTGGCTCAAGGGAGCAATGCTCAGCATGCATGTTCTTTACAAGGCAACAGTACGTATTGGTGTTTGGCCATTCCGCACACAAAGAACCGCTCATGTACACGGCTCAAACTGCACAAGGTACTGATGGGGACACGTAAACCATTGAGGATTCCCATCCCTTTTGCATTTGCACCCAGCCTCTTGCTTGCCAGAGATCAAGCCACCCATCGACCTCCAGCAAAGGTGAGCGTCCAGCTAGGGGAAAGAGGGCTCGACTCAAGAACCGAGGATCTGGGCGAAATATCTAAAATCATCGCCAGCCATGTCCCAAAACACCTAGGCACAAATGATATGGGTGCCCAGCTCGCCTTTTGTGACTACAGGCACGAGAAAACTTGCCCCGAATATCTGCATCCATGACGCAAGCTACTTACAGAGTCGGTTGAACGTCCACATGAGCTACGAAAATGCTGCTCTTCAGGCAATCTCCGCAATTCCAAGTGCAGTGAAAGGGCATTCTCAATTGCTAGGCCTTTGAGGTCAAAAAGCCTAGCTATGGGACCCTGGTTGGGGAGGGAGGGCCCAATTGAAGCGCATACCACAAGCCATAAAAAGCCGCTGCTTCTTGCCCAGGTTTGGCCCAACCGAGGCATTTGAATATGTTCAACTCCAACTTTTTTCAGCTTCCTCATTTGGCCATCTCTCAAAACCAACAAGGCACCCTTGTGGAGATGTGTAAAGAAAACACACCAAAAGGACGGCGCTGCATGCCGCTGACGTTAGGAGGGGCGTCTTTTGGCCTTGACACACAGCCATCAGAGCTAACTTTAGTCCTGAGCACATTGGCCCCATCAATTCAGCTGGCGAAAAAACACCTGGGCCTCATGGCCGACCTGTCCAAATCGCACATGGATAGGTTGCCAGGTGCCTCTGGGTTGCCTTGTCAAACTGTCTATAGATTACCTTCCTGTCCACCATGGAAACCACCAAGACCCCTTTCAAAGTTTTAAGGGAACCAGTCTTGCCGGACCCTCAGTCAAGTTCCAAGTTGTCACCGACCTGGCTTCTTCCCATTGCCAGGGGCTTTTGCCCAAAGAGTCTTTGGGACCCCCCCAAAGAAGGAACCCCATGACCCTGGAAAAGGCCCTGAATTCGGAAACAAGCCCCCTGGAATCGGCTCCGAGGGAATCGACCAAGAAAACCAGAAGATGTTTACCTCCATGTGCGTAAGTCACCTGGAAAAAATAGAAGTATGTCCAGCAGTGATAGATTCCCTTTAACGCCAACAGGGGGAAAAAATAAAACTGCTTTTTTGTTTAACAAAGGGCTTCTTACCATTTCTTACCATGACTCCAACAAAACCACCCTGCACTCTGAATTCTTTAAAAATAAAAAGATTCTTCCACCAAATGGAAGTTTATGACCCAAAATACAGAACCGTATTGAGCTTTCCGGCCAGCTGCTCTGGGTGTGGCTTTTGCGCTGCTCCTCCACCTGAAAACGGCCACGCACCCGAGCGCAGCTGCAAGCTGGATCTTACTCTGCCCCAACGTGTGTGCAATACATACATGCATATATAATTGTATATATATATATATATGTCTTTACTTCTTTGTTGTTTTTGGTCTTTCTTTCGTTCTCTAGTTCTTTCCGTTCTTTCCTTCTCGGCTTTGACATCCAGGTCGGATTGTGCCGTTGTTGATGTTTGCAATCAAATGGATGTGGTTCCCACAGGAACCCTGATGGCTATCTAAATTATGCTATATATATATGTGTACATATTTATTGATTGTTTTTATTTATCTATTTGTTTGTTTATTTATGTATTTATTTATTTAGTCAGTTAGTTAGTTAGTTATCTATCTATCTATCTATTTATTTGTTTATTTATTTAGTTATTTATTATTTATTCATTTATTTACACACATGCATATATGCATACACATACAATGTGTATGCATTGTTGGGGGGTAATGTTGCAAGATGTGTCCATTGAATCCGCTAAGCCACTACACCAAGCTGCTACAAGGTGTACAAGTACCCCTATCATGGCTATACACTGCAGCACAACTCAATTTTGTCTTGCGAGGGTAGTTGCTTGCAAACCATCTTGGAGCTGTGATTGGGGCACACAAGGATTGCCTTCTGGGGGGAACTCCCCAAAATAGGTGGAGTTCCCTCAGAATAGGAGAGGCACAATCAAAACCTGGTACTGGAATGGTCCTCCAGATTGAGAGGCTAAAATAAGGGTCCCCGATGTCTTTTTCCGTAGTCTATTTTAGTAGGGGAACCCTCCCCAAAAAAAAGAGTAAAAGGCAATGGGGGACCTAGTGGTAACTTCAAAGAAAATGGTCTACCCAAATCCCATGTAAGGATCCTGCCAGATCGCCACATGCCGCATGTTTGAGCCAGTCTTCAGTCTTGGCACCTTCCTTCCGCCGAAACATCTACCTCAAGAACATTTGCAAGAATGTGCTCCCCTGCAAACTCGCATGAGACCCAAAAAGGGAGCTCCCTCGAGAGGAGTCTCCTCTACAAATGGAGCGTTTTCGGGGTTCTATGGGTTCCATGTTCATTCGGACCCCCCCCATTTTACAGATTCCCAAGTTGGGTGACCTTCTTCCCTCATGATTCATCTGCCAAAGGCTGAAACAAGGGACCTATGGAAAAAATTGACCTAGGTCCTCCAGTAGAGAGGTTAGAATAAGGGTACCCTTTTTTTCTGCAGTCTATTTTAGTAGGGAAACCCTCCCCCAGAAAAGTCGATAACAGGGCACTACTGGGACGTAGCCTTTGTGGATAAGATCGCACCCGTCTTGGTGAGGTAGCCATCATATGGCCTGAATTTCTGGCTCGGCCAACCAATGCCAATCAGCCGCATGGGTGGCTCATCTTTTCTTGAGAGCAAGTTTCACCCCGGATGAATCAACCTCACTTCAAGAAAAGGGGGCGGGGGTGTGTTGGGTGTGGGGAATCAGACAACTTTGGGGCCGTCCCCCTCCACTACTAGGATGTGTTCTACTTAGCTTCGGGGGTCAACAAAATGCGTTTTCTGGTTGGTGGTGAAGGGAAACAGGAAAACCAGCTGACCTGGGGCAAATCTTCAGATCCGTTGCCAAGGAAACCCGTGTCGCTGGTTGGAGAAGAATACACGTGATGAGTTTCTGTCTGAATCCTAAAAGACAAAACCAAAAAGCGCAGAAACAGTTGCTTCTGGCAAAGTGGAGCCTAGTCCAAATGAAAGGCGGTTCGTTTGCACGGCAAAACATGGAGTTTCCCAAACCGCCCTCCGTCGATCCGTGGATCCGGATCGCCTGCGCGGTGAGGGTGCCCAACTGCTTGGACATTCGCCCATTCTGGAACCTGAGCGCGGGCATATGAGACTTGGTCAACTGAGTTGGAAGAAAACAAGGCCTGTTTGCCATAGGTCCTCCGCACATTTTAAACGGGTCCCTTGACGTTACCAAGGCCAAAGGACAGACTTCACACCACTACCTAGGACTGACCCCCTCCTCCCAGCAAACTTTGCTTGGAAGTTTGTAGGGCCGTGTCGAGTCTGCGGAAGTGTTCAGAATGTCGAATGCAACGCACTGCCAACCTGGAGTGCCAAAGTAAGCATGACAGCACCCGCCAACTAAAATCAAGATCATCTTCTTCCATTTGCTCAAACCCCTTGAACAAAATGAAACAATGTTCAGTAGTGAAGGATGCCCTTCAAAACCAGCAAGGGAAAATATAATACATATTCTTAAGCAAATGCAAGTTTTCTTGCCCGTTGGTGTGAGCTCACGGGGGTCTAGGCCCACCTCACTGGGCCAAGTGGTGAGTCTTGCCACGCTATCCATGGCTCCAGTCTTATGGCTTCCTTTTCAGGGCCACCCCTAACTAGTGGTTTCCAACTTGGGTTTCCTACTTCGTCTCTTGAAACAACCTTTAAAAGCATAGCCTTGAAAAAGGGAAAAAGGCCATCTCAGGCTGGTTTCCTACTTCAGTTCCTCTTTATACAAACCACCTCCAAAAGGGCTAGCCTTGAAAAACAGGGAGGCGAACACTGGCCCATTATCTGAGGCCCCTGCTGCAGTTGGTCGATCTCTTCCAGCTGCTGTCGAATGGTAATCTCCTTCTCCTGGCTCCGCAAAGTTCAACAGACCGGTGTCGTGGTGGGTTGCGGCCGGGTTTTAGTCAAAACAAAAATCCTAAATCTTCCATTTGGATAAGTCCACTGGAGAAAAAAACAAATATTTCGTCCAGCAGTGATACATTCCCCTTAGAACCAACAGGGGGAAAAGCAAATGCAAGAAATTCCAAAGGAGGAGAGGGGAACACCCAGTTTTACGCTGATTGCGCGGGCTGCTCGCCCTGTAGAGGCCAAGCGGCCATCCGACTTAAGCCGACGGCCTCGGTAAAAACGTTGGCCAAAGCGACCAGCCCGGATCATCCGTGCACGGCACTCGCTTTCCAAAACCCAACATCCCAATGTTGCGAATCCCTTTGGGGCAAGGCAGGCATGTGGATGCGTGTTAAAATTAGGGAACCATGGGAACCCCCAAAATTGGCTTTCCTGTTGGTTTCCCCGCAGAACCAACCAAAAGGGGTTTCCACCTAAAAGGCACGCCCATGTGGATTTTCGATATACGTGCCCAAGCGCACTTTTGCTTTGCAAGCAACCAGGAAACGTGTTCAACGAACATTCACGTGGGCTTCCGTTGGCTTCCCTTGTATCAGAGGTGGCAAAGCCGAAGCCGAGAAAAAAGAGAAAGCTGGAGAAAAGTCTGGTCGCTAGTGGGGAGGCAGCCGGTTCTTTCTTAGAAGGGTTCTACGTCTTCGGTGTGTCCATCTCTTCTACCAGCCACCGAATCACCTCATTGTGGTTGAGCACCTGATGTGGGGGAGCTTCCCCCCAAACAATTTGGGGGATTGAACCTCAGGTTCCACAGGGCACATGGGAAGTCACTTCCTCCAGATCACCGATTCGGCTCCAAACCAATCTGCACATTCTACGAAAACCCAAAACCAGACCAAACCGCCCAAACCTTTCTGCTGCTCAGCAGGGAAGGAGAAATAGAATGACCCCAAGATACACCATCCAACCATAGGTGGCCTTTTGCAAAAATAGATGGCCCCGGTAAATGGAATAAACCCCATCTAAAGCAGTGCCATTTATTTTCAACGAAACTAGCCTAAAAAGGACGCCTATGTATCCAACTGGCTTCCTTTTAGGGGACCGACGCCTGGGTTCATCCAATCCGAGTTGGCTTCCGCACGGTTCTCCTTGAGCTGCTGCTCAAGACGGCCGCACTCCTGCGACGCACCGAGCGAGGAGCCTCTGTGAGTCGCAATCAAAACCTGGGACTAAAAGGACCCTTGGGTTGGTGAAAAGGGAAAACCCCTTAAGAACATGACCCATCTTGGAGAAAACCCCCTATTTTGAGACAGCCCCACCTTGAGTCACTTGCGCAAAATCCGGTATTCAAGTGGTCGTAATCCCAGAACCATGTACAGGATTAAGAAGGCGGATATCCGCAGCTATTTCTGGTTGGGATCGTTCCTTCCAAACAAAAGGCTGCCCGGGTTTTGATTGTGGCTCATGTGACTCCCTTCCCCCAAACCCCCACCCCCAGGGTTTCGGTCCCACTTTGGTCCACTGCAACAAGCTCGATATACCCTGCTCAAGCATACACCCGTTTTATGAGGAAAAAAAGAGACAGTTTCAACACAACGTTGCAGGCCAATTGCAACAAGCCGGACATCGTCGGCAGAGCCACACGATTCATCAACTTATCATGAATCACCACATGTCCAGGCAGCGCCTGGGTTGGTTCTGTAGCTAATAAGCACAACCCTGCCATGTATTGGCTCTAGAACTACCGCAGTTCAGCATACTTTCGTTTTATGAAGAACCCCCCCAGCATCGCCCAACCCTTCCATCAGAACTTCTAAGAGTGTTCTGAGGACACCCCTTTGACCACTTTTTTGCTGTGGGGCTGAGGGACCTTTGTTTGTTCTTCTTTTCTTTTGTTGTTTTTCCGTTGTCAGCCAACATGCGGAGTCCCTTCCACTCCTTGTCATGGGGTAAACACTGCTCTGTGATGGTCACAGAGAGACTTTTAAGTTCCCACCCCGCAAACAGCAGAGGTCCTTCTGACTTCCGAACCAGTGGATGGGCCAACAAAAAGCAACCAAGCTGGTTATTTGCCACTACTTGGTTGCTGTTGACCCCCCTGCAAAAAGTTTAACTTTTTGGGGGTTTAGTGGAAAACACCCCCAATCGTCCCCTAGTTTTTTGTGGGGCAGCCACCAAAGAAAAAGGGAAAAAGGGTGCCACTGAACACTGAGAAAGTCTAAAGATCCAACCCAATAGCAGTCAAGACTAAAACGGTCTTCCCACAAAGTTTAAAGTCCAGGAACTCAGAAAGTCAGCGATTGAATCTCACCTGCTCAAAGCGGTTTCAGAAGGGCTCTTAGAACCTTTCAGGTAGTCTTGATGTCACTCCTGAACCAAACGTGTCCCCTCCAGCGAATTGTTAGGGTTACCTTCGATGATGTACTGGGTCGGAGCTGATAGTGCTTGAAACAGACACGGAAAGCAAATCGCCCCAAAGTGGCGAATCAAGCAGTCCAGCTGCTGGCTCGGGGAGAGCCACGTGGGTGAAAGCTAAGGCAAGACAAGCTTCATTTTCTCGGTTGTTAAAAATGGGGAGGCATTCCTGATTCCGCAATCCGTGGTGGAACGCTGCAAGGGAAACCGGTGGCACGGAGAAAAAACAAAAAAACACGTTCGTGGCATGTTTCAGGGAAACGCAGTGCGTTGTTGAGCCCGATGGCACGTCGGAAGGACCTAAGGAGCGCGACCACTGGACAACCAGTGGGGTGGCACTAATTCCGTCCCTTTTGGGGGGGACCCCCAGAAGTCGAATCACCAAGAGTTCTTTGCACTCACTGCAAATTCACCGCTTGGCTCAACAGCAGTTTGTTGCCCAAGGGCATTTGCTAGCCGACATCGAGTAGCACAGGGCAACGTAGAAATCTTGCAAGATGGATTCCTCCAGGGTTCTGAAGATAGGCCAAATTGAACGCAACCTTGCTACTATGCACTTTTTTTGAGGGTGGTTCAGAATTGAAATGACCCAATGTTTGGACCATGGCGCTGTCGTTTCCTTCAAAGGCCAAATGGATTCTGACTGGACTCCAAAAGGACCCCTGAGCGCTCTCTCAACGCCCGGAGACCTAAACACATCCACCAAAAAAGGACACCGGGGCACAGTTTGTTGGACTCCAACCTGAGTCATAATCAGAATTGTGTGTAATAACATGGTGTACCCAAGACCATGAAAAGAAGAAACATGGCGGCCGCACCTCTATATTGGCTATCCCTGACTAACCTTCATCTTCATCGATCCGGGTTCTGATTGCGGCTCACTTGTTTTTGGGATCAACCAAGAGGCCAAATCCAACACAGGCTCGAGGTTGGAAAAACCGGATCCCCCAAAGAAAGCTCACCTGATCGACTTGCCGCAAGGTGATGGACATCCGGTTTCAGTTCGAATTGGTGTCTTGGATTGGTTTGTGCTGGTTGGGGGGGTAGGTTTCCCAAGAAGCAGAGGTTCAAATCCCCAAACCAACCCAAACCACCAACTAAGGTTTACACGCTCCTCCTGCTTGTCAAGGAAGCCCTTCTTGAGAGTGGCATTGGCCTGCGAAGCGTGCGCGTGCGAGGCGCGGCCTCAAGAAACATCACCGTGCGTATCACTAGAGAGCGACGTGTCCAACTTTGGCAATCGGACTTGGGATCTAAGGCATCTCCTGATTAACAAACAGGGTATCTGCACACAAAACTCATTCTAACAAATGTCATTTGAGGAAAATCGATCCCTGCTTGTGTTCCTTCTGCGGAGTATCTTCAGGGCATATGAATGGTCACTCCACCACTTCACGCCCAACCCCACTTCCCTTTCGGTCTTTAGTCCTTTCAAAGGGGGGGGAGACTCGACTCCCCCCCCCACACCCTTGGAGTGTGATGGCTTACCAGGAGCTTGGTGTTGGACCTTTTGAATCGCGAAAGACCACGCCTCTCCGAGCACGTTGCCAAGGGCAAGGCGCTGCACCCAGAATGCGAGCGCTGAGACCTGAACCTATGAAATCGGAAAGGGTGGCTCGGGTGGGCAACAGACCCCTGCCCCTGGCAACTGAAACTATACAAGACCCATTCTGGCCAGTATTTTGTGCACCAAACCAATACTCAGTCAGAAAAACACCCGCATCCTGCCTGCTTAAGCTGGTTGTACTTCTCCTTAAGCTTCTGCACTCTCTCAGCCTCTTCTGCCATCGCAGCATTCTCGGCGGGGGTTTACCCGCCGCCTGGACAGCCCTTGCCACCGAATCTGGGTTGAATCTAGGTGTCAAAATAGGGCGGTTGGGTGAGGGACACCGCATGGCTGCGGGTACGGGATTTTGACCCATTGCCACATGGAAATCACGTGTTTCTGTTTCTGAAGAACCTTTTCCCGCTGGTTCTGGCGGGCCGAGGAGCTGTGCGTGACAAACCCGCTCCCCGCCCGCACGGGGAGCTAAACGAACTATGTCCATTCTCTTGACGTCGTCAACCACCAGAAGGAAAAGCCAAAAGAAAACGCAACGCTGTGCTGCAATCACCAGCGTTTGGGGGGAAGCACGTTTTGGAACCGCCCTGCTCAAAAGGGATTGAACTCACTTTGTGAGTGCTTCTCACGCTGCCCTGGTTGTACCTGCTAGGGAAAGGGAAGGGAAACATCTGTCCGCGTGAATTTGGATGGAGGAAAAGTGAAGTTGAGCACTTGACGATGGAACTCCTCCTCTGAGGGTTTTTAGTCTGAGAAGTGTCCTGAGGACCCAAATCAGGCTTGCTTGACTGCGCACATACCAAAAGAAGCTTTGAGCCAGCATATGAATATACAACCAACACGGCAATCTGAACATGCCCCGCACACAGCAAATTGATATGGCACTACATCTGTGGAGGAAACTCCTGACAAACGCCCAAAAGAGGGTTCCATGTCAATTGGTTTAGGGGACCTGTGTGAACACTCAAAGGTGGCCAGCCATGATTTATGGCTGTCGGATCTTTTAGATGTTGGACACCACTTTGCTCGAAACCCTCGCAGTACCTCAGGGTCACCAGACCTCAACAAAAGAAGAGTTGGCTGAAGCTCAGATTCACAAAGGATCCAGGCTACCCATTGATGATGGTGTTCGGGGCTTTCCAGGTCCAACCGCCTGAATTTGTGTGAGCTCTTTTGGGGGATCCTTTTCTCTTCTTGACCCCAAGCCTTTGTTGGACCCACAAACCACAAGGTGGGAAGGGAATTAAAATAAAAAAACAAAAAACAACGGTTTGGGGGGTGGAAGCTCAAACGGGTCCCCCACAGTCACTGGCGCAGTCTTTGACCAGTCTTTGTTCGAGTCGGCACCCTTTTCGGGTTGCATCGTCGGAGCAATCAAAGTGGAATCGCCTCATTGTGGGTTCTATGGCCCGAATCCCTGATTTAGAGACCTTTGAGATGAGTTGAATTACGCCCCGACACTACACCATATTTCTGGAATACGTTAACATACGTTAACCTATGTTAGAATATATGTTGTACGGAGAAAAAAAAAGCCACAAAACAGCGGTGAGACAAAACCACGCCACAAAATAACTTGACTTCAGAATTTGATCGACTCAAGAAACACACGAGCTGCTGCTGCGATCACCTCTGCGCACATGTGCCATGGTAAAGAACTCCCAAAGCGTGGGTCATGGTTATGACTCCCTTCTTAGGAACCCTCGCTATGGTAGTCTTCCACTTGTTTTGTCGTCCCCTGGAAAAAACAAAAATATTTCCAGTAGTGATAGTTTCCCTGTAAAACCAACGAGGGAAAACACTAAGTGCTCTTAAGCAAATGGAAGTAGTGTAAATTCCTTGCGTCTATGGCCAGCGCTGAGCCCAAATAGCCAGGTGGGTTTGACCATGGCGCACGCGTTCCGAGTTCCTCTTTTGCGTGGGCAATGCTCTCGAAGTGTCGCGGTATCGGCCTTGGTGAGCGCAAGAACATGGAGCTGTGCGGCTCAAGGGGCTGATGCCCAATCACTTGAATGTTGTTTCTCCCTGAAGGCAAATCAAGCTCTTGTCATGAGAAGCCACTCCTGTTAGCATCAAAACAACATCTTCAGCAGATACAACTCGTATACCGTTTGCCTTAACTTGCAAGCAGTACCAGCGCTCAGCACAACCACACACATTATTAATTACTGGGTTGTGGCCCCGTCTTGCTCTCCCCAAAAAGGTGAAACTTTCAGCTTCCCCGTATTTGAAGGCAAAATGCATCGGTTGACCCACCAAATATAGCAGCTCACAGCCGCTATGGTTCCAACTCTGCAGGGAGCCACACCATGCTCCCAACCCCTAGGCTAATTTCAGCCATCCCCAGCCCCCAAACTCGGGCAGGGGTCGACATCCTTATTCTGGCCAATTGACTGCAATCCACAAGTAAGCTCATCACCCCCAGCTCAACTCATTGTACTTTGTGCACTGCGCTTTTTCCTCCTGCCGTGCTGGATCTTCGAAATGAAATTTGGTTGCATGAGTCATGAGACCAGGCTGCCACTTGTTCCCCGTTGCACAAGTAGACCGAAGGGGAAGCCAACACGGAAAGTCGAGGTAAGACGATTTCGGCTACTAGCCATGATGACTGGAACGACTTAGGCAGCGCAGCAATTTGGTGCAAGTCACCTTACCTACGGTGAAGCAGGTCGGGCCTATGATCGGTGAGTGGTTCTGGAAGGTGCTCTCCTCTCCTTCAAGCTCACTCGTGGCCGCCGCTGTTTTCTCCCTCACTTGATGGTTTGGGAGATACTGTTGGGCTATTTGAACCCAACTTGCCAACCCCTGAACCCGTCGTCCACCCCTGAACCCGTCATCCAAGAGGACAGCACCAATTTGCCTCATGCGCTGGGCGTGAGAACCGCACCATGGCGCAGCAACACATGCCACAGCAGCTTCAACTCCTGAAGCACAGCGTCTGGCTGCCCCAGCTCCGAAGCATCGCCCTGGGCTACACGGCGTGCGGCGGCTCCAATCAAGGCGGGCGTCAGCATGCCTCCCGGCGCAACCGTGCGGGCGAGCGCTGGCATGTGGGGGCCTCGGAAGTCCTGCGGCACCGCGTCCACGGACAACTCGGAGCCAGCGTGCCACTGGAGAAGCACGCTGTATTGGCTCGCTATCCTCTGCAGCTGCGCTCCAACAGGGGTTCCTTTGAACGATGGGTCCGCGACCAAGGCATCAACGTCTCGCCCCAACTCCACCTGGCCGTGAACTTGCGCTTCGATGTAGTGGTCAAGGTTCCTTGCAGGTGGGTAGCTCCACTTGTCATTCAGCGGAGCTTGGAGGAGATTCAACATCCGACCCGCCAGGGCAGGAGGGCGCAAACCACCAATGCCGAGTGCTCCATCTCTTGTGAAGCACTCTTGGAAGAGTTCCGCCAAAATGTCTTCCCAAGCATCACAGGTGCCACGGGTAGGTGGGTCCAAATGCGAGTCGCCGTAGCAGAAGGTGGTTCTCTTGGTTGCGTCCGGGGAAAGCACAAAATAGCAAGAGCCAAAGCGTGGCGCAGGACCGTCCGATTGCCCCAGCAAGAATAAACCACCGTATTTCGGGCGACAACTGGGAGCAGCTTGTTCGTAGGCATGGCCGAACAGTTTGTTCTCCCACTGGTCTCTCTTCCCTCCTGTTGCAAAATCTACCCTACCATTAGAGATCTGCGATTCGAACTGGCTCTGGATGCAGCCTGTGGTGAGCAAGGATCCGGCTACAGTCTCCCCACCCTTCGCCAAGCGGTCGGGATGAAAATGGATGGCAACTCTGGCATGAGCTTGCAACGCATACGTCAGCTTCTCCACAGTCTCTTCTGGCAAGGCACTCATCTCAAAGATATCAATCAATGTCTCTCTTGCTTTCTTTTGGCGCTTCTCTGCCACCTCATGAACATGCTTGACTGCGACCTCTCCAGGTGTGGCTTTACAGTCAACAAACATAGCGTAATGTGCCCAGCCCAATGCTCTTGAGCTGTAGAGAGCCGTCGCAATTGTCCAATCCAATGATTTTATGGAATGCCATGCAATGCCACCACTTTAGTCTATAGATTTAGTGAGTATGTCTGGTGTCTGGACAAGCTTCATGTCAAAAACAAGCTTCCTACTAGTCCTACTAGTTGCAAAAGTGGAACTGCAATCCCACTGGGCTTGGTTGCAGCCCCAACTTTGATATTGGTATACTAGCTTTAACTATGGTCTTGCAGTTCTACCAGAAGTTGGCTTGCACTAATATCTCTCCATTTTTTTCAGAACCAACAAACTCATTGACACGTGCCAACTGGGCCGGTGTTTTGTCCGAACTCCTCCAGGTTGTCCGAGTACCCAAGTGAGTGCCCCATCGCTTCTTTTTTCTGAAGAGAGCGGGACGCCGGGATGTGTGGCGGGCCCTGGTTTTACAAGATGGTCGATGTTGTTTTTGTTGTACAACCAGAAAAATAGGGGGGGAAAAAAGAAGAAACAAACGAGTTTCAGACAATGGGACATGATGTCCCAGAAATCTGTTTGAGAGGTCGCCAAAGCAGGCGGGGCCTGAACGACCCTCTCCACAGAACCGGGGCCTCGCTTCGCACCAGTTGGTTGACGTATCCCCCAATCCTTTCGGGGTGATCCATCCAGAACTGGTGCGTTGTGTGGATTTTGTCCATGCACCTGCTGCCTCTAACGGCTTGAATTGGATCCCATATGGATTCCAACCGGCCATGCTCAAAAAAGGGGCCTCTCAGCTCTCTCTGCTTGAAGGGAAGCCTCCCCCCCCCCCGAAAAAAAAAGAAAGGAGAAGAGGAAAACCAGGGCACCATCGGGGTCCGGGGATTTCTTGCGTCAGACGAAAGTCGCGCCAAGGCGCGCGGGCCTTCGCGAGCTCATGGGCTCTCCAGGTTGAGGCCAGCACTTGGACTCTCCTGGCCACCGGCCGGCCGAGCGGCGCAAAGGAACCCCGCCCCGCCCCGAAGGAGTTTCTACCATCCGCTTGAAGCTTGTAACTTTGGCTCAAAAGGTGTCCTCCATCACTTGCGTTTTTGCTTTTTTTGTGACCTCATGTGGGATTGAACCGTCATTCTGCCAATCTACTCACCCGCAAAACGCGGTTGCAGCTACGAGCCGTCACATAGTCCTTGGTGGAACGATCCGGGTCGGAAGCTCATCCCAGGCCCAAAGCCAGTCCAAAGCCCATCCCTTTGACCCCAAGCCACCAATTTCTATGCCAATCCAAACCAAACCAAACCAATCCAAACCAATCATAGACCACCAAACCACTCCAAACCTCCCAATTTGTTTGCCCATGCGCCCCATCGGCCCAATCCTCCGCGTCGTCCATGATGCCCGCCGCTTGGCGCTTCCACATGGCGCTGTAGTGGCCAGCCGAGCCGCTCAGCTGCTCGTGGCTGCCCCTCTCCACCTGAGAGCGAGAGCGAGAGGTCCACTTCAATTTTTTTTGAGCTCACTTGGCTCTGGTTGTCAAAAACAGGGTAACCCCAAAATGGCTTGCCCTGGTAAATGGAAACACGGACTAAAACCTGCGGTCCTGGTGGTTTAATCTTGACCCATACCCACGCGGGTGGCTCGTCGTTTCAAGGTTGGAACCACCAGTACTTGTGGTTGTCCTCTTGGGTTCCATTAAACCGCAAAAAAGGACCTCAAGAGACCCACTCCTGCGAGAGGCGGCCACTGCTTGTTCAACCACGGGGGGTTGTTTGCTGTCAGGCCCTGCATCCAGCCCAGCAAGTCGGAGTGGGCAGTCGTCGGTCATCATTTTGAGGCGGGAACCCACAAACGTCCAAAATGGGAAAGAAGAAAAAACACAGAAACCATCCACTTGTACACTCCAAAGGCCCCCGACAAGAACAGGCAGAGCTTTTGGGCCCCAAGGAGCTGTCACAAGGCCCGAAGAGACCCATTTGCCCAAAGGCAGTGGGTTCTTATCTTATCTTAGTCTCGCGCAAATGTGCGGAAAAGCCTAAGGGGGTGGGAACTACCCTTAGACCGCCGCACTTGTCCCAACCGGAAATACGAAGTTGATCTAGCCAAAGTCAAATTCGCCTACTGGTGCCCAAGGAAACAAATATGGCTTCTTGCAACCTGATACCAACAAGCAGCATAGTGGTAACACGAGTCAAGTCCCCATAATTAAAGTTCGGCCCAGTTATAGAATGTATGTTTTATTGTTTGCTTCACTTTGAGTCACTGGTCAAATGAAAAATGTATCCTAAGTCTACCCCAGTCCCCGAAGAGGTCATCTTTTGTTCAAGACAACTCGTCGCTCACGTTGGTCCTTTTGGACGAGCCGCAATCTCCCCGGACTGCAGCACGCAGATCTCATCGTAGGCCTTGATGGTACTCAAGCGATGAGCGATGGCAATCACCTAGGCTCGAGGCAGAGACCCACAGGCCGGTCAAATGGGAGCGGTTTTGGGCCCCCTGAACAAGGTGGCGTTCCTTTGGTTTTCCTTTCAGACCACAAGTGACACTTGGTGGTTCAAAGGTTCACAAGCTTTATGCCGGTGTCACAACCAAGGCTCCTGCGGATTCTGGTTCGTGGCAAACCCACCCAAAAGAGTCACACTGAGCGGTCAATATTTATCCAGTATATGTTCTTCAATAGGGTGGACAAGTGGTCGTTGCCTATCAAATCTTGTTCCAGGATGAAAAAAAAGGCATATGTTGTACCCGCACATGTATCAAAACTCCGAAACCTCAGGTGAGCTCGCCATGACATAGGCAGGTCATTTGCCACAGGTCTGAACACATCTTTGATGTAACTCGTTGGCTTTGGCCGTTCGATTCCACTTCATACTTCGCACCCAAAACTCGACGTGGCCTTGAGGGTTTTCCAAACAGGACCAAGCCCGGCCACATGTGCGGCATCCCATTAAAAAACAGGGGGGGGGGAAGAAATAGGCTTTCCCCAAAAAGAGAAATACCCACAAAAAGGGTGGCTCATATATTCCAAATGAAGAAACACCCTGGTTTCAAGTGGGGCAGTCTTTCGATTGGCACCTGTTTCCTTGAAAAGAGTCCCAGTTTGCTGGATTCAACCAAACCCCTTAAAAATATTGAGTACCCATCTCACCTGCAAGTTCTTCTTTCTATTTCCTCCCAATCCGTGGGAAAGGAAAGTTCAAACTTGGGCCCCTTTTAGGTGTGTCTTTTTGACGGCTGGACTCCCAACAATGGTTGGGTGTTCCTGCTAATTTCCCTTGAAAACGATCCCAAAAAGGATTACCCTCAAAAAAGCCGAGCGAAAAAGCCAGCCTTTTGAAGTGGTCTTCGTGTTAGAGGGTCCTCCCGCCCCGGACTCGACTCCAGTCCCATCGGAGGCGCCGTGCGCGAGGCGCTCAGCACGTTCAGCGCCTGCTGGATCTTCTGCTCCGTTTCGGAGTCCAAGGCGCTCGTCGCTTCGTCCAGCACCTCCGATCGATCCCATGGAACGACCGGAAAACCTCCGCCGCGTGGATCCGGCCAGCGGCAAGAGCGTTGGTTGGTCTCATTCTAGGGGTACCTTCCAGTTCCATTCTTTCCAGGGATCCTTCTTTCTAGAAACCTCCGGAAACCCGGGGAAAACGGCCGGTTTTTGGACAGAACGATGGTTGAAAAGAATGGGGAATCAACCGCTGGGTTTCTCGTCTGAGGGTACCAAAGTGGCGCAACGGGAATCTCCTCTTGGCGTCCCGAAGAAAAAGAAGAAACAAAAACATGGGGTGAGCGTTTTGGGTTCCGCGCGGGTGCCCGAGGTTAGGCCTTTGGTTTCAGCTAGCCCGGTTTGATTAATTAGGCCATAGGGTGAGGGGGATTTGGTTTTCCTATCGGGGGAACATGTCCTTTTTGGCTTCCCTTTCAACCATCACCTTCTCGCCAATTGGTGATTTGGAGCTTGCTGGTTCGGTGGTTAGGGGGGGGTTTCCCGTTTAGCAGGGGTTCAGATCCAATTCCACCCATCCAAACCACCAATTCGGCGATACCTGGTGACCCAACCCCACCCCACCCCCCCACCCCCCCCACCAAAACAAAACAAAAACCAGAAAATAGCAAAGATTCAGAGCCGGAGCCATGATCCAAGGCCCGTGGTGTGCCAGGTAACGGTCAGTATTTGTGATAGCCATGATAGCCTCCCCGGCCTGAGCGCCAAAATTTCTATCGGCCCTGCTGGGTTTGGGGAACTTGGGTTGTCCCCATGCCCTCCCAAAACCAAAAGTAGAGGGTCTACTTTTTCAGGCTGGTTTAACATGTCCGGGTCCAAATCCCTATCTTGACACACACACACACACACACTTTCACATGGAAAAAATGGACATGTCCCCCCGCAAACTCACGACAAACCCATCATTTGCTGAACACTTCCCTTCACCCAAAAGGAAGGCCACCCTTTTTCGGGTCTCCCGTCTCCCGTCCCAAGCGTCGCGCTGCCACGTTGCGAACCGTTCGCGGAAAATTTCGCCGAGGCGCCACGATGGGGGGATCCTTGGCTGCTGTTGACCCCCCTGCAAAAAGTGTTTAACTTTTGGGGGGGTTGAGTGGAAAACACCCTAAAAATTCAACCAAAAAGTTAAAGTTCAAAGATCTGTGGCCCAACAGCAGTCAAGGATCCTTCACCAGGCACCGGGCGATGGCTAAGCGCTGCTTCTCCCCGCCGCTGAGCTTCAAGCCGCGCTCACCCACGATGGTCTCCTCAGACGCCCGGGACATACCTTCTGAGAGCCAAAAACGCGGAGTCTGTTTTGGAGGGGCCCCAAAAATGTGTTGTTTCCCCAAAAGCAAAACCTGATTTGAGTTTAGTCTGAGTTGCATTCGTACATACCCCGAGCGGACATATCAATCGCTACCTCCAAAACGGATGTAAGACCCCGTCAGGACCCTTTTTGGGGTGGAAGCCTGCGATGGTCTCCTCAGAAATCATCCTGTCTTAACTCCCCAACCAACCAAACCAGCTTTGGCTTGGCGACGTTGATGATTTTGTTGATTTCGGTTTCACTTGGTTGAGATTCCTCCCCAACCGTCCCCACATTCAGCTTTGTTATTCGGGTGAACCGTTGACCTGAGTTTGGCAGGCAGATTTGATGATGAAAACCTTTAGGCAAATCATGGTGGTTGTATTCACCCGCATTGCCTTAGTGCTGGTTTGAACCCCGTTGCTGTACCCATTCACTAATTCGGGCCCAAATGCATTTTAGGTTGTCCCCAAAGCAATCCACCGTCTCATCGGGGGGGGGTATTAGTTTAGGATCCAGGTCCAAGGGCCCCAAACAAACCTTCTCGACAGTTGATTTGGTCCGCTTCAAAAGTCCCGACTGAGGCCTTGAAGATGCTCTTTTGGCATTTGGCCAAGGGCAAAGATGCAAGATGTGACTTGACCCAGTGGTATCCGAAGATGTACGCTAGGGCCAACAAGAGGTTGAAGAACCCGGTGCCAAAGGAGCCTTGGGAAAGGTCCTTGCATGGCCGAAGTGTCGCCGCTATCTTGAAGGAGTTCCCAGACAGTGGAAATGCACCCTTTCTGTGATACTCCCCACTATAGCATCACGTTCAAGGAAGTGTCCCTGCCCGCTCACGAAGAATTGGCAATCTAGTCTAGCATACCACGGGGGAGTTCTCGCAACATATTCCTTTGGTGCCCAATTTTTGTGTAAAGTCCCCAAACGACAAATTTCCATAGCCATTTGGGTGTCTCTGTTTTGTGGCCCCCAAACTGGTGGTGTTCCTGCTGGCGTCCCTTCAAAACCACCAACCACAAGGTACCCTAAAAGAAGCCAAACAAGCCGCCGAAACCGCCCGACCGAAAGAAAGAAAAGAAGAAGAACAAGCGCCGAGCCGTATAAAACAAAAAAAAAAAGGTCGAGCGGCGTAGCCCAGCGCTTGGGCTGCGATGAAGGCGTCCAGCTGCGCGCTCTGCGCCGCCTTCTCGATGTCCGCCTGTGTGGCCTCGCAGCTTTCGCGTGGCGTCCGGTAACTTTGGGGAACACCTAGCAGGGATCCGGATGCATTATACACCTAAACATTGCAACTTGTACATGGTGGTTTCCAACTTTATTTTGGTGTTGAAAAAGCAACATGTTTCAAATGGTTGCAAAATGTATCTTTTGAGGAGCCCTGCCTAGGGGCCAGGCGGCATTCCCACAAAAATATGGCGAGTGAGATCTTTTACTTGGGGTATACTGTGAAAGGGAACACTTACTTGGATGATTGAAACCATGGAAAGAGGAATCCCCTGCAAATACCAACAAAAGGTGGTGCAGGATTTTGCCTATCCACAGTGGTTGAAACCATAAGGCTTGTTGGTATTCTTGCTGGGGAATCGAATCAAAACCCAAGGTTTCTGAACGGAGAGATGCGACCACCATCCACTGTAGTTGGCCGTTGGGTCGTAGGCGTGGCCATCACAAGCGAAGCCCGCCTGCAGCTTCCATCGCCGCTTCAACTTGAAGGAAAGAAGGATGTTGATGGGAAAACCGCGGAATAAAACATGTGTTTGTAGAACTTGCTCTTCAGGATGATGGCAGTTGTCCAGGAACTAGTTGAAAGGTTGGCGTCATCCTTGAGGGCATCTCAGTGAAATGAGGGGCTGCTCTCGTTTGCAGCAGCTGGGGGATGGTCACAACTGACCATCCAGATGGTCGGACAACCAATTCAGGAATCACATGGCTGGGGTGACCTTCTGAATGGGCACCAAGCAAGTCAAACTGTCTACCATCTGAGTAAATCATACTGCACAGCCAGTCAGGGTTCCCAGAAGCTTTATTTTGGGGGGCCCAAGCCCCAAAGCAAAACCCCTATTACATGTAAGCGCGCAAGCTCGCAGCCCACAGACCTGCAGCCTTCCGTTTGCGCGTGGGCCGTGTGTAGCCGTGAGGCTCCCCGGCCTGGTCCACGTTGCCATAGCGCAGGTTGTGGGCGATGGTGCTGTTGAAAAGGACCACGTCCTCCGGGCCGACCGGAGAAAAAACACACATCGGGCTGCATCACAGCGGATTTAAAATTTGCCCGTAACAATGTTAGGTTCACACCTATTGGGGCTTGTTGTCAGCTTGCCCAAAGCCAATTAGCGCCAATTAGCACCAATTGGAGCGCATCAAGGCAACCATAGCGGCAAAGCCATCGCAGCAAAAAAAATCCCACATCAGCCCACGAAGTACAGCTCTCTACAGCCAAGGATGCGTATTCTTACGGAAGATGAGGGGGCTCTGATGAATCAATTCTTCTGGATATGGGGTTGTGTCCGCGGGTCATGTCTTCAAAAGATTGGGCCAACAGGCGTGGGCAGCCATGGACGTTTCAGGTTCCAGGGCAAACCGCGTTTAGGGTGAATGACAACTTCACCCTAGTAACACGAGCAACCTCTGTGACACAAGTCTTAAGCGGCAACCCGTGCTGGAATCCGAGGCTGTCAACACCAAGGTGGTATTTACTTTGTGGTGGGGAAAACCGTCACCTCAAACTACATAGACTCGCACATACAGGGAATCCTTACATGACCTCAAGAAATGAAGAGAATCCACTAGAAAGATTTCTCGACCACCAAAGACTGGGGGGACCCGAGTAACAAATATGCTTGCAACCAGGAATGTTTCTGTCAAGGAAGCCTGCGTGAAGCTGCCAGATGATTTTCCATCTTCTACCACGCTGGACTTGCTTCGCCTCATTTCAGAGGTCTTTGAGTTCGCCAAACAGCTCCTGCGCCTTGCCGACGCCCGTCTTGGACTTCTTTGTCGGGCGCTATTTCTTTGTTGGTCACTCGTTTTGAGGTGGGAGCGCAGCGAGTGAGGTTGTGGGTGGCATATTTTTCAACTTGCATCCTGGAGCCGAACGTGCGCCTGCGACTGGTCACTGTTCATTTTCTCGGCAATTCCGGTCTTCTGGTCCAACTCACCCTTTTTCTTTTTTGATGATGTGAGCACTTTGTCACCGACGCTGAAGCTGGTGCCTTTCTCTGGCTGACCCTGTCCAGCTGGAAGCTCTGCCTGGCTTTCTTGTGCTTTCTTCAAAGCCTGCGCCGCCTTGCGCTCGTCGACGATGCCCTGTAGAATGGGACGCCCTAACTGTTCCCAATTAGGCAAGGGTTCGAGGGCAATCACCTGCTGCGGGCTTGAGGACTCTGAGCCTGCAAAGCACTGAGCGCGGGCATATCCTTTCCTGGACGCCGACGCCGACACTGCACTTTCACAAAGCTGTGCAGCACTTTCGCTGACTCGGTGGGCAAGGTGAGGCTCGTCTTTCAAAATGTCCTGCCCCCAGCGACCAGCATCTCGGCATGTGTGTCCACCGCCCGCACCAAGTATCGAGAATGCCGGGTACTGGGAATGTATGAACGCATCAAAAGGAGGCGGATGACTGGTTGTTGGCATTCGGGGAGTGCCTCAGCATCCTTGCTTGACTCGGGCCCGCCAGCTAAAGCCAGCGAGCTACGATCTCTTGCGTCAAGAGACGCAACACTTTCTTGCGGGACTCGTCTGCGTGCGCCTCGGCCACAGACCGCACGGGCATGCAAGCCTTGCCGTGCACCTGCGCCACAAGAATGCTGTGCTCCTGCTAAGAAACTCCGCCAATGGCTGCCTTGTTGTTTGTCAGAACCAAAAAGCATCTTTCGCCTTCCGACGCTGCTCGTGCCGATGAAATGCGCAGGATCTATGGTACAATCTTGCAAGAAATCTGGCAAGGCTGCAATGGGAACTGTTGGCCGCGCCAGGCCCGTGGGTAGATACCGTAGGGCTGCAATCCTTACGCGGCACGACCATGCCAATCTCTCCTTCGGCTTCCTTCCTTTTGCGACGCTGGTACGCCCGCTGATTTCGAACAGACTTCAGTTCCGCCGCGTTGGCGGCGGGCACCGAAGCAGCACTAGGCTTGGGCCCTGAGTCATCTGCAGCATCGAACTCATCTTCCAAAGCGGCAGCGCAAAACCCTATGGCGGCTATGGCAACCGCATGATCTGCAGCACTCAGCCTGCCTTGGAATGCTTGGAGATCATTGCATAACCGCCTAGCTGTCTGGCCTAGCGACATGAGTACAACGGCCCTCGGCAAAACACCTGAGCAGTGCTCAAGACGGATCGAAATTTGGTTACCCTCGTCGTGCGCCTTCGCGGAGCTTTTGCGAAGCTTTCGCGCGTGTGTGGTTTGCTTTCGCGGCGGCTTGTTTTGCATCAGCCCTTTCGCAGCGCTTTCGCGCGGCTCGTTGAAATTGGCAGGCAACCTTTCAGCACAAGAATAGTACACCAACTGCACTTGGTAGCTCCAGCTTGAAAATCGCTACTTTTCAGAACAAGCCCACCAAGTCCACTTTGCTAGCTCCACGCCTTTCGCGGAGCTTTCGCAGAGCTTTCGTGGAGCTTTCGCGCAAATCCCTCCCCCGCATTTGCGAACCTGGCAAACAGCCTGCGCACACTGATGAGCACATGCACGGTCAACGCCTGCTCTTTTCGCACGCTGCCGGCCCCAAGCGCCGTCTGAACAAGTCGCCTTTCGCAGAGCTTTCGCGGACCGAGTCTTCGGAAAACGCAATCTCGCGAGCTTTCGCGATGCGGGCACAGGTGTCCTTTCAGGGCAAATAGATGGCCCCGGTAGATGATTAAACCACCTGGTAAACCAGGGCCATCTATTTTTCCACCAAAACAACTAAAAAGGACAGCGGGGTTTTCCTTTCCCGGAAGCCATTTAGGAACCCGTTTAGATGAAGATCATCGCGGGGTCTATGGGGCGCCGCTCACCTTGCCACTCACCCCCTCACAGAGGCGCTCCATGGCGCTCATGGCTACCAACGAATCGACCTAAAACAATGTGTGATCTGGACATGTCTTGAAGATGATGTGTAGTTTCTCCCGCATGGCTTAATGAGCCTACCTTCGAAAACCTTCTGGGATCGCGACCAAATCCGGATTAAACCGGACAAAACCCGTGCCAAACACAGCTGCCAGGCCGAAAGAGGCCCTTGGTCCAGCTGTGCGTGGCTTTGCGCCGGAGGGCTTCTGATCAAAAGCAGGCTGAACATGCCCTTCATCAGTTGCCGTTCTTACTTGCCGAGTGGAGAAAAACCATCCAGAGCTTTTGTCTACAACAAAAAAAATCCTGATCTTCCAAAAAATTGACTGGGCTTCCTGCACACTCACACACAAATTAATATTGTACCTTCAAAACTAAGGTCCAGGGTTCCCCAAATGTCCCGCCTTTGAACATCACCCCCAAAGGATATTCGCCGACGCTTGGCCCAGAAAGACCAATGAGGTTTCTATGAAGGGAGCTTTTGGTGGCAATCCAAGGAAGCGAAAATCCGCCTTTTGGTGGTTTGGAGGCCAACTGGAGGTGTTCAAAGGGGGGGGGTTCCCATTTATTCAGATTTCCAATTCGAGTCCAAACCACTCGAGGGTTTCCTGGGCTCTTGACCGAGGCCTCGAAGCAAACGAGATCCCCAGCTCCGAGGCCCGGAAAAATTCGCCCGGGACGGACATTCCATATGCTCGGACTTCGATTTGGCCGCGAATTCAAAAAACCGGAATACCACAATGGCTTGCCCTGGTAAGTGGAAACATGGACCAAAACCTGCGGCTGCCCCTCCGATCGTTTAATTTTGAGCCACACCAAAATTTGGGAACCTGCCAAATCGTGTGGAAGGGTGGAATCTGAGCTGTGCTTTGAAGCGCATAAAGCACCTACCAAGAAGTCGAAACCAACTATTTCACAACTTGAGGCCAAAAAAAGAACTTGATCCAATACAGCTCTTGATACTAAAAACAAACAACGTTTAGAGCCCAGTGCCGTGTGAACCCGGGATCCTCATGGCTAAGCCCCATGCTTGCCCTCGAATCCATGCGCTCGAAACAAACAAATAATAATAATAAAATCATAAACACATAATAAAAATAATAGTAATAATAGTAGTAGTCATAATAATAATAATAACAATAATAGTAATAGTAATAGTAATAATAAAAATAAGAGTAATAGTAATAATAATAGTAATAATAATAATAAAAATGCTAATTATAATAATAACAATAATAATAAACAAATAATGATAATAATGCTGATTATAATACACTAAACAAAAATGCTATTTGGCTCGCCCCCCAATGGCGCAGCTCCTGCGGCACCATGCCAATGGCCGCCCGCAAGGAGCGCTGGGTGATGGTCTTCACATCCTGTCCGTGGATTTCTCCCAAGCCCCAGGGATTTCTTATGCGGACAAAAGGGAAAACCCGACTTGGTTGCCTGAAAAGTATTTCACCTTTTGTGGGTCCAATGAAAAATCAATCCATTGCTTCAATTAGATAAAGTGTGAAGGTCCAACCAAATGCCCAAGGTTTTTGTTGTTGGGGGGGGACTTGAAACAACCGTCCACGAAAAAAAAGAACGGGGGAAGAAAAAAAACGGGGGGAAAAAAAGCGCTGCCGGAGGTCTGAGGTTGGTGAGATCCGCACAATTGCCAACTAAGAGGTGGCTTGAAGGAACACCCCCAAAGTAATCTTGCTGGTTCTCGGGGAATGAGTTGGAATGATCCCGAAAAAACTCATTTCGGCCCTATGGCTTCCTAGGGAATCCCCTTTCCCAATAAACCTCGACTCGGTCATTCCCTCCCTATCGCACCAAGTAATGCTGGGATCTCCACCAAGCTCGGCTTTTGGCCAGAAGACCTGTCAGAATTGAAACGGACAAATGGGTCGCAAAGCCAATGGGCCTAATTAGGTATATATATATATATGTATAACTATATAACCGTGGTGCAGGAAAGAAGTTGGAGAGAACCGGAAATCCGGCTGTGCAACTCCCGGCCGCGGGACTGAGTTATTGATAAGATTCCCTTGTGAAATTGCCGACATCTTCCAAGGTTTTGCGGCAGTCCCTCGTTCCAGGTGGGACGCCCCGATGATTGCTTTGTCAGTTTAGAAGGGGAGTCCCAATCTCCGAAGATGGGCATCACAATGACTCAGGGAGGTCCCTGAGTGGATTCACCAATTATCCCCAACCACGGGCCATAGCAAATTATGGGCTACCTTCCCACCATGGCACCTGACAGGATCCACCCGACCATACGGCCAAAGCAACTTTCACAGATCTGTCCTGGCCGTTCACCAACACGCGGCCGGAGACCGTGTCGTAAAAGCGGAAGAGAAGCCTGGACCCATCCCAAACCATGATACAACGATTTGCTGCACGTTGTGAGCCGGGAACAGTATATAATCACAACTCTGAAGACTTCAAGAATCGAGTCATGTCGCACACCACGCACCCATGGGTTGAACAACAAACGGCGGAGGCTCTGGCACAGCGTGACTATTGCCACAAATCACTTCGACCATGGCCTTTGGCGTGGAATCCCCGGTAGGTGGCATTTGTGTTGTGGGTCGCACAAAGCACCAATGAAGCCTCTTTCAAGGGCTGTCAGCGGTGGGGACCCAAGCCATATCGTTTCACATACCCATTGGTATTGTTTCAAAGGAAAACCAACGGGTTTGTTACATACACCCAATTGAACGCATGATCACCATACGCATCCTTTTGGGTTCTCCTTCACGATGGCTCCAGGGGTCCTCAAGTCTCCCTTCTGCCGATTGACCAAAAGGAGGCACCAAGCTTTTTGCAAACGGCCTTCGGCAACCCCAAACAAAGCGCCCCAACTCTTCCTAGCGCCCCTTCAAGAGGACCGCCTTTCCAAGAATTCTGGCATCCCGCAAGGACATGTGCATCTCCCAAGACTCAAAGAGCACTTCGAAGGGAGTCAAAAGCACACCGCCCTGTGTCTTTCTTTTCTTTGAGGGCGGGGGGTATTTTGACACATACCCGAAAGGGACTGAAAAGGGGACGCGTCCTTGGATAGGTTGGGTTAAGGGCAACGCCCAAGCCGGCGAGACATGCAGCGGACACCCCACTTTACGAGCGAGATGGGCAAAGGTCCAACTCCGACTAGCACTGAAGCTCCCGGAAGGCCTCTGTTCCCACAAGGGGCTGCGAATCCCAATTTCGCTCGAAACAGCGGCAACCAATCCCAGCTTTGTTTGGCTTAAAAGAGACACCAAATGGATTTAAAGGTGCAAAGGTTCAAAAGGCACCAAAAGGAGTGAGACCCCAGCCCAAGATGAACCGGCCACCCTGAAAAGCCCCCTCTGTACCCGCCTAGTGACGGTGGTCTTGCCGGCGCCGGTGGTGCCCACAAGCGCCAAGGAGCCCCCGCGGGGGATCTGGAAATCCACGTCCTGACGCGATTGGCGCCCTCGATTGGCGAGCGCGACAGTGTGGGTGGAATGAACCGGTTTTGGGGATTCCCTTAAAGGAAACCGCAGCATTGCAAGCGCTGAGAACCAGCAAGGTCCGAAGGACACGCGCCAAGGAAACCGCACTTTTGTCTTCTAAAATGAGAAATAATACTAGAACTCAGGCCGTGAGTGATTGGATGTGGGTATCTAAATAGTGGACCCGCCCAAATGGTGGTTTCTTCCTTTGGCTTCCCGTCAAAACAACCCAAAAGGTCTCCCTCAACACAAAGACACACATGTTGCTCAAGTGGAGCAACATGGGGAGAAGGGTTCAACAGGAATTTGCTGCCTGCATGACTAGAAGGCTCGACTTTTCGCAGGGGAGGTTCAGTCAGAAGTCGGGCGATTTGAGGGTATGGAAGCCGGTGAAACAAGCAGACTCTGGTCCACTCCACTTTCCAGGGAATCTAAAGGTTTGCAAACATGGCCACGGAAACAGCTACACGCGGCTGCCAGCAGCTAGTTCTGGATTTGGGATGCCCCCATCAGATACCTCCACAGTCAGGGAATCATCCAATGACAACTTTTGGCCACCTCTGTTGGCGTGCAAAACAGCTAGATCTTGCTGTACAGATCTTAATTTTGTTTCATCAAAGGATGCGGTAAATCTGATTAGAGGTTCCAGGTGTCCAGAATTCCCTGTAAATATGGGTATGAATTTTGATAGGGTGCCAAGGTGGTTCCTTTTTGTTCAAACAAGAACTCTGGAAGAACGGGCGGCCCGAGAGCATAACAGAAAGTGAGCGAAGCATGTTCTCTGAACGACTGTTCTCTGCGCAAGTTCACTCTGCGAGTTTCTCCTCTCGTGTCTCTTGCTGTGCATGGGCTCTCCTGCAACTTGGTCTGCATGTGCGCTCGACATGTGCTGTTGTGTCTCTTGCCTCTTGTGCATCTTGCTGCGCGACAAAGAACCCTTTGCCATGCTTTCGGGGGAAAAACAACACATTGCCGTACATACACTTGAAGCAGCAGCGCCAAAGGAACCTCGAAGTAATGTTTACATCAGTCGACAGGAGAAACCAAAAGGACCGAAGCATGGGCAAAAACGCCGGGTCCTTGATGGACCTCCCCAGAGGCTGCCTCAGTTCAGATTCGCACGCGTCTTTGCAACACGGAGTGCCTCACACCCCCCCCCATAGAGTTGTCTCGCTTGCGAATTCTGCAAAGCGACCTGAAAAGGGTGCCATCAACAGAATCCAGACCTGAGACCGTCAAACCCGTGGGCAAGGAGAAATTGGCGAATGCCAGCTGACGGCCGTGTGTCTGTGCCTGTCATCAGTTTGTCAAAGAAGCGACTGACATGGATGATTGGCACCATCAAACATCAAACAAGCAAGTCAATCTGACACCGCCATGCTCCCTCATTCTTTACATCCCAGTCCTAATCATTCTCAAAATCCAAGCTGGGGAGCCTTGTTACTTGGGTCTGTCTTCGTTTGAGTTAAAGGAAAACCAAAAGGAAAAGCCCACTTTGGGGGGTCTGAATCCTACAAGAACTCACACTCAATTGCAAGAGGCGAGCGGCATGTGTCCAGGTGCGGAAATCGATGGATGAAACTCCGCTAGACCCCTCACTAGTCTTCCTTGGATAAACTTCACAACCCTTGGCATGTTTTGTTGCAGCCCCCTATAAGGGCCCCTATATTACTAAACATGAAAAGAACCAAACAACCTAAAAACTTGCCGCCGAGAACAGTGAAGCAAAGGCTAAGCCATAAACTAACACTCCATAAACTAACCCAGAACTCAATGAAACCCATGGGACCGCAAAGCAAAGTTTCTTGAACTACAACAAACCAACCATGAACTGACCCATCCTGCAAATGCAAAAACAATCCAGAAGTGGGTGTCTCTCTTTTTTCGGTTTCCGGAACACACACACACACACACACCAAAACGTGGGCTTGTGGGCGTGGCAAAAAATAATCGTCGCCCAGGCGCTTGCTGTAGTGGAAGCACACCTTCTCAAAGACCACCATGGCCGCATTCCGCGGCCTCAGGTCCAGGTCCGGCGCGCCCGCAGCATCCTGGAGCTCGGAGGCGGACGGCTGAGAAAGGCGCGTCACGACGAGGCGTCCTGGGAAAAGAGATGGCCCCGGTGGATGAAACCAATACCTGGTTACCTAGAGTCTCCTTCTGACCCTTTAACAATGGTTGGTCATTACCCAAAATTAAGGGGTTATGACCGCTTTTGCTAGGAGTTATGGAGACTCTAGGTACTTGGCACCAATCGGCAATTTGCCAATAGGTCTACCAGGGACCTTTGTTCCTCAAAACTGAACGAAAATTGGACAGATCTGCTGGGTTCTCGGCTCTCGGCATCAACAGGAGGCTTGGGAATGCATTGGGATCTGGTCATTGTTCATAGAACGGCAGGGATGGTTCACGGGCCACAAAACTTTAAAACCCCAGCTGATTCCCCCCCCATGACTTGCTTGGTTCCATGGGAGAAGGGGGGGTTGGGAATGAACCGTTTGGGATCTCTAGGAAACCACAAGGAATCAGTCCGGGGCCATTCCTTCATTCCCTGCGAGCGAGAAAGTCTCAAAGTTCCCTAGGCTACTCAAAAGTCTACCCTTCCTGGAGTTCAGCATCCACGAGTGGGTTATATGGGTGTGCCTATTTGGAGTTGGTACCCCCAAAATGCCGCCACAGTTTTCCCGTTGGTGTCTCAATGGAAGACAACAAAACAGAGACATACCCATTTGCCCAAAAGTGGCATAAGCCCTCGCTTTGCGGGTTGCCACGTGGCGGGAATGAGGTTCAGAACGTCCTTGCCACCTAAAACCTATACTCACTTCCTGAGTGGATGGGCAACACAAATTGACCAAGCTTTTTGTGAAGCCACTAAAATGGTCCGACTCAAGTTCAGGAACGGGAATGACGCAAGGACATGAGTGAGCCCCTAGTTTTCGTGCTTACCACGTGCTGAGTCTCCCCGAGTCCCGAACCACAAATGGACCATAGACTGCTCCTATCGCCCACATGAGCAGCGCCCAACACCCATTGGTTCTAGCTAGCTCTGCTGTACATTCAGGCCTTATTACTCCAGACATAAAAAAGTTAGCCTTTTGGGGCTATGATTAAACATGGAGCAACATGGAGAGACCAAAAGGTCAAAAGGTCAGCTTTGGGCAACTAAGAAATTTGAAATCCTGCTGTCACCTGGTAGAACCACCCGCCAACGGCCCTTCTTGAAAATCGGCTTGGGCGGCCTCGAAGCATGATTAGAGTTAGAGTGAGTTGTAGAATGTATATTTTACTGCTTGCTTGACTTTGAGGGACCGGTAAAATGCAAATTTATAGGGGCAGGGATCCTTCTTTCTAGAAAACCACCAAAAACCCTGCAAAAAAAGGGGGATCGGTATTTAAAAAGAACGATGGATAAAAAGAATGGAAAAGGAATCAACCCCTAGAAAAATGTATCCATTAGTCTACCCCAGAAAGGCCGCTTCGTTCGAGCAGCTGCCCCCCGCCTGCACCTCCGAGGTTTCCGCCAACAGCTGGCCGAAGCTCCGCATGTCCACGACGGCGTTCACCACCTGCCAGGCACAAAGGTGACATTGGTGTGGGTCAAAAGCCAAAGCCCGTACCCCCAGTGAACATCCCAATCCAACCACTCAAAAAGGTTCTACGAGTACAATGGGTGGTGAATTCACCAATCTCAACCAAAATGGGATCCCATTAGTTTTGACCCAGCGCCACATTGGTGCAAGGGGGCCTGAAGCCACAAACAGAAACCATTTCACTGGGAAAACTTGCTGGTGCTCAGAAGGGAACGAGAATTGGAATGAACCCAGGGATTCTCTTAAAGTTGGATGGTTTATAAGGGTCATTACATTTTATTCTTTTTCTGTTCTTTTTAACCATGGTTCTTTTCCAAACCGGCCGTTTTCCTCGGGCTTCTTGTGGGTTCTTTAGAAAGAAGGATTTCTGGAAAGAATGGGGCTAGAAGTTTCATGGGAAACCTGGACAAACCTAGAAAAAAGCTGAAGCCACAAACATGATGCTACACACACAAAGCCCAAACCATGGTCCCTCATATGTGTAGTAGAGCAACAAGGAAACGGGCCGAAACCCAACAAACAACACACAACCCACCAACCAACCAACGAACCAACCAAACAAACAAACAAACAAATAAGCAAACAAACCAAACAAACAAACAAACAAACAGACAAACAAGGAAACAAACAAAAATCAAAGAAACAAACAAAAAAAGAAACAACTAAACAAAAAACAAAGAAACAAACAAAAACCAAAGAAACAAAGAAACAAACAAACAAGCAATCAAACAAGTAAACAAACAAACAAACAAACAAGCAAACAAACAAACACACCAGCAAGCAAGCAAACAGGCAAACAAAGAAGCAACTACGCAAACACACCAGCAAGCAAACAAACACAAAACAAGCAAAACAAAACAAACACAACAACATACAACAATACAAAACACGCAACAAACCAACAACGCATTGCCCTCCCAAACACCACCATCTAGTCCCTTTTGCGGTCTGCGATGCTGAAACAAAGAGTTCTTTCTGATTGAAAAAAACCCGCATCTGTTGGCCTTTGGTTCAAATCACGTGGTGGGTGTAATGCTGGGTGGCCAACATGGGATGGATTGCTTAGCACCTGAGAAAGCAAACGGTCGAGAGTTCCCCGTTTTGACGCTCCCGAACTGGTCAACTTCCCTAAAAGCAAGAAGGAACAATCCCCGAAACATTGCACAATTTAATCAAGGACCTTTCAAAGACCGCGAAGCTCCTACGTTTAATCCTTGGAAGAGACTGACATGGGTGCAAAGGATTCATCAGCAGTTTCTTCACTCTTAGGCTCCTGCCATGTTGTAAATGGTACCCAGGAAATTCAACGGCGTGAAGACGTTGATGATGTACCTGCGCATCTTGAGAAGCACTGGCGGATATCAGCTTGGGTGCTAAAGAGCAGCCGCAGGTAAGTTGAGCTTACAATCACTATAAATTGCTAAAAGTAGGGGTAGTTCCCGTATAAGAACTAATTACAACACATTTGCCTGGCATGAGTCATAATCAATTCCCAGCATTCAAGGGCTCTATTCAAAGGGTCTTGCATACAACCATGGAAGAGAATAGGGGGGCTCACGTCTATTTATGGTTGGAAAGCTTCACTTGCACGTGTTTTGATTGTGGCTTGCAGACACTGTCCACGATGTATATAAACATATCTAATATAGGTGGGTGATGGTGGGTGGTTTAAGCCAGAAACAAGTGCAACACACCAAGACAAAAGCTGTACGGCCTACTCGGCGTACCCTCGTCAAGGTGTTGACTGCATCTGGCTGGAGCACGCGTTGACGGCCACGAACTCCCCTAAGCTCCCATTGGCCTTCGTCGCAAGCCGGTCTGACACGTGTGTCACGCGTTGGGCCCGTTTTGGCGGGGCGCCTACGTGGGTCAAAAGGGTCACCATGTTGTCCGCCAAAAGAGGGCCTTAGGACATCAACCATGCCATGTGAGCGATGGTTAAAACTCCTTGTTGTATGAAAACACGCAAGGAAGCAAGCAAAACAACAAAAAAACTAACTAACTAAACAAATAGCTAACTAACTAACTAACTAACTTAACGAACAAAGAAAGAAAGAAAGAAAGAAAGAAAAGAAAGAAAGAAAAAAAGAAAGACAGAAAGACAGAAAGAAAGAAAGAGAGAAAGGAAAAGAAAGAAAGAACGGAAATAAAGAAAGCAATAAAGAAAGAAAGAAAGAAAGAAAGAAGAAAGAAAGATTGAATGGAACGCTATAAGGAAGGATTCAACCCACCCACCTCAAAAAAAAACAAAAGACAACAGGCAAGATAGATAGACAGACAGACAGACAGACAAGCAAGCAAGCAAGCAAGCAAGCAAGCAAGCAAGCGAACAAGCAAGAAGCAAGCAAGCAAGCAAGCAAGCAAGCAAGCAAGCAAGCAAGCAAGCAAGCAAGCAAGCAAGCAAGCAAGCAAGCAAGCCAACAAGCAAGCAAGCGAACAAGCCAGCAAGCCAGCCAGCCATCCAGCCAGCCAGCCAGGAAATCAACGCTTTGTTACCCAACCGGAGCTCTATCAAACAGGGAATCCCTTTGTCGAATCCCTTTTGGGATGGTTCAATCCACCTCCCCCTTTAAGTGACCCCTTTTGCTTTGGCATCTATCTCTGCCCGCCTGCAGCACCCGCATAGTGGCTAGGATCCTCAGGCAAAGGGACCGCTCAGTGGGACGCAACCCGAACCTGCCAGGGAAAGAGAGACACCCCTACTCAGATGCCCAGTGGATTTCTAGGGGAAAAAAGGCATCCTTTTTTTGGTTGGTTGAGTTTAAAGGGAAGCCTTCCAAAAAGGGCACCACTGGGCAACTGGGCCTCCTTTGGTTGACTCAGAAAAACTGCGCACAAAAAAGGAAAACAGAACACTGGCTCTAGGGTTCTTTAAACTTTGCCTGGTTTGGCTCATTTCGAGCCCACCGCACCATGTTTCGTGAACTCAGAACCGCAAAAAAAGGGCTCAGGTGACCGCTGGACAACAATCGTCATGGTACAGGTTGCTGAAAAAGGTTCAAATCTCTGTTGATCCGGTGATTTGCTTGGACGCGCTGACATAAAAAGCTATTGGCCATGGACAAAAATGCCCTCCTTTGTTGTGGTCTGTTTTAATGGGAACCCCCTCCAACAACAAAAAAAAAAGGGCACCATTGGTCTGGGACCTTGAGGGCACCCTTGTTGCGCTCTGAAGGGAACACAGGGGGGAACACCTCCATTTTGTGGCTCCCCCACGTCAAAACTCCCCCCCAAAGCTCTTCAGATACCAAAAAAGGTCCGTTTGATTCTCCAACCTTCAACAGTCTCCCAAAAAACCAAGTCGGAGTCAGAGCTGCTTGCTCCCAAAAAGCATCGGCATTCGAAACGTGTGAGCCTTGTGGTTGCATGAGGCCAGAACAGCCATGCTAAATTCCTCTGCAAAAACAAGTTGCTTGCGGCAACGCCTACGTGCGGCTTGCGCGTGCGTACACAATCAGCTTACGCGCGGAAGTGCCTAAAGCGCAGAGCTTTCGCGAGGCTTGCACGAGCTGTGCTCAGCGGATGTTTGCGCGCAACAACGCTGGCTCACGCGAGGCCTTTCTGGCATGGACGTAGTCAGGGTCACGCTTGGAACCCGAAGCTTACTGCGCGGCCGCACCTTTTAATCCGAACTTTGCGGGTGCCCTGAAGCAAAAGGAAGCCCCACAAGTCACAAGGTGGTCGCAAATTCGAGCTGCCGGGCTGCCGGGCTGCCGGGTCTTGGCCTCCCACCTAATTACATTGCCTCGGACATCGACCGCTGAGGTTCTGGCATGCCGCCGCAGAGCGTGAAGTTCACGATGAGCTGCTGCAGGATGTTCAGCAGCGACAGGGAAGCCTGGAGGAGCTATGGGCGCAGGGTCCACTTTTGGACCATCCCAAGATAGACTTGAACACAGGGGTTCTCCTTTTGGGGGGCACATGAACCACTGGGTTTAAGCCTGTCTTGGGGTAGTCGAACAGTGGCCCCCTCTATGGGCGTGTCTCAAGGATCCGAGCCCCAACATGGTGGTCGCTCCTTTGGCTTCGCCCTAAAACTTATCCGACAGGGGGTATTTGACACGCCCGGATGGCTCCTCTCACCTCCCGGTAAACCGTGGAAGCTGACGGGGGGCTTTTGGACGCCGGTTTCCATGGCTCCTCCAGCCTAATCCCAGTGGCAACCAGTGATCTTTTCCCTTAGAGAGGAGCCGCCACCCCCCAATGTCTCGAGGAGTGCGTGGCCCCCCAATGTCTCAAGCGATCCATATTGAGTTTGGCAGAGACAGAAGTGGCACCATATTGGGGGGTGGCCACATTCAGTGGCGAACGCGCCAAAGACGTAAGGGGCAAAGGGTGCCACTCAACAAATGGGGAGTGGTTCACAGCCCAGGTTAAATCAAACAATACGAAATCAAGACAGAAAGCATATGTTCAGCCACCACGAAACAAAGACAACAAATGCGCCCGGTAATAGTTTGAGCGTTCTTTTTAAACAGGGGCCGTACTTTCTGGTCTTCTAACAGGCTTCGCCATCTGATGTTTGGAAGGCAAACTGAAGAACTTAAACAGTAAACATCTCTAAGCACAGTATCGTCCCTCGTAGTGCGAGATTCATCCCACAGCAGCTTACAACCCCATCAACACGTAGAATCAGGATTCGAGAGACCGCCCCTTTCGCCAATCCGTCTAGCGGGTTCCTTGAAGATCAGGTACCCTTCTTGCAGATTTGCAGGTCCCTATATTTGGGTATGGGTCAAAATTAGACTACCAGGGGACCGCCAGTTTTCTCCTTGGTCCCATTATCCAGCTCCATTTTGGGGTTACCCTATTTTTGACAACCACGGCCATATTTGTTTTGTACACATGAGTCATAATCAAAACCCGGTATTAAAATGGTCTACCCAGAACCATGGCAAGTCAGAACCATGGAAAGTATTACGAAGGCAGATATCCGCGCCTATTTCTGGCTGGGACTGCCCAGCCAAACCTTCATCTATATACCGGAGCTTGGAGGACGTGGCTCAAATGGCTGTGGCTGTGGCCCAAAATCAACCCTGGTAAATGAAAACATGGACAAAAAGCAAAACTGCGGCTTGCCCCTCCTGTTTAATTTTGAGCCACACCCAAATCAACATGACCATGCCTTCCGAGGACTTGAGTTGGACCCTTGGATTGTGTCAGCCACCCCGCCTGAGTGGTCATCGAGGTCTGCTGAAACTTCTCCACCAAGGATCGGTACCTGGGATTCTGAGACCGGACCCGGGCACCCGGAGCGAGACCAAAAGGTCTTGCGACCTTTTGGGGTGACGTCTTGTAGGGAATGAGAATTGGAATGAACCCACAAATTCCCTTAAAGGAAACCACCAGTTGGATGGTTTATAAGGGTCGTTCCAGTTTCTAGGGTTTGATTCCTTATGTCCATTCTTTTCAGCCAGCCCTAGAGCCTTTGACCTTCGATTCTTGGGAAACCAACAAAAAGCAATACCTGGGATGTCCGTTGTCTGATCCCCTGATAAAAGTGACTAACCTGTAGTGGGCGAAATTCTAAGGGGATGGCTAGGAACTCCAAGATACCTTTGTTTTGGGGGGTAGCTTGTTTTCAGCCAGGCTTCTGTTTGCACAACGTCCTCCGTGAGGAATCTAATGCGTTCATTTCTGTGTCCAGAACTGGAGAACCCCCACAACTGGTTGGTCTTCTGTTGAACTTCTTTCAAAATCATCCAAAGGGACAGCCCATGTCGAGACAAGTTGTTTGGCAGTTCAGCATTCTGTTCAGCGTGGTAATTGGGAGATTGTACCAATGTTAGCACGTTGAGACACTGTGCTGTTGAGGTTCTGGGAAAGGTCGGACATTGCAACCTGGAACTTGCATGAGCAGCTGTGCTCAAGCATGAACTAGTATCGTGCAATACATGAGCTCAAACGCTTGCTTGATAGCCGAGGGTAAAATCATACAATCAACCCTCCATGCAGCAATCTCGTACACGTTTATCATTTAAGATAGTAAGTGTGTGTGTGTGTGTCTTGTCGGCTTCTGTGATCGTAGGTAGGGAGCAGTTTATCATCATCTTCTACGAAACCCCATCCAAAGCTGGGTGTGTCTCAAATAAGGGCCCAAAAAATAGTTGGTGTCCTTTTGGCGTCCCTTTAAATTCCACCCCCCCCCCCACCCGGTTTGTGTGTCTCCCAAAAAAAAGGAAGCCACACCCAGCTGTGCATCCCATCCAATGTGGCGCACACACTCCGCTCATAGTGCTCCGCAGTGAAATACTTTACGGTCTGCGACGGCGTGTTTCTCCCGATGCCCCAAACTTGTCCAGACTCTGCCCTTTGCCAAACAAGTTGGGACACTGCGTGCTGTCAGTCAAATATGCGCATAAGCCACAGTTTCGTGGCTTTTGCCAAGTCAACCTGTCATGCGAATATTGTGAATTGGGGCTACTAGCCTCGTACTGACTCAGGGGTCGCTCATCAGCATTGCGTTTGTAGCCCACTATCCACTATCCCAAGAGACTGGATAGTTTGACTCTCTGGCTTCTGATCTTGTTTCATATTGCGTGGGCAAACGGGCAAACCCTGATTTGTGATCCTTTGAACAAGCATGTCGGCAGGAGGCATCCGACAAACAGCACACACCAGGATGTGTCGTCAGGGTTCCTGAGCTCTGACTACGGATGGTCATGCACACAAACAAATGGAGCCTCCTGTTCTAAGCCTCTCATATCTGGGTTGTCCTCAGATCCCCTGCTAAAAGATTAGCTTTTGGTGGGTCCCACTAAGCCCACAAAACCCAAAACCCAAAACGATAGCTGGGAACCATCAAGCTATGGTTCACCAAAAATCCTTCTGCAAAACTTTCATGGAGTCCTTCGAGAGATAATTACCTGTCTCAAGGGTAATGTCCACTTCAGACTCGCCAACTCGTGATCAATCCCCATTTGCCTCTGTTTGCCTAAGTCAAAAAACAAAACAAACAACAGTAGTGATACACTCCCTTTGAAACCACCAAAAGAAAAGCCACGAAACGATCTATGTCCGGGGCTATCCCTATACGGTCCTTCGGATGACTCCGAAGCGGCCTCGTAGTTCACCAGCGAGTCAGTGAGGCAGTCGTGCAGGTCGTTGTCGTGCTTGGTGGTCGCCGTTCGGAACCTGGATCGACATCGGACATGTTCAGCCAGAAGTGTCCTACTTTTGCGTACCCCCGTACATCAAGGAAGCGGGGGGGAGGGGGGGGGGATCATCTAGTCTCTTGCAACATGCGCAGGGAAAGGGGATCGACCTTTGGGTGGCCATGACACTACACCCAAAGTCAGAAGGTCGGCTCGGGGCAAGGAAAAGGTCCCAAGGGACGGGTTCGACAAGATATGGGGCTTCGAGCCAAACCCGGAGATGAAGATCTTTTCGTGGGACTGATCCAATTTCGGAATTTCATGTCAGTGCTCAGAGTCATGCGGCCACTAAGCACGGCCAGACAACTTGTGTAGGGTAGAAACATGCGAACTAGCACAGCAAGCCGACTTTCCACAGATTGGGCATGAATGTAATTTTCGTGGGCGTTTACGTCCACCAACAACTTTTGACGGGCGTCCCCATTGAATTTCATGGCGAGTGGCTCCAACCAAAAACAAGCTAGTCAATTGAAGTTACTTGCTTGAGTAGGTGGAGAAACGGAGTTGTACCCGAAAAGCATTGGAAACAGCTGAAGCAAGCGGGTTTAAAGTAACATCCAAAAAATACCCTCTACATGAGTGTGTCCTGGTTTCCCCCCAAAAAAAAAACAACACAAAAAAAAGACAGCCCAAATGGCGGAAGAGTGGGCAAGCCCCAGAGGTGTCAATTTGAGAACCCTGCAACATGTGGCTTCTTGGGGGCACTGAGGCAAGCCACGGGGCTCAATGTTGAGAGGGACACGCGGTCTTCTAAGCAGCCAACTGCTTCCGCCAGAGGGTGACCTGCACAGTGGAGTAGATGTAGAGGAACAAGTTCAGGAAGACAAAGACCTCAAGGTGAGTGGTGCTGAGTAGTAGTATACTCCCCGAACATGAATGAGGAAAACAAACAGGGGCTTACTTTCTTTGCCAACCTTCGGTTTTGGTTCGCCGTGCCTGTTTGTTGTGCGGGTTTTTCATGGGCACGCAGCTGCCTGCCCTTGGTTCCAAGTGCTGCTCTCTGCCATTGGGCCCCTTACGCGGGCCAGGGAAGCGTAGGGCTCAGTTCACAGGGCTCCGTTCGAACTCAAAATCGCCGTTGCTTTGCCGAAAGGGCGCTGGGGGAAGGAGAGGCGGACCACCTGCCGCCTTTGCTGTTTCTGCTTTCTTTGTGGGAGGCACAAAGAATCAGCGGTGCTACTTAAAGGCTCTTTCTAACGTGACACTGCGCATCAAAGAGGAAACTAAGTTCCAAACTGGAGACGATCAGTTTGCGTGCGTCCCTCTAGAGCATGTGTCCGTATATGTCCTTCAAAGATCCCCTCAAACCAGGGTTGTGGGATCAAGGGGTTTGTGGTACAAGGGAATCTCCCCCTCCATATAAAGAATCTCCATGGAGGTTCGTCTTGAGAAGCCCTTTCTGTTGTATCACAGAAGTGGTCATTTCCCACAGCCCTGCCGCAAACAAAATCCTCAATGCCAACGTGTGGCTGGATGCCAGGACCGCCACTCTCTTCTGTCAGCTTCCCCTCTTGACTCTCCACTCGAGTATTCTCAGCATCGAGGCTGCCGCCGCCAATTGCATGTTGTTGAAGTGGAAGATAAAGATCAAGGTGACCTGAGCAATTCATTGGTGGAGGTGAGCTTTTGGAAAAATCAAATCCCTGGTAAATGGATGGCATAAAAAGGCAATCTAAGCTTGGTGGCATATGCGACATAGGTGACCTTTTGGGAAAAGTCAACTAGGTTTCCCGATTCCCACCTGAGCAAAAATTGGTGGAGGTGAGCTTTTGGAAACATCAAACAGGTTGCCCTGGTAAGTGCATGGCATGAAAAGCCAATCTAAACCAGAACCCATCGAAATTTCAGCAAACCAGCCTAAAAAGGACACCTATGGGTAGAGGAGTCGACCGAAAGCTCAAATCACCTCAACTCCCTGATCGCTGGGCGCAAGCGATGCGATTGTTTGATGCGAATGGGAAAACATGCAGAAAGTCTGTCCGGCAAGTTGCAAGAGAACAAGGCCCCTCAAAATCATATTGTTCTACCTCAATTCTCTATGACCCTTTAAAAATCGGTCCATGACCCCATTGTTTTGGGTCATGCCCCCATGCTTGAAGGGTCATGAAGACTCCAGGTATACATTATACATCTGCATCCATGGGTTACTACTCAGGTATTGGAAATAACTGTTCCGCTCGAAGCCGGGGATCAGGACGAAATAGGGGGGCGGGGTGTCCAAAAATAAAGACCTCCTCTTTGTTTGCTGCTTTGAAGGGCAAAAGACAATCAGCTGGCAGAGGGAGGTGATTTTTTTTTTGGACTCGCCGATGTGAACCAATCACGGTTAAAAATCGACTCAGTAATTGGGTTGAACGCTAAGCCATGCAAAACGTTACCCTTACTGAGCGGGTTGAATGCCGAACCCGCAAGTTCAGGCCAGCCATGCACGCGGATCGCGGCCTGAAAAGCCACTGGTGTTGGCTGGGATTTCCTTGTGCGTGGCATGTCTTTTTGGAGGGGGGCCCCAAAAATTAGAGGTTCCCCTGTGCATAGTGGGGTTGAGGTAGGTTTTAGGTAGGTTTGGGGTCCCTAAACCCATCCTAAAGCCCCCTAAACCCACCCAAAACCCGCCCAAAACCCACCTCAAACGCACCCCTTAAACCCACCCTAAGCCAAGCAACCCTAAACCAACCCGAGACAAACCCACTTCAAAGAACTTGCTGATGCCGCAGTGTCCAGTCTATCTACTGTGGTTTGCAGCAAAATGGTGCCCAACAATTTATTGTCAAGCTTTCTTGCTAATTTTTGAATTAAGTTTTCGAGCAAGCACAAACAACAGCAACCCAACGGACCAACTGGCCGACCGGCCGGCCGGCCGGCCGACTGACCGACCAACCGACCCGTCCAACTGACCCAGCCGACCAACCAACCAACCAACCAACCAACCAACCAACCAGCCAGCAAGCCAGCCAACCAGCCAACCAGCCAACCCGTGCCCCGACCGGCGAGCCGGCGCAAAATCACGTTCCCTCAACAGTACCCTCAAAAAAGACACACTTCATGGAATCTCCACAGGAACCCAAACTTGGTCCAAGATTGGAGCTGGCAGGGCTTGAACCTGCAATTTGTGCAATGATGTTCCCCCTGCATTTGCGGTAGTGAAACCCAGCGTCTCGTCTGCATTTGCGGTGCTGAAACCCGGCGTCTCATCTCGGATCTGTCTGTGGCTCGGACAACAACAAGTGTATGTGGGTTCGGGTCACTATCCATGTTGCCAAGTACCTTCTTAAGAATGGCAAGGATCGAGGCGGAGAAAATGCGTCTGTGGCGCCTGGTGGCGACAAGCAACAGATCCATACGAGAAGCAGCCAAGTGGCAAACGGTAGACCACTTCGAGTGGCCACTGAGCAACTGCGGACTGGCTGAATTTGCTCAAAGCCCAGGTGAAGCGGAGTTGCTCTGCAAATGGTCCTCCAGCTCGATCCGATTTTTAGGATCGTGTAAGCATTTGGAATAGCAGAATAAAGCAAATTGGGCAGGATTGTCAGCCGCAAATCTGGGCTTTCGCACAGCGAAGGCCTCGACCAGAGTTGGTATCAGGTAGAGGAACACGTACTGCATGGTCTGCTGCGCAGCCTGAACGAAGATATAGGGCATGTATCTGTCGCACCAAGACGCAACAAACCACAAAACATGAGCAAACCAGCGCGTTGCACAGGTGTGTCGTTCTTTGAGGATACCTTTCCGGGGCAATCATGCACCTAGCGTCGCAGGTGCCTCTGATTGGCCTATTGTGGCGTTGCGGTCATTTCAGTAAAGCCAAAGGGACAACAGCCAAGTGGAAACAACGATCCGGCGACGCGGTGACCACCAACGCCTTTGGTCACTGATTACGCAAACCTTTAGAACCTCCGGAATTCAATCGAATTGATCGATATATCAGCTTCCCACCCCATGGTGAATTGAACAGAACTGCACATGGAAATAGGTAAAGTACATACAGGTGTGTCGTTTTAAGGGGAAGCCCAAAAGATTGTGGTCTTCCTTTTGGTTTCAGCTGCTGAACAACTCAGTTTCACTTGCCCAGTGACAACCGGAACCCTTTTGGGGCTCGACCACTTAAGGAACCTGGAAGAGCGCTCTTTTTCTGGGTTGACCAAGTTTTGGCGGAAAACTGAAACAGAAGAGGAAGAGTGAATGGGTTACTCATTCAGGGCACCTAACAAAATTCCCTTGAAGTTGCAGGTACCCTCCAACAAATGCTTTGCTCGTGGAGGCAAAAAAGTCGCCTTTTGGTGGCCATGGGTCAAAATCCAATCGCACCCCCAGTGAACATCCCAATCCAACCACTAAAATAGGTTCTCAAATGGGTGGTGAATTCAGCTACCAACCAAAATGGGATCCCAAAACGGTTTTGACACCCACAGCCTTGTTGGGGCTCAAGGATCCCTACGCCGAAGCCGCCTGGATGCCTCTGTCCATGGAGCGGATCACATTCCTGGCAGCAGGCGAAACCCGAGGTTCCCCCCCTCCAAACGTGTTGCCAGGGTCAAAAGGCCCTTGTTGATTGCTTCCATTTGGTGAAGGCCCCAGGAAAAAATATATGTCCAGTAGTGATGAATTCCTTTAAAACCAAGGGAACTGAAAATACATTCTTAAGCGAATGGAGGATTGGCAACCACCGCTGGTTGCCAACGAACCCCTTCTAGATTTTCAAACACATGCGGCTTAAACACCCTCTTGTTGACTACGGCCAGGGTCTGATCGTTCAAACAAAATCTGGCTCCGGCAACTTTTCACAGACGCCTCAGTATGGGGAACACACGAATCGGCGCCCTTTCAGGAGGTTCCTCCTTCCAAACAAAACTGGAACGAAGGACCAGCAACCCACTGAATTGCTTGGGAAGACACGCGCGAACAGAAAATTTTGCGGCGGGCAGGCCCCATCTTCTTTCGCAAGTGCCAGTCCAGGGACAGACTATGCAAATGCGCGAAGGTGTTGTCCGCAATCTCGATGTACCTGGGGCCCGGGGTACTGGGTACGTCGCTGCGAAAAAAAGCGGGGTCTGAAACTGGTTTCCTGTTAGGAACAATGATTTGCATTGACATGTTTGAACGATTTAACTCCCCTCGTGTCTGGTAGAAAGAAGTATCGGGGGTCCAAGAGGCGAGCTATGCTTGTTGGGACCCTGCCAGACATGCAACATGAGGGGGGGGGGGGTACTGGTGGGGTGATGCGCCCCGAATGGCCCTCTAGACTCCAGACGCTGCAAGACTATGATCTAGGGCGACATCCTGTCCCACGTTGTCCGGTCGCCCAATAGGGGAAGCTGCGCAACGCAGGTGTTAGCTCAGATTTCAGCGAGGAAATACAAGGTGCCGCCCCAGCCCCCCTCCCAAGGCGCTTGCAAATGGATTGTCTCATGCTTCTTGCTGGCCCAAAAAAAGCGGGTGGCTTTTCCTCTTTAAAATTGGGGGGTCCGAGTCCTAAGAAAAGACACACCGACCAAGCCTGGGGTGAACCTCGCCCCTTCAGAATCACATCATGTAAGTCCATGAGCAAGGGCTCAAGTGGCGAGTGCATCGCCGTGTCGAGTGGCGTTCAGCAGGAAAGGGATAAAATGAAGAGAACAAACAAACCCCAAAAAACTGTCAAATATTAGTATATATATATATATACATATATTTGTTTATGGACATGCCACTAACAGTGAAGAAATTGAAGTAACGTGGTTTCCCTGCAACCCCCATTTGCTTGTCCACCCCTCCCAGCCCTTTCTCGCCCGTGCCGAGAATCTGGCGCCGCCTGCTGCACCTTGATGTAGACCAGACTCTGCGCTTCCTCGCAAGAGACGCGTGGGCTGGGGGCTTTACCCAAGGTGCACATGTTTCCTCTAGGGAAGCTTCGGACGGAGCCCTCTTTGACCGGCCGGTCCGACTATGACTTCTGGGGCTTAGGAAGAGGTCCTTGCGCATCCTTTTGGAGAAATAGGTGGATTCCAGTGGATTAGAATCATTAGAAACAAGCTGAAATGCAACTGCTAAACCTCAGACCTAAAAAGGGCCCTATGCTTGTCCTGGGCAACCTCAGCTTTCGCCCCAAAAAACATATTTGCTTGATTCGCGTCATCTCCCAGACACCCCGCGGCCATGAAATACACTGCCCACTTCTTGTTGGCAATTGGGTTCAAAGGGAAGCCCCCCCCCCCAAAATGTCAAATAATGGGTGTTGAACAAGGGGGGTAGAAAAATCCCAAACATCATGGGCAATTTGGCAAAGTAGGGGAACCCTCAGAATGTATGGTTTGCCGTGGGTGTCCCGTCAAGCCCCACCGAAAACGGGCACCAGCAAAGAACTCTAGCCCATCCCGTCTGGTGTCCTTTGCAGGAAAATTGAACTATATCAGCTTCCCTCTAGTTGGTGGCTTGGATTGGCGATTTGGTGGTTGGGGGGGGGGTCCCATTTACCCTCTACAAGAATCAAGGGTTCAAATCACCAAACCACCAACCCAAACCACGCATTGAGGGTTACCTGACTCTTGGCTATTTAGCATCCAGGATCACAACGCGCTCCTTCAAGGCCTTGGAGATAAACACCAGCGCAGCGTACTCCACCAACGGCCACCAGATCTGGCGACGCAAAAGCGAGAAGCGCGGGCTTTTGACGCATGCTCGCGTGCAAAAACGCCCTAAGGGTGGGTCCGGAAGAGCAGACACGGCAGGGTGGATGCCCTAAATGTTGCATACAACTGCAATTTGCTGCTATCACGATCCGGGAAGACCAAAGGGTCATGTCGATCAGCGCCGTCGTTTGGGGTTCAAATCCGGCTTTGACGTTCGTAGAACACAACCAGTCTCCTTGGCGTCTCAAAATTAGACCTACAAAAGGAGAGACCAACTAACAAGGGTTCCCAAAGCAAGACGAGGCACCAATTTGTACTTGAGCGCAAACGCTTGCCAAGAGGAACACATGGAAACACGGCCGATTAAACTGGAAGAGAAATCAACTGTTTCGAGCCAAGCATTTGTCCAAGGCAAAGCAACTGGCCTATTGTACCATCATACAAAATGGGAGGTTACAGGGAAGCGACCCTAGACCAAGTCGGCACTCTCTGGTATATTTGCAACAAGAATTGTTCTTCAAAGCCACTAAATCGTCACAAGAACCCAACAAAACAAAACCAAAAACCTCGCCAAGACCAGCGCGGACCAGGTCTCCGCCTCTGGAGTGATCTCCTTGTGCCCGGAGCCCAAAGCGGCGCTCAGGGCGTTGGTGGCGCGGGCCAAGTAGATGGGGGAAATGATGTTGGAGACCTGGCTCAAGGTGCGAAACAAAGCTTCCATTCGGCTAAGGCCCCAGTAAAAAAATATTTAAAAAATGTCCAGTAGTGATGAGTTCCTTTTAAACCCAACAAGGGAAAATCAAAGAAATATTCTTAAGCAAATGGAGGAAAGGACTCCTGAGCAAAAACACAAGCGGAAATCAGTCTTTGGGTGCGATGGAATGCGTTTCAACAGGCCATCATTTCATGTCACACCCAATCGCGCCAAGGCCCTTTTTAAATGGTGATTGATCCTTACAAAACGGACTGCAAACGGCTTCGTGTGTCAAAGCTGATTCTCTGCTTGGAGCTTTTGCGCACATTTGTTTCGGAGGCCGGCCACTACGGCCGTGACTTGACAGGGAATGATGAAACTTCGCTCGCATATCCAAAGGCCGCGTTTTTTTGAGAGATGGGTGTGGCTCAAAAGCCTGTACCCCTGGTGAACATCAACATAGGTGGCAAATAGATGTTCATCCACCCCAAAATGGAGCCATAGGTTATTCCCCACGGCCAACAGGGTGTGCCTGAACCCCACCCGCCGCCCAACCCGACGAAGCTGGACACCGCCGGATGCGAAGAGAGCGCGCGAGAGCTCCGCCTTGGAGAGGATCACGCAGACCCAGGTGGTCGAAGCGCGGAGACGGTTCATGAGCACCTGTGGCTCAAAATTCAACGAGCGCAGGGGCCGTTCCTCAGGTTTTGGTCCATGTTTCCATCAGGGTTCAAACCATTTTGGGGACTCCGGTTTTTGAGCCAAAATTAACCACAAAGCTTTGTTTGGCCAAACTCACCTAAAACGGTCACCTATATGGGTGTGGCTCAAAATTAAACAGAAGGGGCAAGCCGCAGGTTTTGGTCCCATGTCTCCACTTACCGATCGGGCAACCCATTTTGGAATTCCCGGTTGTTTTTGAGCCACAGCCACCTGGGGCCCGGGACGGAGTCGTGACCGGTGAGCAACAGGGGGTAGGGGCCACGAAAATCAATGCGAGGTCTGCTCACGTCCTGAGTGAATTGGCCAAAAGAAGCAACGGGTTATTTACCACAGCTACGGTCCAGACCCAAACAAGAATCGAAGTCCGGCAACTCAGGGAGCGAGTCTTCGGTGGGGGGGCAGGGGTTGAATACCCACAAGGACTCGGCTAGGGAGCACTTAAGGCCAGGGGGGGAAACGAAAGCTGGCGCGACCGTGCAAGGGCGACGCCGGCTCAATTTTCAGGGGTTGACGGGAGAGGGCTTCACGAGAAGAAAGCAGTCGAACAGCCCTGCGTCCTCCGGGGGACAAGCGATTTCAAGGAAGAATGCATAAGAAACACACAACGGAGTGCAAGCACGGCGCAGTTTTAAGATCTGGAACAGACTGGAGAAACGGGGGCGGAAGGACCCGCGGAGAGAAGAATGGGCCGAAGAACCGAGCGAAGAGGTGGGAGGAGCGGATCGAAGATTGCGAAAACAGCGAGGAGTGGACGGAGCGGAGAGAGACGAGCGAAGACTCAGTGGAGCGGACAGAAGCGCGAAGCGAAGAGCGGGGAGCAGGGCGCAGAGCGAAGAGTTCGGAGAAGTGCGGAGAGAAGAGCGAAGTGCGGGGACCCAGAGCCAACACCTTGTGAAGCCTTTCGGGTCGGCGTGGTTTCAACAATTCCCTTCGATTCAAGTGTGGCCATTCGGGTCATCTACGTTTCCAGTCTCGGACCTGTGGATCGTCAGGATGCAGCTGATGCAATAGACATCTGCGCAGAGAGGATTGCATGTGGGAACAACACTGGCCCCCTCCTTTTTGTTTGGCTTCTGCTTTTACGACCGGTGTGTTGTGGGGGGGTTTGGGGGGGGGGGGGGGGTGTGGGTTGTGGGGGGCTGGTTGTGGAAGCTGTCCCCAAACACCGCACCGAGCTCAGCGCCACAGCTGGCGCCCCAGTGGAGGGCCAAAAGTAGGGCTTCAAAACCTGGGCGAAATTCGCCGTTCCCACAGCTCGCCCCCAAAAAAAATCCCGCTGGCAACCAGAAAGTTGGGAAGCAAAGTCAAAACCCTTCTGGGAGCAGGTGGCAAAGTTGTGGAGTAAATGGTCTTGACTATCCCAACCACAAGGGGCGAGTCCAAGTTGGAGATTGGTTGCTCTGAACATGTGTGGTGCTTTGGGGGCCATGCACTGGACAATTGCTCGAGACAGGTCGACCAGGTCCCGACTCGAACCAGTGCGAAGCCTTCTAGTCGACAAACCAGGGTACTTGTTTTTTGCGCAAAGTCCAGGGAAGCCCCCCCCCCTGAAGCAAACAGCGCACAGCACCTACACAATCCAAACCAAAGAAGGCATGTCAATGGCGCTGGACTCCGCTGAAGAGCACGTTTGAAGGGATTGATCTGCGACCAGCTACAGTCTTCGTATTGCTTGTGTCTGAGGTGAACACCATCGCCAACCAACTGCATCTGTTCACAAGCATCTTGTCGCTGCAACCGTGTCGTTAATCGGCCACATTTGACTAGAAAATCACCAACAACACTGGAGGCTGCGAGTCGTTGTCTCACCATCCAGCCGCGTCTATCTAAGCACCAGGCCCGTACTGTCTGCACAAATGAAAGCGTCGAGGAGTACCTGCGGTTGCAGACAGGCAAACGCGCCGCGTGCCTTGCTGAGTTCGTTGGAAAAATTCACAGGTCGCCAAGTGCTTCATCCTGCAGGGTTGGGCCAAAAAACAAAACATCTTGCAACCAGCAAAAAAAAACAACGCAAAGCGATTCGAAGCATTGCCCGCGGTTAGGCTAGACAGTTGAAACCACATGCTTGCAACCAACCCTATGCCTGACCCGGACTCTTCGACTAGAGGGACGGCTATGGCAACCAACTTTCAACATCTGGGAGTTGTTTTTTGTCCACCAACCACTGTTGAAATGGCTTCCTGTTAACATTCGTAGCCATCTCAAGGCGAAAGCATTCAGGCTAGCCAAACATACCCTACCTCCCACATAACACGGCACCTGACAGGGGGGGTCCCTTCAGGAGGAAATGCTGATCTTCCAGGTTCCCTCCTGACATGCTTTATGGGGTGGAAGGGTATTTCTCGGCAAGCCGACAAAACGTAGCGCCTTGCATAGGACTCGCATGTTGCCCTTTTTGGCGGAGGCCCAACTGTGTCACAATCAAAACTCGGTATCAAAAATGGTCGACCAAGAACTATGTAAGGAACTAAGAAGGCGGCCGCAGCTATTTATGGCTGGGATCGTCCCTTACTCACCTTCGCTTGCCCTGGTTTTGATTGTGGCCCAACTGGTTGGTGATAACCTTTGCGCTGGCAAAAATCCGCCGATCACTTTAAGGAGATTCCCCCAAACCCCCGCCGGAAGTGGACCTGAAACCATTTGTAAACGTGCTCAACGCTCTGCGGCTGCCGGGCAAGCCTTCATAGGAGGCAACCAGGTGGGAGTTTCCAACCGGTCAACTTAAGCTGCAGAACCGGAGGCCGGCGTGGGTGTTCCCTTTTGGACATGATCTATGTGAGGGGAGAGCTCTGTCCTCAGATCCCCCGAAAGTTTAACTTTTAGTGGGCTAAATGGAAAACCTAAAAAGCTAAGGGGATGGCTGGGAGCCACCAAGACTAGACTGCTCCGGATTCCGAAGTTGACATAAGCCTGGCTGTAGGGCCCCAAACAGCCCAAAGGGAAACCTTCTGGAAGCGAATCTCTGGAACCCCTGGAAGCTGCCCCGAACCACCCCTTATCGCCAATTTCTGGGCCTATCGACCCCCAAAATGCTTCAGTTGGGGGAATCACACGAAAAGTAACACAACTCCCTTGGTCTCAGGCTGCGTCTCTCCACTTTCTACCCATGTCC